GCCTGAGGGGGACGAAGGAGCGATCTTGAAGAAACAGGACCAGACTCCCGCTTTGGAAGATAACGGGGAGGAGGTTCTTGGTGATATATCCAGTTACTTATAATAAACTGACTTATGATTTTGTAAAGTAGAGACTTGAAGCTATTTCTATTTACACCTTCTGTTGTTCAATAAAGCACTTCCACCATAAGCCGGGATAGCTCAGCTGGGAGAGCAACAGACTGAAGTTCTGGAGGTCCCGTGTTCAATCCACGGTCCTGGCATATTTTTTTGTCTGAATTACAATCAAGTATTTGTAAACAACACCAGTCAACAAAGCTCACTAACGCGTCTTGCTCACCGACGTCGACGTCGGATTCATCGTTCTCCGTCTCTTACTCGTTATCCTGGCTCTGTAATTTTAAAAACTGCATAAAACGTTGATTCAGCATTGGCTACGGTCACTAGGACTTGTGTCCTAAGTTCAAAAGCTCTCATTGCATCGTCGTTTCTCCGTCGGAATCATGAGCCAAGGTAATGTTCACTTTTCCTTCACATCCTTGCCCTGACTGATGTGCGCTCTCCAGAAATGGAGCCCTCTCAGCCGTTGATTAATTATGACGACCCAAACTATGGCATGGAGGAAGATGAGGAGGAGTTTGAAGAGATAACGCAGGAAGATTGTTGGACCGTCATTTCCAGCTTTTTCGAGCAAAAAGGTCTTGTCAGACAGCAATTGGACTCTTTTGATGAGTTTGTGCAAAATACCATGCAAGAGCTTGTGGATGAGAATGCGGATCTTATTCTCGACCAGGCCGATCAACACACTGGTCATGACACAGATATGACGCGACGCTACGAGATCAAATTTGGCCAGATTTACCTGTCGCGACCGACCGTCACAGAAGCGGATGGATCCGTGGTCCCAGTGTTTCCTCAGGAGGCCCGTTTGCGGAACTTGACGTATTCGGCCCCATTGTACATCGAGATGAAGAAGAGAGTCCTCCTTGGGCGCGAAGATCCTGATGGGGCACCTGGAGAGATTCTGTGGGAGGCAGAGCGACATGAGGCACCTGAGGATACTACGAAGGTCTGGATTGGCAAGGTGTGTCACATGGCAGCAATGAAGAGTGTTTTCCTAACTTAGCCTGATTCACAGGTCCCTATCATGCTTCGTTCGACATTCTGTATACTTCGAGACCTGCAAGATCAGGACCTGTACGACTTGAACGAGTGTCCATATGATTCAGGAGGTTACTTCATTATCAACGGTTCAGAGAAGGTCCTCATCGCCCAGGAGCGTATGGCAACCAACCACGTCTATGTCTTTGCCAAGGCGCAGCCATCACCGATAAATTTCTTGGCCGAGATTCGGAGTGCTGTAGAGAAAGGTGGTAAGACTATCAGTCAATTCCAGGTCAAAATGTTCCACAGAAATCAGGAGCGATCGGTAAGCACCGCTCAATGCTGCCTGGGGTTTCCTATCCATCTTATTTTCACAGCTGGGTAATGTCATGAAAGCAACCATCCCTTACATTCGTGTCGACATTCCTATTTGGGTCGTTTTCCGCGCTCTCGGCGTTATCTCTGACCGAGACATCCTAGAGCACATTTGCTATGACATGCAAGACGCCCAGATGCTTGAAATGCTCAAGCCATGTATCGATGATGGTTTTGTCATCCAAGATCGCGAAGTTGCTCTAGATTTCATCGGAAACCGTGGTACCACCACTGGTTTGTCGCGAGAGCGGCGTATTCGCTACGCTCAAGAGATCTTGCAGAAAGAGATGCTCCCTCACGTCTCCATGTCGGAGGGCTCAGAGTCAAAGAAGGCCTACTTCTTCGGATACATGATCCACAGACTACTCCTCGCCGCCCTTGAACGGAGAGAGCTGGATGACCGTGATCATTTCGGGAAGAAACGTCTTGATTTAGCTGGTCCTCTACTTGCTGGTCTATTCCGCATGCTGTTCAAGAAATTGACGAGGGATGTTTACCGTTATCTCCAGAAGGTAAGTCTCCGTCAAGTTGCACTTTTGCATATGCTCATGATTTCATAGTGTGTGGAGACACACAAGGAGTTCAATCTCTCGCTAGCCGTTAAGCATCAGACAATTACCAATGGTCTCAAATATTCACTTGCTACCGGCAACTGGGGCGACCAAAAGAAGGCAATGTCATCGAAGGCTGGCGTGTCTCAGGTGTTGAACAGGTACACTTACGCATCTACTCTCTCCCACTTGCGTCGGACCAACACCCCTCTCGGTCGCGAGGGCAAGATTGCTAAACCTCGTCAATTACACAACACGCACTGGGGTATGGTTTGTCCTGCCGAAACGCCAGAAGGGCAGGCTTGTGGTCTCGTGAAGAACCTCGCCCTCATGGCATGTATCTCTGTCGGTTCTTATTCCGCGCCCGTCATCGAGTTCTTGGAGGAGTGGGGTCTTGAATCACTGGAGGAGAATGCGCACTCGTCGACGCCTTGTACGAAGGTCTTTGTCAATGGTGTCTGGATGGGTGTGCATCGTGATCCCGCGAATCTCGTGAAGACGATTAAGAAGCTTCGTAGGAAGGATGATATCAGTCCTGAAGTCTCTGTTGTTCGCGACATCCGTGAGCGGGAGCTGCGATTATACACAGACGCTGGTCGTGTCTGCCGACCGCTATTTATTGTCGAGAACCAGCAGCTCGCCCTTCAAAAGAAGCATATCAAATGGTTGAACCAAGGTTATCGCGACGAAGACGGGGAGGAATTCAAGTGGGAGCAGCTAGTAAAGAATGGAATCATTGAGTTGTTGGATGCGGAGGAAGAAGAGACTGTCATGATCTGTATGACTCCGGAGGACCTCGAGAACTCCAGATTGCAGTCAGCGGGTATTGATCCTCACCAGAATGACGGCGATTATGACCCAGCTGCACGGCTGAAGGCAGGGATCAGCGCGCATACTTGGACTCACTGTGAGATTCACCCGAGCATGATTCTAGGTGTCTGCGCGAGTATCATTCCTTTCCCTGACCACAACCAGGTGAGTGGTGTGCTTTTTCTGTGTATGAAAGTTGACCGTTTGTAGTCTCCTCGTAATACCTACCAATCCGCCATGGGTAAACAAGCCATGGGCATTTACCTCACCAATTTCTTGGTTCGCATGGACACCATGGCCAATATTTTGTATTACCCGCAGAAGCCTCTCGCCACTACGCGCTCTATGGAGTACCTGAAATTCAGAGAGCTTCCTGCGGGACAAAATGCCATCGTGGCCATTCTTTGTTACAGTGGCTACAACCAAGAAGATTCTGTCATCATGAATCAGAGTTCGATCGACCGAGGTCTCTTCCGGAGTATATATTACCGCAGTTACATGGACCTGGAGAAGAAGAGTGGTGTACAGCAGCTGGAGGAGTTTGAGAAACCTACTCGTGATACTACGCTGCGGATGAAGCACGGCACGTACGACAAAATTGAGGACGATGGTCTGATTGCTCCCGGTACCGGTGTCTCTGGGGAAGATATTATCATTGGGAAAACTGCACCCATTCCCCCTGACAGCGAGGAACTTGGACAACGTACTCGGACGCACACGAGACGAGATGTCTCAACTCCATTGAAGAGCACAGAAAATGGTATCGTTGATCAAGTGTTGATCACGACCAATTCGGAGGGCCAGAAATTCGTCAAAGTCCGTGTTCGGTCGACGCGTATTCCCCAGATTGGCGACAAGTTTGCGTCTCGTCACGGTCAGAAGGGAACTATTGGTATCACTTACCGACAGGAAGACATGCCCTTCACCGCCGAAGGAATTGTTCCTGATATTGTCATCAATCCTCATGCCATCCCCTCGCGTATGACCATCGGTCACTTGGTTGAATGTCTGCTCTCTAAGGTGGCAACACTGATAGGAAACGAGGGTGACGCAACTCCCTTCACCGATCTCACGGTCGAGTCTGTGTCGACCTTCCTGCGCCAAAAGGGCTACCAGTCCCGAGGTCTTGAGGTCATGTACCATGGCCACACAGGCAAGAAGCTCCAAGCGCAGGTTTATCTCGGCCCCACGTACTACCAGCGTCTCAAACACATGGTGGATGACAAGATCCATTCGCGCGCGAGAGGTCCCGTGCAGATCTTGACGCGCCAGCCTGTGGAGGGTCGTAGTCGTGATGGTGGTCTCCGTTTCGGAGAGATGGAACGTGATTGTATGATTTCGCATGGTGTTGCTGGCTTCCTGAAAGAGCGCTTGTTCGAGGCTAGTGATGCCTACCGTTTGCATGTTTGCGACATGTAAGTCATTTGATCTATTTGATCTTGTTCCATGGACTTACTTTGAATCTCCAGCTGCGGTCTCACTGCAATCGCCAACCTCGTGAGTACCTTCATATGTCATAATCATCACCTGCTAATGTCTGTGAAATAGAAAAAGCAAAGCTTCGAGTGCCGTGCATGCAAAAACAAGACAGCGTGTTCACAGTTGTATATTCCTTATGCTGCAAAATTATTATTCCAGGTTTGCATTCATCCTTGATTGATAGTAGAGTTTTGCTAAATTCAGATGGTCGCCAGGAATTGCAAAGCATGAATATCGCAGCTCGTCTGTATACTGTCTCCACTGGCCGTGTCAGGGATGGAACGTAACTTATTGTCGATTCCCGTATCACGAGAGATCCCGTAGTCTTTGCATTAATTGTTGTTGGGCAATAAGGATGCAGTGTTAGTTATAAGTCGCCATCTAATAACACTATGTTGACCCCTTGGAAAGCTTCGCTGAGCCGCAGGCTCGGCGACCTTGCCATGGCTAGTAATTTGGGCGCGTCAGCTAGGATCATGTGACCGTCATATGCGAATTCAGCCACGTGATTCATAGAAACTGGTTACGCGTTCTCGTGAAGACTAAGTACTCACTTGCCGCCAACCCCTGTATTTCGCAACACGGATCAAATTGAAGTGTTTTCGTTCTAAGAAAATATTGAACCAATATATCCTTCGGATTCAAATACGGATCACCAAAACTTAGCCTTGAACATAGGCCATGTCGGAGACACCTCTCACCTGGAATCGTGAGTGATCATATCCTCCGCGTTCCTCAGAAATCTCTGAAAATGGAGAGGCGGCAGAAGCGGTGAAAGGAATGACTGAATTTAGTGAGTTGGTTCAAAAACGACTCCATGATCACCATCTAATCAAACATTTAGTCGAAGTTGCCATCCATACTATCCTCTACGTCAGACAAATATACCCAGCAGATCTATTTGTGCGACGGAAGAAATACGACACGCCCGTCTTCCAGTCTCGCCATCCCGCGTTAAATGAATATATTTCTGGCACTGTCAAGGCTGTTTCCGACGAACTTGTACTCGTAAGCTCTTAGCATCGGCTTCACACTTCCCCTGCAATGAAGTTTTCGATAAAAACAGGGCAATGTCGACAAGGTGGTAGTCGTTATCAAGGACAAGAACCAAGTGGCCCTTGAGCGCTTCATCTTTTCAGTCCAAAACATGATTGAGGTCGAATCCTATAACAAAGATACGAGGTGTGCTGCATCTTTCACTTGCGCGCACAAGCAATGACATCTACCTAGCGTGCAGGAGGCGATGTCCTCCGCTCAACTTGGCCAGTATTTTCGCTCCTTTCTCATCAAACTGAATATGATCGAGTCTCAACTGGGGCTTCTCGAACTTCCCACCGGTGGTAAGCTTATCTCTTCGTCTCTCACAGTAAACCTCTCACTTGAGCTGAGGTAGACGAAGCCTCATTTGCAATAGTCCTTGAACTCAAGGAAAATACAGTGCCCTCAGCTTCCAAGGACAACGTAAGGATCCTAGTCAGATGTTTATAACAGACAGTTTGACTCTCAAAAGGAACCCCCACCATGGGTACCCGCAGACCGTCAACACACAACCTCTGGGGCATCTGAAGAAGCCCAGTTGCACCTCCTTCGGGCAGTAGACACAGGTATCATCAATGTATGCAGGTTACGTCGATGAGATTCGGCCTTGACATTCACAGTACTACAGATCTCTCTTGCAGTTCAAGAATCCGAACACAAGCTCCAACTCATCAAGAACCCAGATGATTCCGCGTACGATATCGAAGGATAAGGAAATGCTGAAGCTAGCTGGAATCCCAGTTGACATACTCGATGATAATCTACTATAAACTACTAGTAATACATTGCAACCGAAGTCCTTTCATGACGTGCGAGATAACAGCAAAACGGAATATGAATAGATCAGGTTAGTACTGAACGCTAAACGTCAACCCGTATACGTTGGATGACAGGTATAATCCGCTCCCACTCCTCCATTGCCTGGATCAAATTATGAAATTCGAGGGCTAGGCTGATTGAAAAAAACAACATACCGATTGATAAAATTCAATTTCACCTTCTGCAAGGTTGCCCAGCATTTCTTTCATCTCCGCTTCCTTCGTGTATTGGAATATGGTCTGCTCCCGCAGAGTCTCATCACTGAACGCATCTGATGTCTCGTGCGCTGTTGTTACAGCGTCTTGTAGCTAACCCGATGTTGAAAAATAGACAAGTAAGCATCGCAGTAGGTACACACCTCTTTAATCTTAATATCCAACTTTCTCATCTTCTCCACTCTGCTGCGATCATCGTCAGCACCCCTGAGTGAGTCCACTTTGTCCTTTAGGTATGCGCTGAGTCCCAGCCCTGTACTTCCTGCGTGCCCTGAAATAACGGCAGATAACCGATCACGTTCTTGTGTTACTCCAGAAAGGTAATCCGATAATTCCTCAAAATCAAGTTGCTTCTGGTCACGAAGTTTCAAGACTGCGCGGTTTGCGTGGGAGTAGGTTAGCAGTGAATGAAGGTGGACGAGGAAAGGGTCGGTGGTCGTTTGAGTCTGAAAGAAGCGGTGAGTAGGTGACTCGGATATTATCGAAACATCATGCCTTATGTCTGAGCAATGCAGAAAATTCGAGCAGGGTATTTGAGAAGTGGTTCAAGGGATCCGTAATCCCTGATTCCAGAAAACCAAGTCCCTGCACGGCAACCGCTAGATCGTGATAATCCGCTGTCAGATCTTCGCCGGGAGCGAGACCGCCACCTCGTTCAGCCTCAGATACTCCCTCACGCTGTTATAAGATAGGCTCACCGTTTGTGCGACCGCGGACGCGGTTCCAGAGGCGCTCACAGATGACAAGCCCATCCTCGAATTTATCTACAGATTCGCGCATATCGAGAAAGCGTTCATCGGGCTTGCGTACGCGTGCAAACGCGTTGAGAAGGGTGTCTGAGATATTATCGATGAGTCCTGGTGTGGGTTCTGGCCCTGGAGGGTGTGCGAGATGTTGATGCATATGAACGTGCTGGAAGGTGTCAGGGGTGTTTGGACTACGCTAAATCGACGTACCCATTCTGTCGACTCGAAGAACGCACGAACGAGAGTGCTACGTTGTAGGGTGGGGTGTCGGGATATCCGTTCGAGGAAACGGTGGAGGCTGTCAAAAATGAGACACTGACGAATCCACACGCCACACATACGTACTCTAGTCTGCGGCGCTCCATAAACTCTGGGCTAAAGCGATCGCCCGTCAGGTACTCTATGTGTGGTTAGACAATATTGAGATTACGAGGGCAACATATACCTAACCGGTGCTTGTCGGGAAGAGCAGGTACCACGCATGCTGGGAAATCCTTCACAAGGTGGTCTCGCAGAAATACAAAGTCCTGGAATCGTCGACGAGAGGAAGGATTAGGAGTAGAGAATATTAGAAGATTGGTCTGCAAATGCTTCAAAACTATGCACAAGAACTTGGTTATATTACGACACACCTTTGCCGAGACTAGGTAGGAGACGTATGCATCTTTAGTTTCTGCAAGCTCCTTTACAGGATCTTTGACAGTAACAATGAGATATCCCTCCCACTTTGGATCGTGTGGACCCCGTTCATCCTCTGTCCCAGCCGTACTCTGCTTGAAGCCTGGGCCAGACGGTTGGACGGTGTGATCGGCGTCATAGGGTGCCGAAGGGGACTCCCAAGTGACACTGTCAAAAACGTCCTCTTCGTCGCCAAGCATGTTGGGATCAGTGGTGAACGGCTATTGACTTTCGGGTTCACCGCTGGTGCTATAGATCGGTGCTTCCCGGTTATTTAAAACTTGAAGCTGAGCGCAGTAATTGGCGTGAACAAAGTCGACTCTAAAGACGAGAAGCCTTTGGGAAACAAACCACAACAAACGCTTTCTGGATGCGCCAAAATTCGAAGCTGCAGGCAATCGCGCTCGGTGTTCTGTCTGCTTGCTCCCTTGCAGCTGGATATGAGGTCCAGTTCTCAGATACGGACTATTCTCGCCAAGTATGTTCGGGAATGTGGGCAAGCCAGTCCACTTTCATCAACGGTGCGCAGCCTGTGTACCGTATATATTCGCCAGATACTTACACTACGTGTCATAGTCACGTTTGATGAAAGTTCTTCACAAGGACAGGTAGCGATGGTGATATATGAATGGAAGGATGTCAAGTATCTGGGTGTCATTACCTCCACGACGGATGACTCCCTACCCGTGAGTGACCCCTTACAACATGGTTTGCCGCCGAACTCAGTAATAGAACCCCCAGCAGAAGACATACGTATGCACGACGGACGCAGTCAGAGTCGGCCTCTGTGCATATGATAATGTCGGAAATTTCATATTCTCGTCTGATGACGGGACCACCGCAAACCAAACTACTTTCTGGACTGCCAGTGTTGCCCTTAACCACACTGGCGGCGCACCCTCAGATTCATCAGGGTTGTTGGAAAGCCCAGAGGGTAACCTTGCCACGCCTGCCGATAATTATACTTCGCCACGGAGATCACGAGGGCTTCACCACAGTCTTCGACAATCGAGTGACCTCCTAAACCCGAGCCCATCCGGGACCGTTGCATATACACAACCCATACAGTATCAAGTCCGCATGAATGGGTATTATTGCGTAGGCGAGTCCAAGTCGTCTTGTCTTGTCTCTCCCGGCTTATTTCTGTCGCAGCTATTGTGCCTGTCACAGTATTGAATCCCACTGCCCGTCAGGCACCTACAGATGTCCCGTCTCATCCTACATACAACGGCGTCGTTCTTTTCCGCAATACTTTCGATGGACAGCTTCCTGCTACCGACTATCCCAAAGTTAACGTGAGCCGAAAACGTACTCCGTCGTCATCTCTCTAATCACAACACTCAGTTTTACCTCGCCATGTTCTTTGTATATACAATTGCAGGCTCTGTATGGGCATGGCTCTGCTACAAACATGTTACGGAACTATTACCCATTCAGGTTCGTCATGTTCCATACATCTTGGGCGATCTAATGTTTATCTCAGTACTATCTCTCGAGCTTGGTCGCGTTCCTTGTCATCGAAATGGTTGCAAACTGGGGTAGGACGTTTTGTCATTACCTCACCTCCATGCTAACCATGCCTAGTATACTACCGATACCTTAACGCACATGGGAAGACCGCAGCGTCCGTCATCTTCCTTTTTGTTGGTACGGACAATCAATGAAATAGTTATCCAATCGCTTACCCAGTGCAGTTGCCATTCTGGATGCGGGGCGCAATGCCCTTTCCTTCTTTATGCTCCTCGTTGTATCCCTCGGGCTCAGCGTCGTCTGCGAATCTCTGGGGCGCACAATGCTCAAGTGTCAGATCCTTGCAGGGCTACACTTTGTCTTCGGAGGTGAACTCGGTTTTTCATGATATCAGAGATGTAATGACCGTCGTCATCAGTACTGTATGCCGTGGGTATAGTTGAACTGGAACTCGAGTCGACGTCAGCGTTGGTACTCTTGATGTTTGTCATACCACTGGCATTCACGCTTAGTGGGTTCCTGATGTGGATCCTGTACTCATTGAATGGTATATCCAATCCCTTTTTCACCTTGCGTGCTTTCTCAAGTATCCATTTTAGGTACAATGAGGCAGCTCAGTGTGCGGAAGCAAAGATACAAACTCAGGATGTTCAAACGCCTGTATTATATTCTCCTTGGCACGGTGGCTATTATAGCTATATTTTTTGTTATCTCTTCAGTGTCGTTCTCTGATAGGCTAGCTGAAGGTGTGTCACCATCCGTGAACCAATTTTCGATCCATCTCAATATACATGATTGTAGATTACGCAGCAAAGTCATGGAAAATCCGTTGGTGGCTCCTTGACGGCTACCTCGCCCTTCTCTACTTTTTCACCTTCTGGAGCATAGCGTACCTTTGGCGGCCATCAGAAAATAACCGCCGCCTCGCCATGTCCGACGAAATCGCACAAGAAGACGAAGATGCTGAGGATTATGACCTCGAGACACTTCAACATCGTACGGTTGCCCGAGAGGATGACGAGATCACACTCGTCAACTCACGGCGAGAACCTGAGGCGCTTGCAGAGGATCACGTCGTGTTTGAGATCGGCGACGAGGATATAGGAAGCGACGATGAAGGTGAGACGGCCGTAAAGAAGCGGCGTGGTGGGGAGCATAGGGCATCCGGTGATAAACAGGACAGTGCAGATGAGGAACGTCAGGGTCTTATACACAAGGACCGAGACGATTAGACTCTCACGCAGCTTATCTTTGTCACTATGCAGTGTGTCGTGCATGTCCTAGTACTTTCGTTTTAGAATCCTCATTTCTTCATTTTGTAAATCGGCAAATGGGGGCGAGAACTCAGTTAAGTCTAGGGTTTGGCGAGCCCTCTGCTAGATGGAGAGAGTGAGGAGATGACGTCTGTTATTTATTTTTATAAATAATTTATCTTCTATGTGAACTTTGTCAACATGTTTGGAGCAACCGTCACTCCTACGATAAGTATCTTTATTTCTTTCACCTGGTTCCACTAAGTTATACGTCTGACGCGCCCTTGTGGCCCTCACGACGCGTTTAAGGCATTTCTAGTCCCCGCCATGTCCATTCATTTTGCTTTTGTGACTCTCGTAACTTCGGATTCCTATCTCCCAGGTGCACTCGCCATTTCGGGTGCTTTAAAGGATGTGCACCAGACTGAACCTCATGAGGTCAAATACGACACAGTGTGCATAGTCACACCAGAAACCCTTGATATCACTACTATCAAGCTGCTCAGAAAGACATACGATATTGTCATTGGTGTTGAGGTTATAGGCCAGTCCGATCCTACTGGACTAAATTTAATGGGTGAGTCGTTGCTGCGTTGACTGGGTTGCGTCTGAATGGCATCAGCTGAGGGCACGAAAAACTTATCTGTCGGAATATCTGTAACGGTTCCCAGGCCAGTTTCTGTATTTTGCACTTTGTGCCCCAGATGTGGGGTATGAATGCATCGTGTCCAAGCTTCTCCATCAGCCACCCAGCTTTTCTGCACACAGTGGAAATAGCTAGGCTAATATCATGCTCATTTAATTGCAGGACGCCCAGACCTTGATACGGTCCTGACCAAATTACACGTATTCCGCCTCACGCAGTATTCCAAGGTAATATTCCTTGATGCGGATGTTCTCCCATTGCGCCCCCTGTCCCACCTATTTCACCTTGACCACGAGTTCTCTGCGGTGCCTGACGTAGGATGGTCCGATATATTCAACTCGGGTGTGATGGTACTCTCTCCTAGTGAAGATAAATTCACGGAGCTTCAAGAGCTTCTGAAAACGAATGGAAGTTGGGACGGTGGCGATCAAGGTATTTTAAATGAGTGGAGGGGAGGCGACTGGAATAGGCTTAGCTTCACATACAACACGACTCCTACTGCTGCTTATACGTCAGTAATATCACATCTTCTTTCGCTCGCATAGTTAATGACATACTTATTACGAATCAGGTATGCTCCTGCGTATGAGCGGTTCGGTTCCCAGATATCGGCGGTCCATTTCATCGGACCTAATAAGCCCTGGCACTCCATTCCTTATCGTGCCCCAGGATCCTCCACCCAAGTACCATCATCTCAGATGGAACAGCAGTCTGCAGTGTCAGAGCCAGTAAAGCAACCTCAACAAGCCTACGACTATGGTTCGCTCGTCGATCGGTGGTATAGTGTTTACGACAAGCACTATCGATCAAAACCCATCTCACCGGATCTCGAGGTTCCTGTCAGTAAATATGTTTCTGCATGGGAAGATGAGGAGAATTCCCGTGCAGCGGTAGAGTCTGCGGGAGCACCAGGTGGTGGTCCACTTGGTCTCGACGTCTTACGTCGTTTGGCCCTTCAGGGCATGAGCGTAATGGGCTTCTGGTCTGGTGATCGATCGAAAGGAGAGGGCGAGTACAGGAGCATGCCCCTTGAGGGGCGTTTGGATCTTATGAGACCACGCCCCGCAAAGCAGATGAAACCTGAGGATCATGATTTTCACCAGACTACCCCTGAGCCTCCTGATTCAAATCTCAACGAGGTAGTCGTCGAACCCACAACACCTGTTCAACAGATAGGCTCACTATCATTGGATTCACCTGTAAGATGGACTACGTTGCCAACTCCGAATGGCGATGAGGTGCCTCCTGCGCCACAATCGCGCCTGTTATCTCTCCCTCCGACACCTCTCCACTTTGTCCCCTCGCCCTCCAAGCTAGTTGTGCGCTTGAATCAACCAAAGTCGCCCCTTTCGTTGCAAGAACGAAGGATCGAGCGATTGCGCGCTACTTCCCCACCCCTTCTCTCATGGAATGCTGCGATCGAAGCGCCGCCAAAAACCATATCTACTCCCTCCGCACCCCCAAGAGACACCTATTTCCCGAATGTCTGGGACGATTCTCCCTGCGGAAACAAAGGTCCTGGATCATCATCAAGGTCGTCCTCGAGCATGTCGTCTGAGACAGATGCAACGAGTACGGAAGTTATCTCGGTTCAGGGAGACCCATCGCCCCAAACACTCTTCAGCCCACCACCTGTACCTGAGATTCCTCAGATGCTACTTCAGCTGGGGCACTACCGCAATGTCACTGGGCCTACTACTGATGGTGGCACTACGCCGCCTACCCCTGACCGCACCAAGGTCAAGCGTGTCTTCCCTTGGGAGGAGCGCCTTCGTGTTACTCCTACACGTGTATTCCCAGAGGGCGAGCCCCGCCCACAAGGGTCGATGTTCTTTCAGTCCCCGCCTCGTCCCGCGCTTCCATCTACTCCTGAGCGCAAGTTGAGCAGGGAGTTTGGAGCGCAGCCAATGCCTTCGCCATTAGCAGGTTTCCCATCATTGACATCTGGGAACATGTGGGATGCCGTTCCTGGCATCCAAAAGTTTGGTTCGAAACTTGCACGCCCTCCAGGGCCCACTCCCTTAGCAACCGCATTCGAAAACCCAAAGAGACCCTGGGAGGAGAAGTCAGAAGCTAGCAGTCACGATGGTGATGTAGAGGATGAGATGGACTCCGATGAGGACGAAGGCAGGCGAACAGTGACAGAGGTACGATCTTGCAATTCTAGCATCGCAACCGCGAGGAAGACATACCAATCATTTGGAGTGCAGACGGACGCGAAGGAAATGTGCACTCAGAGTGTGCAGGTTTCTTCGGAAGAGGACTGTCGCTGTAATGCGGCCGTTGAAAGCACGCACGCATAGCGGATCTATGAAGAAGCATTGGCACCCTTCATCAAGCCTCAGGGTGTTGCCGCCCGTGATGAATGTTGCCGCGGGTGCTGAACAAACCGGCTTGATGTCCCCTGCTGTTTCGCAGGTGTCAACGCCGCGATCTTCCGTTTCTTCAGCTATGATGGGTTCTCGGGAGACCCTTTTACCTCCGCAGACGTCGGGACAGCCTGGCGAAATGACGCCGAGAGCAGAAAGGAGTGCGACTCCGAGTCCACTGTCGTCCCCTTCTCAACTGTCTTCCAGTGAATCCCCGACTTCATCGTCTCTAGGTCCTGCATCACCAGCGGAAGGGCGGTCTCCTAGTACTCCCTCTCGAACATCTCGTGTCTGGGATCCTGCTCGAGGAGTGGAACTCTTCAAACGTGGCTCAGAAGAGGTACTTGCTCGGTTCCTGAAGATCAGCTCACGAGAGGATCCCACACGTCGGATTTAACGAGTTCTGAGTATTACGTATCTGTTACGAGCTTCACTTTCCATGTCTTATTGATTGCAGACAGAATCTCTCTTTTCTTGTTCATTCCTCCTGTACGATTATGTGAAGTGCATTTGCATGTATATACCCGCAACCTACTCTCGCAACGAACTTTGTTTTTTCCTTTCTCTCTTCATTATGGTTATTCTTGCCACCTTATATTCACATTTAGCACTCGCAACCCAAAGTGCGACGAGAGTTCAAATTTCATTTACTATACTCTTAGACGGAATTCACTGCACAATCTCAAAGAGTCACATAAGCCAGTAGCGATAACCTTTGCGTGTGATTGTGACGCCCACTTCCAAACCTTATGCCTCCAGCCTCCTGATAAGCAAAATGTCGAACAGGGTATCTGGTGGAAACGCGGATGCGCGTATCCATCTAGTCTCCGTAGTAAGGCGCCCTGAAAAACATTATGCTAATGCTACATTCCGATTCGCTAGACACTTGCGCTCCGAAACGGAAATTCACTTGCTGGACGAAGTAAGAACGCAGCAATGCCCCATAATCGCGCCGTATGCCTCTTACTCGAGCGGCGATGGGAGCGAAAGTCGTATACACACATAAGCCTCCAAGGAAGTGTACATATTCCATGAAGAACCGTGCAACTGGATGGTCGAGCATTCCGGATCCGAGGTTTGTGGAGTCGTTTGGAGTGATCTTGATATCTGAGGATTCATGCATATAAATAATTTCCGAAATCATCCCAGGGTGAATAGCTTGCTATGTGACGGAATTTCGAGGAGGGAGTGACTGAGAGTCACTGCCAACTGTACTGCCCTGTCCTTTACTGATACCTTACGCTTGGTTACTAGGACGCACGATGTCACCAGGCCTACACCTCCCTATTCAGTACCGGTGGTGAATACTGTGATGGCAATCAGAACGCACCAAGGATGACCAATCTAAAGAAAGTGTGGCTGAATGGGTAATCTGTAGCGAAACTCTCCGGGCCAAGCAAGCTCAAAAGGACAAATGTCGCCGATCTGGAAGAACCCCTGCAAACTGTGAGCAGCACAGGGGTATCCCTGGAGCAAAGAGTTTCGCCACGAGTCCCGGTGCGATCCAAGTACACAGTGGAGTTCGAGTATGGGAGCCGACGTCATCATAGTCTTGACGGTGACGTCGCCGATGCAGGTGTTATATTCTCTGGCCAGCTATATGACGTCATGGAGGCATAGGTGTATAAGACCAGACAAGCGTAACGGTCTATCTCAGAACAACCATGTCGAACACAGTTAACAAAGGTCCCAATGTCGAGGAAGCTCGGGGAAACGAGTGAGTAATCTTTTGGCGTACAGGTCCCCATGATGCTGACCTTTCGTCCTTAGGAAAGCTCGGCATGAGACAACAGCTGCTCACGCGCAGGCTGAAGCACCAAACGCCCGTGCTGCACATCAAGTGGAACAGAACGCAGAGCACGTTCAACAAGCAGCAACCAAAGCAGCTCAGGCTGCACAGGTAAGCTGTGTTCGTTCATCCCGGCGAAACCTTACTTACGCATTGCAAATTGTAGGGAATGGGATCTGAGCTGACAGGAGAAAGAGACACTAGTACTGCCTTTGAAGTCTTTAAACGCGAAGCGGCTCAGAAGACGAACGCCGCAGCCTCCGAAGGGCAGAGAGATTTCCATATGGCCAATAATCCCAGCGCAAGTTATTTAGACCAGGCAAAGACATTCGCGGAGAGTGTTGCCACTTCTGCTCAGGTGAGATAACGGTTTACATTGTCCCTAGACTTGAATGCCTATACGTTTCGTAGGACTATCTTCACAGTAGCACAGACCCGCAAGCCACTTCGAACAAGACAGGAGGAGATGGCACATCATCATTGCAGACGTCGGCATCATCTGCTGTTGGAACCGCTCAGCGGTACTTTGCATCTGCACAAGCCGCCGCTCAACCGCACATTGACGTTGCACGGTCCACTATGCAACCACGGGTCGAGAAAGCACGCCAGACAGCGGAAAGCTACCTCGGGATGCACTCTGGTACCTCGCATTCTGATGCGGTCACCCCGCCATCAACTGCGCACCTGACCACCGAAACGCCCTTGAGTGGTAAAGGTGTTACGGGTACGCCTAACGCATCTACAACAACCACTGCTGCCGGTGCAGATGAGAGAAAGCTGGAGCCTGAGTCAGATGTCGCGTAGAATGTTATAACACCGAGGAATTGTGTAGCCATAGATGTAATATTGTTTATCGTCTCCTGGAGACTTCCTCCAACTCGCTCTTGGATGACTGCGCTTGCAGGCAAAGGTAAATTTCGTGTGAATAAGTGACAGCATGATAAACTGTGCAATGTGCATACTCATTACACTCACCTGGTCTGGCATCGACGTAAATAATTTTAAATTAGTCTCGAACGAGTTAGCCTGGCAGCTGACAATTTTTACTGACGCTACAGGGAACGTTCGAACTATTATTTCAAGACTAGCACCGGTATCAACCTGTTGTCATTCGGTTGTGCATGTGAGCTCTAAAGCTAACGTTTGATCCCGCGGAAGCAATCCCACGTGCGTGCTCCACCTGTTGAGCTCCACGTATACTGGAGTTTGCTCTGGTGCGTCCGGACTCTGGAAGAGCTTACTCTGCTTTTTTGAGTGTCCAATTCTATCTCGTTTCTCGTTTCTCGGTATCCGTTCTTCGTCCTCAGCTTGCGTTCATCTTGCAATGGTTTCCAGGCAGGGCGCCTAACGTGACACCATATGTTGAATTTGTCTATGATACTATAGGACTAACTACATGGCACTTCAAGAGTACGATGTCGACGAGACACTCGAACGCTAAGTGCGAGAGAAGAAGAAAAGACAATATAATAGTAAACGCAGTGTACAGACATCGCTATATATTGTAATTATTAGTAGGTAAACGTCCAAAGGGTGAACGAACCACTTGTTCTGAAATAAACACCCTTGATTCAAAATATAGACCTTTTCCAAGTCTTCGTGTCCACCCATGCTTGATCGGCAGTCGCGGTTATGCCTTTTCTTTTCTTTCTTTACGTTAGAAAAAAAAGAAAGACAAAACACGAGCCAAAGCAAGGCGACAGGCCTGGCCAACATTTGTACCTGCGAAGGCTGTCTTCGATTCCAGTGAATCAGGGTATGGTGATTCATTCAGGTCAGATGCTGACCTCGTAGCAATATATAGTCCATTATAACACGTACATACAAGCCCATCGGCATTATCGGTCATCATGTTTGACCTTATGTAGGGGAAGGAGGAATTTCTGATGAAGTTCCTTGGGACACCAGTTCGTGATCGGGAAAAGATCCTCAAGTCATATCATTACTCAAACTCAAATTTCAAGGGCAAGTGGAACAAACGCTGACGAACAAACAAGATGGGTTTTAACTGCCATGTTGGAATTACGGGCTACAATGTCGAATCTAAGGGTGAAAACGAGCACCATCCAAAGAACGACAATGTGTTCCGAAGATGTTGAGCAGAGTCGAAGGTCTTTTCGTTACGAATGACGTGAGGGGTCGAAGGAGCCGAGAAAGTTCCGAATGATGACAGGTCACAGGGCCTTCAAGCTTCAAGATTCGAGCTCAATCAGTGCAAGTGTAAGTTGAAGGGTCAACCGGTCACGAACGAAACCGAAATGGCTGAGATTAGATTAGAACCGGCTAACTGCGATCGCAGTCAAAGCCGGATTGATTTGGGGGTGATAACGATGGACCGTTGCAGTGCGCCGGATCCCTTGAGTTTTAGTCTCAGATAATAGGCCTACGGTATCTGCTTATATCCACCTACAATCAAGCTCCCAATAAGCTCCCATCATCATGGTAAGTTGCTTTGCGCAGTATAACCTGCTCATAAACTGATTAGATCTCTCCGTAGGATACTTTCATTAATCTCGCGAAGCAAGGTTACGAGACGTACTCTGAGTCTCAGAATCAGTGTAAGTAGACATCCGCCATTTCGTATTGCAGGAATATTCAAACGAAGCAACAGCTCACGTACACAAGACCGGAGGCCAGGAGTACAACTCTCCTGACAACCGCCCTCCCCAATCTTACAGATCCTCGTGTATGTCATTTACTTGGTGATCACTCCCATCGCGCTCACAAGCGAACAGTCAACTCGGACGAAGTGAACCAGCATATTGACTCTGAAAACCATGGCTTCGCAAACCAAGCACTGTCTCATGCGCACAGGGTTTGTTGTTCCCCGTCGAACGTCTTGAGACCCCCCTCATCACTGCGAACCAGACTGTCCAGCATCAAGGTGAAATCGACGAAGATGGTGTCCAAAACCTCAGGAATGCCCACCAACAAGCATTCAGCTCTGAGGGTCGGGGCCCACAAGGCATGGCACCCGATGCATTGGGTGGAGCTGCGGCCTTTCAAGTAAGCCACTTCAAGTATGATCAACATCAAATTCACAAATATTCATAATTATGCAGGTGTTCACGGATATGATGAGCGGTGGCGGCGGCGGAAGTCACGGAAGCAGCGGTGGAGGCGATATGCAGAGCAAGCTTGTTGGCATGGCCATGCAACACGCTTCCTCGCTCTTCGACCAATCTGGTGGCGGATCTAGCGAGGCCAAACAAAGCGCCATGAACAGCGCTGCTACTTATGTTATGCAGCTTTTGATGAAGAAGGAGATGAGTTCTTTCATCGGTGGAGGCAGCAGTGGAGGCTTGAGCGGAATCATGGGCATGGTGCACTAATTCCTGATTTCATCTTTCATGACTTCTGACCCTGTCCTATAGGCAAGCAAGTTCATGTAAATGTGTCAAGGGGAAAGAAGACTTCAATAAATTTTATATTTTGGGCGCGGTGCTCGCCTATGTGTGGACTTGCTTTTGTAAAATACAGTGCTCGTACCCAAATTTAAAGAACAATACAAACAGCAGGTACAGATCAGTACAACAATTTGACTAGATAACATTGAGTGAGCAAAAAGCAAAGATATTACGCGAGTGAAAAAAAAGCAAGAGCAACGATTAGACAGCAATAGAATACAACATAAGCCAAGATGCGCTATCATAGGCATAGGTCTTGCAAGGTGCATACGGCCCGCTTCAGGGTATTAGATGAAGGGATGCAATAGGACGCTGCCGTAGCCCTTCACTGCTAGATGTTCCGCAGCAGTGAGGCCTGGCGTGCCAAAGGTAGAAAGCAAGCTCTATCTGGAGCATGCTAAAACGAAGTCCGTGCACTCCCACCGTGGAGTAGCTCATGACGGTGCGCGAACAGGATTCACTGCTGAGGCCGCATCGAATGAGAAATCGAACGCCGGTGACTTCAGAATGTGCTCATTCCCGAATATGCTTGAATTAAAATCAAGCTGAAGTCCCCCCCCTAGTGAGGGAACGCTTTCCAAAGCATCGCCGAATAGATCGGTCGTATTTGAAGAGAAATTGTATAATGACATTGGAGGAGATGCAGGCTGTGTTGAAGGTGAGGGGAATGGAGGCGGCGTCGTGATGCCAGGGGAACTGCTCGATGTGGAATTCGCGCTTGAGAATAGGCGGTTCTGTGAGGAGCTCTCAGATCCGAATGAAGACGAACGCGAGGGCGATGATGACAAAGGTGAGGCAACAGATACCTCTGAAGCGGCTGGTGTGACACCCCGGTGAGAAATCGAGTCCCCACGAGGAACGCGCTTTGGTAATGGTGCCGTTTTCCGGCGGCGAGCCTTCTGCCCTGTTGGGGTCTCGAAGGCCGGCACCAATGTCACAGGTCTTGATTGAGGACTGGGAGTATCGAAGACATGGCGACGAGCCGCGGTGGCAGGAACAGAATGTAGCGGAGCACTGACGGGTGTGATATGCGTAGGTGTCCCCCGAATGAGGGCAGGCAGAGGCGCAAGGAAGGGTATAACCGTGATGGCAGCCACAGCTGCATGTGAATCGACGCTGCCGCGTGAACGCGAACCAGAATCATCTAGTATGTTTATCCTCGAGAAGCGGTCCACGAGCCCATCAATGTCTAATGTAGGACATCGAACAGCTGTGGTCATTGGGCGCCGGAGCCATTTTGGCGCACCGAAATTTGTCACACCATTCTTCGATGGGAAAGGATCATACGTGCATGAAGGGGGATACAACGATGGGAATGCATGCAAAGGTGCCAGACGCTCGAGTGGGTTGCATTCGTTGTCTGCAATAGACATCTATGGAAGATCTTGTCAACAGAACGAAAATCGAGAGGGATAGCACACTTACCATCTCGTCCCCTTGCTTGGTAGGGCAATCTGAAAGACAGGAATACGAGGTATGCGCCTTCCATTCTTCCGGTACAATGAATTTATCCATACGCTGGTATAGGTTATCCAACGGAAGAGTGGCACCCTCAGTCGCTGCTTTCTTCCTTAACACTCGACCTTCTTTCTTCATTCTATTACGCCTGTTTTGGAACTTGGGATTATTAAGATCAAGACCTAATGCACACTGATAATTACGCGTACCCAAACATGGATCTGACGATATGTCATTGCTGATTTCTTTGCGAGGAAAGCCTTGTCGGCATGAGTTGGAAATGGGTTCTCTGCGAAGAAGTATTCGAGCAATGGAACATACTCCTGTACAAAGTTATTACACAGGACTGGACGGGTGAAGGAGGGAATTAGACATACATGATTAAACCTTGATGTACCACTCAAATTCTGTACATTGCCACTAGTTGACGAATGTTTAAGATAAAAATCAACACAATCTTGTCTCCAGGCCATAAGTTGTCTGAGATATAGCTCGGTGAATGTGGACAAGATTTTTTGTTCGGGGACATAGCGAAACTTGGACGGATATTGGGCCTGGTTTGAGCACATAAGTGCTAAAGCCGAGTGATAGAAAGCTCGCAAGTCAAGAGCCCGCTTCTGGTATGCTTGGTCCATTGCCACAGAAATGTCGGGACGGGCACCAGCAGCCAAGAGAGTGGATTGCATTGATGGTGGGTCAGGAAGGGAGATCTTAGCAATAGGTTGTCGCAAAGAACATGCTTGAGGTGCAAACGAGCACGACGATGTCGAAGCAAAGGGTTGAGTGAGGCATTGAATGTCTTTAACACGTTGTATAATCTGCTTTAAAGCTGAATCGACAGAAGTCATTTGAGCCGTCGGAAATGTGTGATTGGAGCGGTATGATCAGGGTATGATCGCGACCCAATTGCAACCGGGTTTTGAAGTATATTCTGGGGACAATGAAGTGAGGTATTTTGGTAAGAAAGCGATATATTGAAGGTCCGCATTGTCTGTCCAAACAAATACATACATACATACGAGCAAGTGTCTGCATCTCATCTCTTCATCTCGAACCAAATTCTACAGGATGGACAAAAACATAGGGCAGCGCTTCCTACAAGCGGAGGACACTCTGATCGATGCAATGTCGCGCGGCGACAACGACTCCTTGATGACATTTGAGTCGTTTTGGAATTCATTGCATGCAGACTATTCCCATTGTGTATCCGCAGGAGGACTATCCGACGACACTATATCGCTTGCGAGCTTGGTAGCTTCGAGGGATCGCTATCATCTCGAAATGCTTTTTGGACTTCCAAAAAGCACGTGAAGAATCAACAAACCAATTTATTGAGGGTGTGGGGAGTATTCTAGATGGCTTCGGTCGCGTCACTATCTCACCTCCATCCACACTCATAGCGCAAAATGCACAACCACCAGAATCTTCCTTACCCCCGTTCATTGAACCAGCATACAAATGGCTGCTGGCTAATATCCATAACCCTTACCCGTCGTCTGATACGAAAGCGGGTATTGTCAGGAGCTCCAGATGTTCTATGAACTCCGTTGTTGCCTGGTTTATCGGCGCTCGCCGTCGTATCGGCTGGACGACTATTTGCCGCAAACACTTCAACAATTGCCGAGCTGACACAGCTGATGCTGCTTCTCGTGCTCTGGTCAAAGAAGACCCTACCCGTGTTCTTGCACCAGTCATCTTCCATGACTTCCAGCAGATGAAGACTGCTGCACAGGATCTTTATGCGTCTACTTTCACCAAAAGCGCGCTTGCAGGTGACCTTGATGCAGTAGTCAAGGATATGACAGAGGAAGACAGATTGCGATTGGAGCGTGAGAAGAAGGAGCGCGCCCGAGGGGAGAGGAAACGACGCGAGGAAGAGAAGGAGATACGGAGAATCCAAAGAGCGCTTGACAGGCAGGTTCAGAAGACGCACACACCTTTTGCTTCGTATCCATCTCCCAGTCATTCTCGCACTTCGTCTCCCATCTCCACTCTCGAGGAATCGTGGACAGACGAGAGTGAAGACGAAGAAAATGATTTTATTCCACCTGTTCTCGCTGGTCGAAAACGACGTGCCTCTGTATCGTCTGAATCAACCGATCCTAGGCAATCTTCATGTGCAGACCGGCCGATGAAACGCCTTCGGTAAGCCATCGTCGTTCCTCTGAGCGAGCTATCACTCATTGACATTTTTCAGGCTTAATGCGAAGGTCCCCACCTCCTTTGCGAATAATTCCACCTTGCCATCGCCCCCATCAACTAGCGATGGACTGGATGGCAGTGATGAAGTCGAAATTATTGCACCTCAGCCATCTTCAGGGTCTTCACGAAAGCGAAGGCTATCAGACGCTGATGTTCACACTGTGCCCATGCGTCCTAGAGGTCTCCTTGCTGGACCCCGTGTTCATGCTGTGTCAGATCCTCTTCCAAGGGCATCCGTCCCTCTCCAGTCAAACATCGACGACTGGTTCCAGACAAATTTCTTCGAAATTCCTGGTCCAGTCAAGAACGTCGGTTTCGATCAGTTTACCCCCGTTGACATTGAAGTCTTCAACGGGTATACATTCCCTGACACAAAAATAGATTCCACCGAACAACCCTTCCAACAAAACTACACTCCGCCCGCACTGGTAGACCGTACGTCTGCACTATCGTATCCTACGATCCCACCACTAACATTTTGTCCAACAGTTTTATCGTTTGAGGCAAAATCAGTTAATTTGGAAATTCCTTCCCGCGCTTCTGTTCCAGCATCTGATCTAGGCGATCAGGACAATTTCAATTTCTTCAACGCAATATCTACAATTGCTTCCAATTGTTCTGGCGAGGCACCTGGAGTTTCCACGGCAATCGACACCATCTTCCAGCCGCCAGCCGACCTCACTGACCTCGTTCCTTCGGACCCTTTCAGCTGGACAGATATCTTATACTCTGAACACCCCTTCCTGTCCGACATTAATCAATTCTCGCTGCCATCATCTTGCGATGAATTCTCACAACTATTACCTGAGATTGATCTCTCTGCGCTCCAGCTCCCCCCGTTATACACCTCTCCACAACCACAGCCTCCCTCATCTGTTGATTGTGCCCGCTTAGCGAAGCTGGAACAACTCCAGCTTCTGAGAGAACAAACCCGACTACTGGAGCAAGACCTAGCGGTGTCTGTGTAAGTGTTCTTGTTCTTGGTTGGCAGCTTTGTATGCTGATTCCCGAGTTAGATGATCGTCGATGTCCTCTCTTCGTTCACGCTGTCTATATGCGCTGTGCGGTCTATCAAGATATAAGTAATCTTATTCATATCATATCTCTGCTCATCATCGTGCACATTGCACATTGCATAATATATCCTACATCATGACACTCATCTCGCATTTACCTTGTTAACTTGTTACATATTGTTCCCCTTCGCTTGACAACCGCTCTGTATATACCAGGACCAAAAGAGGACTGTTGTAATTCATGCAATAATCGTGCTCTAAGATCTAGTTGAAGAGAATAAATGCAGCGGGATGGTTTCATGTAGTATAGATCCTAATGTCTTTCCGGAACGACACCATCTTCCATCCTCCATCTACCAACTTCCCGCATCGCTTCTGCGTCGCCGACTTCAAGCTCAGGTGCATCAAGCAATGCGCTGAGCATTAACCACGGGTCCCTCCCACCACCGTACTTCAGCACCTCCTGCTTGTACTTGTCTCCCAACTCGCGGTTGAGGGGGTCAGCAGAAAAGATCTTCCGCCACACATGGGATGCAATAGCACACGATCGAAGTGATACGAGTAATACGTCGCACCGTATCCAAACAGGTGCCCAAACTGGGTCTGGAACGATGTCCCAGGTGCATGCGGGATCAGGCCGCGATTATTGTATAAGTTCGCGAGAGCGGTCGTTGAGTCGAAGCCCGGCTCAAGGACGGAGGGGGAGTGGTACACCTGATCAAGTAGAGAAAGTAAGATGTGATTGTGGGTATCGATGTACTGGCAAGAATCTTCATGGTGGTTTCCAGTTTGGTTGATGATAGAAGAGCCGTCGGTGTCGAAGAGGGAGAGAACTTTTGGGGAGTTGAGGAAGTGTTCCATGAGGATAGAAGGTAGCTCGACAAAGTCAGTCGCACAACGTGTCCCTGCAACATTGTGGTACTCTGTCTGGCCGATCATGGCTTGAAATTTAGTATCTTGTCAGTAGTTATGATCTCAGTGAGATCGGGGAATTCTCACAATGCATGGCGTGTCCCATTTCATGGAACAAGGTCTGAACTTCATACCATTCGAGAATGGTGGGGCCCCGAGTAACAGATGGCGGTACAAAATCGCAAAGCAGGACTACCAGTGGCAGCTGGAACTCGCCATGCTCGCCGCGTAGTCTGTGCCGCTTAGTTGCTTCGAATTCGATAGAGGGAGCAACGAATTCATCTGCTCCGGGTATTCGCAGATCGCCAGCTTCATCATCATCGTCCGTCCGTCTGGAGCATCTAACAGTGTAATGTGCCGCTCCGCGCGACTTTCCGCTACGCGCGAAGAGATCAGCATATATCCAACCAACGACGCCTCTATCTTCGTCAACCACTTCTAGTTTGTGTACGTCAGAGTGCCATACTTCGCTAGATGCGACATCAACGGGTCGTAACGTTATTCCATAGAGGTGTTTAAATAGTCGTGAAAGGCCCATAAATACACGTCCGAGTGAAAGAGGAGGGAGGGGAACCGGTGGCGCTGGCGGTTCGGGTGGGCAATAATAATCCCTATCCCACGCCTGGATAATAGGGAGGTCCGTCGATTTAAGATGTGCTTGCTTCCGTAAACGCAATGTATGCAATGCTTTGCGAGCAACAAGCGTAGTCCGATCCAAGAAGGTACCCAAAAAATGATTGACATTTTCTACATAACTTCGACATCAGGACTGGCCGACATGCTACCACACGTAACCGCTCACCCGGAGTTTTCGCCATCTTATCGCTGAGCGTCATGCCAGCATAACTGTCCCAACCCACTAGGCGGCTCAGCTGTGCACGCGCATTCAACAACCGCTCAAGGCGGTCAATTTGCTCTGCACTGCTCATGTGGCCTGCCATGTACACCTTTCTTCGTGCTTCTTCATCAGGTGCCTCGCGCAAGATCATGTAGGCTTGGTGAGAGCCCGGATAGACCAGCAAGTCCTTCTGCGTGAAAAAAGCTTGTCTTTGAAGACGAGCGCCCATTCCTCGGTCCTTCAAACCTTCAAGCTCGGAGGGCTTGATCTTCACCGGCGGTCGCGGGGCAGAAGCTTCCGTGACAAACGCGTGACCTACAGATAGAATCTCGGACGAAAGGGACACAAATCTCTCCCTTTGTTCTGGGGGAAGTTTGATAGCAGACTTTTCGAAATCATGCCAGAATATCAGTGCTGTTTGAAGTGCTTCCTGACTGAGAGACTTGACGATTTCTGGGTCGTGCAGTACAGTGTGCAGCACCTGCCAAAGGAAGTGACATCTTAAAGATACGGAAAAGTGCACGACTCACTTCACATAACCCGACATGAGTATTCAGTACATTCATGAACTCGCATAATTTCTCGTAGCTCTCCGTAGCACAATCCACCCACTGAGCATCAGGATGTGCATTCCGCAAGAGCTCCGCTAGGTCGATGACACCACACAGGAGATCACTGAGTCTGTCCAGATTCTTGATCACTTTGAAGAGCTCGGATCGAGATTCCCTAGCTCGCAATATTCGTTCTGTCAGGAGTTGCGCGCGTACGAGGGTCGAGTCAGCGAGCGCACTGAACGCAGCCGGCGTCGTCAGTTGAGGATGCTGAAAAATGCCTGTGACAAATAACGGTGAGGCTTTCTGCCCTGTCTGCGGTTGGTCGAAGAGAGAGACCAGTTCTGCATCATCCGAGGACGGAGGTCTCACCAGAGTTGATGCTGTTCGGCGAACCAGACCAAGCTCGTGAGCACGAAGATCACCACGAAACTTTGGTATGGATCGCGGTATCTTCTTGAAAGCATTCTCCGCGATACGTGCAATCATTCGACGGCGCTGGACGTGGTTTTGAAGCAAAGTCCACCGAGGACTTTCACCGTGACTATAATTTGGACTTAGTCCGATGATTGCACCCGCATAAATATTACCTAAAAGCAATCGACCGGGTTAACAAGGGCACGCTCGCGAGCATCAGCCTCCGAAAAAAAACAAGTATCAGTTGGAAGGTTGATTACACTTGTAAAAACATCAGTATCGTGATCGCTAATAAATTGCACATGGGAGCACAAGGGGAGGTGATAAGCTTGACGCGTTTTTTTTTGGAAAAAATGAATAGATATATAGTACAAACGTGGAGGATCAAAAATCCACTGCTGTATCATCATTGCAAGACCTACATAGGTCAGAGGGAGTAATAAGATGAATGATTAGACTAGGCTGATCAATGGATGAGGCTTTGCTGGTATGTGGAATATTATGGAGTGCGAGTAAAATGGTGAAAAAGAATAAAATGCCATGAGTCGAATGAAGCGACGAGATAGAAATTGTGATTATGCATCCCGCAATCCTTCCAGGGGAACTGGTGACAAGCTAAATTCTCTCCGGCTGTCGACGTCCATCGCATCTCCTTTGCCATGTGTCGGGAGCGAAGTGTTACTGGTGCCGGAACGGCCGGTATCTCCGTTGTGTTCATGACCGTTCAGGGAGGTTGAACCACTACCACCAGGTGGTAGGACGTCAGAAGGCGCAGAGATCGGTTCCACGGCATAGAACCAAAACTTGCTCTTCTTCTTCCCTCCGAGCTGCTCAACTGCAATCTCAGTTGGTTTGACAGCTGCTGCGCCATTCGCTTTTGCCTTTGAGACGCCGTTTAAATTCTCGGCTGGCAAGACCGGAGGCCAGCCTGCAGACGTAGAACTCATTGTGCTTTCTTCCGTTCGAGCACGTTTTGATGGACGCTCCACAGGTGTCTCTTCAGAAGGGCCGAGACGAGCCGACCTCCTTTCACCTTTCCATTCAAAAGCAGACAAATCAGGGGAGGGTCGCTTGGTTTTTGTGGCGCGAGTGGATCTCCGCTGCGCAGTAGCCTCCGGCTGCCGACGGCCATGTGATCGGGAACTACCAAAGTTGTCCTCCGTAAACGGCTCGTCATCATAGTCATTGTCTTCCTCAAATTGATATTCATCCGCATCGTCCTGATCATAAAAATAAGTTAGCAATCGAGACTAAACTTGATGACAACCGCTTACCTCCCCACTCTCGGCGTCATGGTACACGTAGTCGGGTCGACGAGTTTGTCGTCGCGTGCGAGTCTGTCGAATTTCAGCTTGGGCCATGAGTATCTGACGTTGCTCTATCTTCTTGCGGGCCCTTTGTACGCGCTAGACGATTGGTGAGTAAATGTTTCAAGTAGCGTTTCAAGTGAAAGTAAGATCTATCTGTTATTTACTGCTGATCAGGACAAACGAATACTCACCGCTAAGTCCGCGTCAACAATATCTATCCGGCTTTCGAGTGCCTTGACGAGCGCAGTATGGGCTTGTTCTAGTTTGTTTTTACGATCGCCTTGCGGGGAAGATGCTTTCAGCTTCTCAATCACAGCAAGGTACTCTTCACGCGTCGAAGAGACCGCCTGGAACGTCGCAGTGATTTTCCAGGGGTTAGTTGACACGTATATCCGCGGGGAATCTAAGATAGATTAGAAACGGGAGTCAGCCGGAAATCCTTACAGACGGCTAACGCCGGATAACATGGGGACCAAAAAAATGCGGCCTCGCACCAAATACACGCAAATAGGAAAGAGGGCGAGGAGCTTGAAATGAAAGACACACGAACCATCTGCGACCCAATACCGCTTGCGTTGTGCATCCTGGCCTAATGGAACAAGTTGCAGATTCTGCTGGCTCTTGGAATCATTGGATTCAGGAGGGGCAGTTTCAGGGTCTTTCTTCTTGTGCTTGTTCTGCATCACGCCCCATGCGCGATCAACAGTGCTTTTTATGTCAATGGAATGCGTGAGCTGCAATTCCACGAGCTGGCGAAGAACTTGGAGCTGTATGGAATGTAACGTGACGCGCGCTCAGGGGTAATTCGTACAGCATGGCAAGACAATGACAAACTTTGAGATCCCAATCGGCTGCGAAAAACCCGCCTTCTAAATCGGCAAAAGGGTTCACATTCGACCTGAGTTCGTCGTCCCAGAAAACAGTTCGCTCCGATGCCTTGAATGCATCTGCAAGAACAGCATTCAAGGTGGCAGAGATCTGATCAAGACTAACAAAAGCACAATGACGGTCAAACATTTCCCTTGTGTGAACGAGCTGTGGCAAACAGTGCTTACCTCAAATTACGCGTCTGCGGTCGCAGATTCAGTATAAACTGCTGTAAAATCTTTTGGAGTATGGGATCTGGACCATGCGTCAAGAGGGCATTTTCAAAGCTGTTATCGGGGGAAATCGCGTGTTTAGTTGACACAAGTGAGGTGCATGTAATGCGGGTGTGTGCTCACTCCATCGGTGTTTCCAATCCCTCCACCTTCGACCTCAGATTCGTGAACTTGCATATAAAAGAGTAAACAAATAGTGACTCCCATCTATCGGAAGGGTGTTTAGCATTTGAGGGAGGGCAGATGTGCCCTTTCTTTTCTGTCTGCTGTGCAGCAGACATGATGCAGAGAATGAACGTGAAGGAAAGGGTCAAGAGTGGTCACGGATTTATGAGCCGCATCATCCGTGGCTACTTATATCAAACCAACTTAACAAATATGTGGCAATAGTGGAACCCCAGGCACTTCGCGTGTAAAATACATGAATTTCAGGCAGTCTACAAAGACATGATGATGATATGAAGACAGTCGTCGCCACTGAAACTCTGCACCGCAGGCCCGCACAAAACCAGTCTCTGAGCCGAACGCGGTACTGAACGCGATTTTTTGCAAATATTATCCTGGGCCAACCTAACAAATGCCGTGAGACTTTGCACGGACTGCCATGAAATTGTACACACCTTGGGAATATCATGATGCTCACTGAGCGACTCAAGTTTAGCATTAAGCTCGTTGACGCGATCTTTGTGCGTCTTGCGAGCCAATTGGGCTACTTTATTTTCGAGCTGGACGTTGGCGTCAATATTTGGAGAGCTTTCGTCTCGACCGTAAAACTCACCCTGCGCCTTTGTGCTTCCTCAAAACGTCGTTCCGCATCCGTTTTTCTGACATCACTCCCCGGTAGAGCAGGAGAATTGCTCCCCGACGCCGAACCACTAGCAAGTTCTGCCTCTTCTTTGAATAATAATTCCTTCACTCGTTCACGCTCGCGGTCCTTAGCACCATCAGATTGCGAGTTTGATTTGTGTTTAGATTTCTTCTTTCTGCTTATCTGTCAGGTGCACTGAATGGTAAGAACTAATGATACATACTTCTTCACGATACCTCCTTCAGCAACACCGCCCTTAAACTTGAGTGAGCCTCCTGGGCGAAAATCGTAGTCCGCCATCGGGGGCTGCCTGAGCAGATGACGGGGTGAAACAAGGAGGGTCTGCTGACGTAAGGAAATCATTGTCGAGTAAACAGCGGCAAACTCGTACCCAGTGGTACTCCAGTAGTACATTTTGCCCTTGCGACATTGGGCTCTTTCAGTGCAACAATTCCAAGGACATTCTCGACGAGGGCGACGGTCTCTAGTACTTTGGTTCTAACCGGGACCTCTATAGCCATACCCGACGATCTTCCCTGGTTTTGACGTGTCACCATGGCTATCCTTTCGACACCGCTGCAATACATCAAATCTGTACCACCAGTGACGCGTTTTTTTACTGCGGCTACTTTAGCTTCCTCCACATTGTATCTTTGGATAAGATGGACAACAGGCCCTACACCGGTTGCCTACTTGACATTGGTACCTGGAACAAGCCTGTTCTTTCCTTGGACATTTGTAACCTCAGCCCTGGTCGAAATAAGTGTTATTGAGGCGAGTATTGTTTTATCGACGATTGAGGACGAAATGTATTGATACTGAACGATTCTTAAAAGCTCATTATCTCGCTTCTTGTCATTCCCGCTTCGTTAGCTTATTTTGAGCGCCTGTGGGGGACCGTCGAAACTCTCAAGTTTATTATCGTATGCGTGACCGGACCCAATATCATCGGGTGTGCCTTCAACTGGATTGAATTCGCTGTGACGCGTAATGCCGAGTTGTTCCTGTACGTTTCTCACATACCTTGCGATGGCAGCGCCTCACATCCTTGGACAATGCAGATATGGCATGGAGTATCACGGTCAAATGGCATTATTTATCAGCCTGCTTGTTTCATTTACTCAAGTGATCCCTGAGCACCAAGTTCAAGTTTTGGGTTTTATCAAGGCCCGCGTCAAGGTAAAAACAAAGTTGTCCGACACTTGTTGATCTGACCCCATCTGTAGAGGCTTCCTATGGCGTACTTGACTTTTTCGACCATAATGACACTACTTGGCTTCCAAAGCCCATATATTCTCATTCAGTTTGGCTGGTTTGTGTCTTGGATATACCTCCGCTTCTATAAGCGCAGTGTTAGCGACTCCCTAGGAGGGGTAGTGTCGTATGGTGACCGCAGCGAAACATTTGCTTTGACAAGCTGGTTCCCACCATTCCTGCAGTGAGTATTTTTTTTTTCATTTTTTTCCCTGCAGTTACCGACTTTTTCCCAGTACACCGCTATCAATGCTAGGAAGCACAGTATACAAACTTGCAACACGTTTCCATCTTCTTCCTACCTCTGTGCCTCATGACATTGAGTCTGGAGGGTATAGTCAGGTGCCAGGTGGAGCTCGAGCCGAAGCTGAAAGGCGGCGGTCAGTAATTTCTTCCATTGTCCAATCAACTGTGTTAACTCTCACTTCCAGGGCACTTGCACTGAAGGCACTTGACCAGCGACTGGCCAACTCCTCCAGTGGTTCGCCAACTCAGAGCGGAATATCTCAAGCTCAGTCTTCAAGACCCTCACCTGCTGCGCCCGCACCAGCACAGAATGAAAGAAAATCTAGCTCTGTGGAGATGGACGTAGCAGACACGTCAGGCTCTGATGATGGAAGAAGATAGTGTACGGCCTAATGGTCATCTTCAGTAGCTAATATCCCTGGAGCGTCTTCATTTCATTTGTCCAACTACATAGCAATAGCCTCATGGTTACGTAATATATACCAAGTCTGTTGACCACGTCGGACTGTTTCTAAGTCCACCAGCCTGGTGAAACATATCGTCGGACATTAACGACTTCGTATACATGGCTCGGCGACCATCTACAGTGTCGGTTGCATCGTTTGGTTCGATCAAGGGCCTTACAGAACTGTCCCATTTAACTTCAGTGTCAACATTCGCGCCATCCCCTTCAGCACTCAAGTTCCCTCGTTCAGTCCCATCCACTCATTCCTCGAGCGTGCAATCCACCAGGGTACAGGATGAGACCGTGGGCATAGACCCAGATGAATTGTTCGCGAAATGTACTATTCCTGAGGTTAAGGCGAAACAAGTTCAGCTAAGGTGCGTCACGACCTACCCATGTTGGTCACCTTGGCTCAAAACGAGATTTCAGGTCGGACGCTGAAGCCAAGCAGGAGGAGCTTCGTGTTATGGTCGGGTGCGTGCTCTTGCCTGAATGCACTTCGCGACTTGACTGTACTTTGAAAGCGCAGGGAACGGTATCGCGATCTACTACGAGCCTCAACGTCCATAATTTCCATGTCAAAGTCCGCAAAGCGTGTACAAGAAGCATTCCAAGAAACTAAAGATGCTATTACGTCTCGGCAACAGCCATCCAGGGAGGATCGTACATCTAATGTAGGCAAGGAAGGTCAGTGCTAGTTTGTCCAATAACACTGCATTACTTCATATTCATATTTCAGACTCGCATTTGCAAACATTACAAGTGCTCTCTGCCCACATTAAGTTACTTCTTGATACCCCAGAACATCTATGGCGTCTTATTGAAAGAGAAAAATATTTCCATGCCACCTGGTTATTCATGCTGGCACGTGTCGTGCACCGGACACTTTCTCGTGACGATGACCAAGATGAGGACAGTTGGTTAAACCAAGGCGTCAATGTGGTGGTAAATTCTGCGCTAAATGTCTTTCTTACCTTCTGACGTCTCGCATCCAGGAGCAATTTCCACTAATCCAGCGACAGTGGGAGACTATATCTCATTTTCGCTCTCAGATTGTCCATAGAGCCACATTATCTCTGAGGACACACGAGAAATCACCTGAGGTCCGCTTTTTTATGTTGTACGCGTTGTCTTCTCATGTTCTCAATCCAGGACACCTGTGCAACTATTCTGACTCTCCATATCCTCGAGTCAAAACCTTTGACAGACACTCTGACGACGTATCTCTCCCAAAGAACGCGGACTATGCACACACTTGTTTCAAAAAACTCAAGTATCATGACAACTGCATTCCCAAATGGTGTTCCTACGACACAGACGAACGGCCATCCTCTGGGGGTTTCCAAGCTATCGCAGTCTAAACGCATTCCTTCCAATGACAAACTTCAAGAAGTGAAGTCCTCACTGCTAATTCTTGTCGAGGTGATATCAAGGACCGTAAATTGCGCTCGAAACGTATTCCAAAGTCAGAGACCCACGCAGCCAGCCCTGGCAATCCGCGTGCTGGAGCAAATACATACTGAATCGCCCGCCGTATCTGGCCCGGAGACTACACTTCCTTCTGAACTGGCTTTGAGCACCCAGACAATTCTTTCTGGACTTCCGTCGTCGTCATACTTCACTCTTCTTCCAGCTGGGATAAGGTCATACAAACCTTATGTTGAATTGTCTTCCGCTTCGTCTTCCGTGCCAGGACACTTTCTGGAGGATAAACTACGAACTTGGTTTGACCAGTCCTGCTCTATACTTCGGGATTCTTTGGACCGCTGGTTGCTGGAGTTGGACAGTGTGAAGAGCGTTTGGAATATTAGGTCCTCCTTGCGAAATTGGCTGCTCACATCGGGGTTGGTGAAAACGGAGCAGACGGCACTCGATGCTCTATTAGAAGAAGCTGTCAGAAAACGAATCACCGCTATATGGACCGATACCATTCACAGGGCGAAAGAGCTGTTCTTGAAGGCGCTGTCTTCACTTACTCCAAGTAGTGAAGTCGTTACTGAAGGTATGTATCTTGGTACTCTTTGCAAAAACATGTTTCAAAAGGACCGTCCAATTATCAGAATTTTCTCCTCTAAACAGCATATATGTGCCCCAATCTGTTCCACCCCCACCCCTAACAGGAAGTGGACCTTCAGCGTACGAACTCCCGTACCAAACGTATAGAACAGCTTTGCAATCACAACTTCGTGGTCGGACACCTCGCCTGCAGACTTTCTTAAACATTCTGGAGGAGTCTGCAGCTTCACTGCAAAAAGATTACTCCCGTATCAGTTTGGATCAGAGCAGCAAGTGCGTTCATATCTTTGTTTCATCTGACGATCTTTGATCAAGCTGTGGCATCTAGGAGGTTGGTCCGCAATCTAGTTGAGGCATATCTCCCAGAGGCGAAGGCTTTCTGTTCTATGATCGCCGACGCTCTTACTTCGACTACTGATGAGCTGATGAACCAGTCAGGTAAGACGACACTACACCCGAATGCTCTCCTCCAAACTCACCAGTCAAAAAGACACCGCTAAGGCTATGAGAAATATGACATTCCTTAGTCGAGTGGCGGTCGAAATATCAATGACATCACCTTTCCTTCACAATATAGGTTGTGATGAGGTTGTTGCACTGCGTATGTTGATCATACCACCAAACATACATACCTGATTGTTAACAACCGAGTCGCTTAGAATTTCGAGACAAAACTGGTTTGCTATTTAACCGAATCATCAACCGGTGGAAGGAACACGCTATTTCTTCTGCTATCTCAGTATATGACGACGCAAAATTTTATTTAACACTTTCTGGTCTGTACTTTATTTACCTTGCAAGGCATTCTCCTGACACCGTCCAACATACCCTATTGCAGGGCCATCACCAGCCCTCATGGAAAGCCTGCATGCTTTATCGACTTCCTTACATAGCTTGGGTCTCACGCACCATCCATCACAACTCACCGGCATAGCGTCATCACTCCTTAGCCTATTCATCGACACATTCACCCGTGATGTGCCGAACAGCGATACAGGTCGGAATGTGCAGATATTAAATGATGCAACCTTCCTACGATGTCTTGCGTCAGCCTGGCCTTCCGAGGCACTCGAGGCATCTTCACTCAACAAATTGGTCGCCGCGCTGCAGTCGGAAGTACGTAGCCGTCATCATTGTGATGCAACATCTTGACAATGGGATTTATAGGTTCAATCTCCAGAGGGCCATCCACAATCCGATCCAGAACAAGCTGCCAAGGAATACTTGATGAGGACTCAAATGTTACTTTCAGCGCTTCTTCCGCCTTCCTCTTCTGTACAAGCCGCAAAGGAAGGTGCAGACAAGATGAGTGCACTACTGACCTATGACGTGCCTGGGGCAGACACTACATTTTTGTCAGCTGTGAGGCTTGTCAAGGTTTCCACTCGGTTCCCTTTACTGCTGGTGGAAACTCGATAGCGGCTGAGTGAATGTGTTCGCGGCTATTTCTACAATATGGACCTGTTTCGAGCAACACATTGATATTGTGCTCCCAGGATATCATTCCACGATTGTCTGCATTTGCTCGTGTTTGGAAGCATCTCAAACCCGTTTCCGAGTTCTGTGAATTTCTTGCAAGCAACGTAGTTGCATCAGGTTCGAGATTTACAATCGATTTTGTGTACTTCATACATCGTAATCCCCTGTGAATGGCCCCCCTGGGGTCATCATTACAATGAGCCGCAGTAGACTCTGCTACTGCAACATCGGTTGGCTTCGTTTTGTACATCCATTAGAGTCAGCGAGACCCGGGCCCTACTGGAACTACATATCCACATCGGATCATCCATCCAGAGTACCACGGCAGATACTCAACAACTCGATAGCAATTGCCCCACGGTCCTTATTTGGCCGCATGGACAACCTCAAAATATTTGTGCAGCGCTCAGCCCAGCTTCTGCTACTATCCCTCTCCCACACCATTGTCTCTGAGCCAATGGTGCACTCCCCGACACCGGAAACCACGGAGGAATGCTTCTGCAAAGAACTCGAACTGGACAGGAAGGATGCCGAGTGCGAATTTCCTCGAGCTACGAAGATGCAGGTATACTATTTGAAGCAGCTGAACCCATAACATTATGTCGTTCATTTCTGGGAGGTATGTGATATATATTTGGCTGCAATTTCATAGGATTAACAGGTATCATCTTAGTAAAAAGAATGTACATCTCTGCTTCTATTCCGCCTTGCTATGTATGTTCTGCCTGCTCAATTCCCAAGCTTCATCTGTGCCTTCCGAGAGCATATTTTCATCCAGCAAAGAGACCTGCACTCTACGGTGCAGCAACTTATCTCCGACCACGCCCGAAGCACTAAGTATAAGTCCTGAAGTTTACTTACGAGCAAGACCGCCTCAAGTTTACAGAGGACCTGGTGGCTGACAACTTGAAGCGGGACTACGCAATATCTGGACCTGTGACTCCCAGGGTAGTTGACGAGCTGATAGCTGCTGAGAATCTTTGCAAGCTTGACGAGTTGCTCCAGAATGTGAGGGACATTGACTGCAATTAGTATTGTACTAGTCACTTACAAATAATGCGACAGCGGCGTGCAGAATCCCTAGCTTCTCATTAGCTGGATTACCAGTCCGAGTCACTCCTGAACATCGCGAGGCAAATGAGGTACACTTCGTCTCAACTCGTTAGTGCTGAACGGTGTCGATTTACCAGAATTTTCCACCTTGATTCGATTCGCCTCTGCAGCAACACTATCAATGTCCAACTAGGCTGGAGGTACATGACACGCGAAAATGGGACACATATTAACGGGATGAATAAGTTATGCTCCTCCGCTGTCCGAACATGAGCACAGAGAACCACTTTCAAAGACAGTAGCACGTACACAAGAATATTATTTCTAGAAAAACGATGTCAATTTGCGAAGCATGAGAGACAACGTGTAAGACGCACATTGGGATGTGAATGAGTTTTACGAAGTATCCAATGAAACCCATGACAGCAAAGCCAACAGCGACTGCCCTACAGATCTGAATGAATTCTGTAATTGTACTTTCAGTACCATGTCATATGGATGAAACTTAGAACCCACCTTTCTGCGATGGTTTCGTGCAACGTGTAAGGAACTAGCAAGCAGGACAAGTCAGCAAAGTTCATGCATGATTCAGAGTTTAGCAAAGCCAACCTGGTTTCCGTCGCGAACGAATTGCTGGGGAATGTCAATGAATTCCTTCAATTTTTCAGACATGGCAGTTTGTAAGTGAGTGTTTAAAGTGAGATTATGACCACGTCTTCCCGGGCCAATACATTTCCCACGACACTTTACCGCAACTAAGCAAGTTGGTACGACTGGACTGAAAACATTTAAATCAGACATCGACTGACCGTATTCAATCTTACAGGCAAAACTATCGGCGCAGGTATCTGAGCGCGCATGAATGTCCCTTAGCCGCGCTGTTGCCCGGTTAGGATACCCTGCAGGTTCTTTCACCCGTTCCGTCTCGAGGCCACCTACTTTACGTCGTGCAGCACCCGCCTTTCGTGTCAAGAGAGACCAGAGACGATTCTTGACTGTTAAACACGACCCCTCCCTTTCCTATGTCCCAGATGTCGGTGTCATTGTTGACAAAATTCGGCGGTGTATCCCCACAGCAAATGTTGGCGCTCTACACCAGCAGTTTTACGGCCTATTTCGCGTGCTGGGCGAGGAAGAGAAGGATAAACCTACGGTTCCACCCCTCAAAGAAGAGGAGATCCACGGCGCGCTATCAGTACTAGCTGTGTCGGGTAGACACCATGATTTGGATATGGTGGTGAAAATCCTCGTCGACTTGCGCATGCTTTGCGGTGTTGAAGTGGGGGTGAAAGTGTACAATGTCATCCTCCGTGGCTTGATCACGAATGGAAACCCGCAAACGGTTTTCAACTGGCTTATGAACATGCCTCAAAAGCCGAAAAATATGACGCCTACCCTTTTACAGTGGCACATGTTCTTCGAGTGGTGTGCTGAATCTGGGCTTGTGGGAGTGCTTCATCACAGCATCTCCAAGATGCATCGCTCTGGACGTCGTCCCACCATCAAAACATTTGAAATTCTATTCAACGCTTTCTTTGATACTGGTGCTCCAATCAAGAAAATTTACGACGCTCTAGATATCATGGAACATACCTCGTTGACGTACGATGAGAACTTCGCGAAACTTCTCTACGATGGTTTTGTCAAACTTGGTCTTGCGGATCGAGCTCAGGAGATGAAGGACAATTATTGGAAACGTTTTAGCAAGAGGTCGAGGACGACAGATCCCAAAATGATTGAGTGGACAGAGAGCATAGAGAGAGAGGCTGAGGACAAGGGGATTGCTGCGGCAGTAACTCTATGCAAGTCATTGCAGAAATATGGTTTCAAACTCACTCCGCACACCCTCACACTTCTCATCCGGCGTACACACCGCCTCGAGCACCTTCGATACGCGGAAGCCGAACTACACCTGAAGGCATCCATAATTCAGTGGGCCATCTTGATCAGTAATGCTGTGCGTATCGGTGACCTGACAAGTGCTCTGTCGATCTACGAGGAGTCCAAGTCTACTGGGATTACTCCCGGCACGCCCTTAGTACACCCACTAGTCAATGCCCTCTGCACCACTTCAAATACTCTTGATGATGTTGCAATTGATCGAGCATTAGAACTATACAAGGACCTCGCTGAGGCCGCTCCCATCACCCAGTCGAAACAAGAACTCCAACCTCCAGGACGCCGGCATTCCTCGGGCCCAGATGCCAACCTCTACAACATCTTATTCCGCGCATTTGGCGCTTCGAAGAACGTCAAAAAGTATTTTCCTATTGCGTTTTCCCTCCTTGAAGACATGGAGGCTAGAAATGTTGAACTCAACAGCCCGCTGGCTGTTTCTTCTCTGGCCATCGTTGTCATGCGGTGTGCTTCCAGCTTCGATGATGCATTGAAGGCCTATAAACGAATATGCAAACGACCCAATGCGCCTCGCCTCGATGCCAAAGGCTACCAAGCAATCCTTCACACCTTGACCCAACTCTCATTTGGAGACCACGAAACATTACCGTCCGTGTGGCACTATTTTGAAGTAGTGAAGGACATGCAGAAGGCGGGGGTTGAGATCACAGCTCCCGTATACACTATCCTCCTCCGGCATCTCGCATTACTCTCAGCGGAACTGCCACCCGAGGAGCGTGATGCCCTTGCAGCGGCTGTGCGGAGGGCACATGATCACCTGACGCTCGACCCTTCCTTCACGCCCGATACAGTGCTTTGGAACCAGTTGATGGACAGCTATCAGCGCGTTGGGCTGTTCGCGGAGGCATACCGCGTTTGGGAAACGCTCTTTATTACGGGGCGCTTCAATCAAGCGAGCGTTGCAATTATCATTGACGCATGTGGGTTTGCGGACGCCTGGCCCATGGCTGCACAGGTGTGCCTGAAGTTGACTAAGCTCGGGTTTAAGTTCAACTTGCGGACGTGGAATACGTGGATAGAGTGCATGTGCCGTGTTGGGAAGCTTGATGATGCGCTGAAGGTTGTGTGTTTGGAGATGGGGAAAGATCAGCTGAACATCGCGCCCGATGTTAACACGGTCAAGGTACTTCTTTCGTTCGCTGCACGGACAAACCAGCAAGACGAGGTGATGGACCGTATCAAACGGTATCTCCCTCAGCTATGGCATACGTTGCCCACCGAACTCGACGGATATTTCATCAGAGAACGAACCACGGTGGTAGACCCAAAATGATCATCGTAAATCTATTCGTGATGGTAAATACAGTAATAATGGTATAAGTGTACAAAGCGTGTGGTTGAGCATTACGCGTGACAAGTGTGTGTTCTAGAGGAGTAGAAAAACAGTTAAGAGCAAGAAAGCCTCGAGATGGTCGTAATATGATAAGAGTAGCTTACGAGGACGCAAGTTCCTCAACTGTTGGGCAGTCACACTGAAAAATGGAACGGTAAGCTCGGAAAAGTAATGATATCATTTACTTACAATAAGGTTAAGGTCGCCGTAGGCTGGATGATAGAAATAAGCCAATGCCTCCAATATCGTTCGCGAGGCAACTCACCATCGTCTATACGAGAAACAGTTGGCCAGAACTTCTTCTCGCGGAGCCATGGCATGGGATATGCTGCCTCTTCGCGCGTATAAGGACTAGAAGGTGCACATCAGCCATATCACGAAACGCAACCTTGAGAAACCACCGACCGGTTCCATTCTTTGTCGGACGCAACCATAAGTGAAAGTGGATGCGGTGCGTTCTTGAGCAGGTTGTTATCCCTGGGTTGTTTGCCAGTGATGATATCTTCCGCTTCCTTCCGGATCTGAATCATAGCATCGCAGAATCTATCGATCTCTTCGAGTGTTTCGGACTCGGTAGGTTCGATCAGCATACAAGTGGAGATAGGCCACGAGCACGTAGGAGGATGGAATCCGTAGTCCTAAATGCGTCAGTCAGCGACAACGACAACGACAACAGCCAATTCTAAGAACACACACCTGCACCCTTTTCGCGAAATCTGTCACCTTCAACCCTGCAGCTTTATCAAACTCGGCAAGATCGATGAGCAGCTCGTGAGCAACTCGGCCGTTCTTATTCTTGAACCGAAGGCTGTAGTGCCCTGCAAGTCGATGCGCCATGTAGTTGGCATTGAGGAGTGCGATGTTGGTGGACTCCGAAAGGCCGTTGCCGCCGAGCATCTTGATGTAAGCCCATGAAATAAGGAGGATGGAAGCACTGCCGAAGGGGGCAGCTGAGACGGCATCGATGGCGGCATCACCGCCAGTCTTGACCAGGGGATGCGAGGGAAGGAAAGGTGCAAGGTGTTCGGCGACGCAGATGGGTCCAACACCAGGTCCTCCACCTCCGTGGGGACTGTGCAAGGTACGTGAGCAAATATCAATGCAAGTCATCGCTTGCACTCACATAGCAAAGGTCTTGTGCAGGTTGAGATGGCAAACGTCGCCTCCGCAGACCGCAGGGTTCGTCAGTCCAACCTGTGCGTTGAGATTTGCACCGTCCAAGTAAACTTGTCCACCACAGTCATGAATGATCTTGCAGGCCTGTGACGTATAATTGAGTGCTCCAGATCAGCATGGGAAACAAGGATACATACATCGGCAACGCCATCTTCAAAGACACCGAACGTCGAGGGGTATGTGATCTGCCCCGGAATGAATTTTAATCCTAATTGATACAAACATAACTCACCATGAAAACCGCAAGGTTATTTTTGTGTTTCTCGGCCTTTGCCTTCAAGTCTTCCAGGTCCAGGTTCCCATCTGCATGTGTCTTGACTGGAACAACTTTCAAGCCTGCCATCACAGCCGACTATCGCCTCCATCAGTTTTATTACTGGACAAGGGACAATACCTACCGCAGGATTGGTGCCGTGCGCACTAAGGGGTATCAAGCACACGTCACGGTGTCCCTCCCCGCGGGATTCCTGGTATGCCCGGATGACAGTCAACCCAGCATATTCACCCGCAGCGCCTGAATTCGGTTGCACAGAGCAAGCATGGAAACCAGTAATCTTGCAGAGGTCGTCTTCCAGCTCCTATAAAGAATAATTAGCGCCTTTGTCCTACCACGGCTCAAATTCACAAACCTTGATGATCTTCCTGTATCCTTCGACCTGCTCGTGTGGCGCAAACGGATGGATACCACCAAACTCGGGCCATGTAAGTGGGATCATGCTGCTCGTGCTGTTAAGCTTCATCGTACAGCTTCCAAGCGGGATCATTGCGTGCACAAGACCGAGGTCCTTGCTCGCAAGGTGGAATATGTACCTGAGCATCTCAGTCTCACTGTGGTGTTTGTTAAAAACGGAGTGGGAGAGGAACTCAGACTCGCGCACGAGCTGATGAGGGAATGCAGGTTCCTTGGGAGCGGGCAGGTCGGCAAGATTGGGCTCTGGTTGCGAGGCGGCGATGTGGAAGGCGCGTATGAGGGATAGGAGGTCCCCTTGACCTACTGACTCGTCGAGAGTGACACCAACGGTGTTCTTGTCCACTCTTCGGAGGTTAAGGCCCTGCAACGCAGCAGCGGCATGCATGACTTCAGCATTCGCGCAGTGCTTTGAGACATCAATGGTGAGCGTGTCGAAGTAGGAGGACGCGTTGATCACGCGGAATCCAAGACGCTCGACGGCAGACTTGAGGATCTGTGTGAGGAAGTGCACTTTCTTTGCGATGCGCTCGAGTCCTATGGGGCCGTGATATACTGCGTACATAGCGGCCATGTTGGCGAGAAGGGCTTGCGAGGTGCAAATGTTGCTGGTGGCCTTTTCGCGGCGAATGTGTTGCTCTCGGGCTGCATGTGATTGATGAGAACACGAAATAGAGGGTAGCAGGGAGGGCCTACTTTGCAATGCCAGTCTATATGCGGGGTTACCCATAGTATCTTTGCTCCGGCCAATCAAACGACCAGGCATTTTCCGCTTAAGCTTCTCTGTGACGGCAAAGAAAGCACCATGAGGACCTCCATAACCGGCAGGAACACCAAATCGCGCAGAGTTGCCAAGAACGATATCAGCGCCCCATTCACCCGGAGGTTGAAGAAGTGTCAAAGCAAGAAGATCTGTCGCGACGATGACCAGTGCGCCTGCTTCATGCACCTGCTTCGTGAAATCACTGTAGTCGGTGACGAGGCCATTCACATCAGGGTATTGCACAAGGACACCGGCGAGATCGGCGCGTAATGTGTCATGTTTGAGTGCGTCAGCCACGTCACCGATGACAAGATTTATACCAAAACCCTTGGCACGTGTCTTGAGAACAGAGATAGTCTGGGGAAGGACTCCCTTGTCGACGAAGAATGTCTTCTTCTTCTGGTTGAACTGCACGTACGCCATGACCATGGCTTCTGCGGCAGCGGTTGCTTCATCAAGGAGGGATGCGTTTGCGATGTGCATCGATGTAAGGGACATGATCATCGTTTGGAAGTTCACCAATGACTCGAGACGACCTGGTGGCACCATTAGAAAAAAAAACTAGTGGAAAATTTGACAACGAACCCTGGGCGATCTCAGGCTGGTATGGAGTATACGGGGTATACCACGCAGGGTTCTCAAATATCTATAGACACGATCAACACAATACTGGGGTAGCTGAGAGCGTGACATACATTCCGCAAAATCACAGGGGGTACGACGGCATTATGGTAACCCATGCCAATGAAGCTCTTGAACTGCTGGTTCTTCCGACCTAGCTTTTTTGCGGTTGCGTGAAGCTCTGTCTCGCTCAGTGCTGGGATGGACGCATTGCTGACGGTGGAGCCAGCAATGCGAATGTTCTGCGGTACGGTCGCAGCTAGAAAAGACTCCATGGAGTCAAAGCCCAGCTTTGAGAGCATAAACTCGGTCTCGTTGTCGTCTGGTCCAACATGCCTGTTGGTAAAAGTATCCAGTGACTCGAAAAGATTTGCTGGAGACTTTGCGGTCGCAAGCCCACGAACTGAAAGGGACTGATAAATAGAACGAGCTGCAGATTGCCTGAGATGAGTCGAGGCGATACGCAAGGCGGCCATGAGAGGCCAGATAATGGCAGTATGAGAGAAAGAGTCGGGTGAGTACGGAAAAGAAGGAATGAATGACACTGACCTTGTTCACCGAGCCAGATTTTCATTCACCGAGTAGTATCATTACGCGTTTGAACTTTGCAGTATCTTATTGATAGGTCTGGGAAAACGCTGATAAGTGCCCGACTAAACGAAACGCTTACAATTTTCGTGTGAGGCATTCGAATGGTCCCATCGATCCGAGCGCTAGCAGTCAAGCGTTGTGCTAGTAGATGCCAACAATTTGCGCTATATTCATTGACGCCCTCTATTTCAATCCTTTCGATGATGGGCTCGGAGACCCCTCTCAGTCCCATTTATGGTTACTCGAAAAAACTTTTTCTCTCTTGCACGTGGTTATCTAGACGCTCAGTCACTAAATAGAGTTCCCCGTCACAACGTAAGCGGAGTCCCGCCTGCCGTCCCCAGAATTTCGATTTCACATGCACAACATGAATTTTATTGCGCTCATATCATCAACGCCAAGCCATCTGCGCAAGCAACACGAATGAAACTGACAACATCCTCCGCATGTTTCCTTTCATTAATGACTAGGGTCAGCATTCATTGGGAAAGAACATGCAGGGCATGCGTACGGTGGGTCTGTGTCATCCGTATCGTGCGCACTATGTAAGCCATTTTGTTCAATGTCTCTTGAGACAGTCCGGAATGCGTCCTTGGCGCTGCGTGTATCAGCAGAAGCGAGTTTCCCCTCGTAGTAGGCAGCTGTGGAAAGAACACGGGACAGGGCTTTGGACACGCTGTCAGAACGCAGCGACGCCCCACGGTCTACAGACGAGGGTTGTCCTAGCGATTGTAAAAGCGGCGTTTGCTTCCTAACCACCGCGGAGGAGCGGACAACTTCATACTGAAAGACTCCTATGAATTTATGACATTTAAGTATTTTATTGACTTACGATGAACTCATGAAGGGCGATGGGTGTGGGCAAAAATATATCTGCTCTGCGCAGCGCAAGGTCAAGTAGCTGGATACTCTATTGATTGCAGTCAATTTCACCTCAAATGCGCATTGAACATCTCATACCTCCTGGACCAGCCGCTCGATACCACCGGTGGTCACCAAACTGTCAAGCTTGCCGGAAAGAAACCCAAGTAAGTCAACAACAGCCTTCCACAATTCAAGCCAGTCGTATTCTGAGTAAAAGTCCAGTGTCAGAAATTAAGAGCATGCAATTAGGTAAAATCACCTCGCCTAATCGCATTCTTGCCTTCTGTAGATACCATATGATGCGATGGCACGTCCAGATACACACACTATCTCACCATCAACAATAAGTCTTGCCAGGGGACACAAAATAAACGAAACGCACGTGAACGCATACACCTCGAACCGCTTATATAGATTATGGCGTAGCCATAATACACAACAATCCAGAAGTGCGCAGATTGGTGCACGCGTAGGCGATGGTACTGGAAGGAGCGGAAGTCTCTGCATTCATCTCAGTATTAGTTGTGAAATTGGACATGTACAAGCAATGACCTGCCGACACAGCCTGATTGCCTCTTTTGAGGAGGCAGGCTTGCAAAAGACCGACATTATGTGCGCGTTCTCGGACATCACAAGAAGTGTGTTCAGTGCAAGGTTTGCATAAGCCAACATGCGAGGTGATGCCGAGGACGAGGCATGAGTCAACACATAGGATGACAATGAGATGATGTTATATGCTAGTGGGGGCACCAGCGCGCTCTGTTTGCTGTCGGATGGCTTAGGTATCATATCTACTAGCACCTGCGCGAAATGGGGATTGAAGAAAAGGAACTCGAAAACAGGTAGAAGTGAAACAGTCGCCTCGATGGGTCTGTTTGCTCAGTAAGTGGGATGCGACATGAAACTTGATAATTTCACGTACTGGGTCTTGAGGAACTCTCGAGGCGGGTCAAATGGCTGCATTGCCAGTGCGCGTTCAGGTAGGAGCGAGGTGAACAGGGCTCCGACGCTCTTTGCGAATGTGGGGATCGAATCGTCCGAGATTTCTTGGTATGCCCTACCACCAAGTCAACTAAAAATCTTTTGTGAATGTCCAGAAAGGCGCACTTCATAGCAGCATTGAGTGCAAACCCCGCTGCCCAACAAATCTTGCGCATCAGTTCTATGTCTTGCGTATCGCATATGTGCTGGAGGTACGGATTAAGTTTCGCTGCATCGGATTTGTGAAAATTCGCCAGAATAGAGAGGAGGAGCGACGCTTCAAAAGTAAAGCGTTGGGTATCTGGGGATGTGATGATCTGTCACAAGCAACAACATTCGCTTAGGACTGACGACAAGACCATGAAACAGTATTCTGTACCTTAGTGATGCAAGGGAAGAGGTCTCGGCGCAGGAAATATGCGCCTGGGCTTAACTGGCTGATGCTACACGTGAAGACAACAGCTAGTTGGAGAACTTGATGTCGAAGAGACTCTAATCACGGTCTGTCAAACATTTCTACATCAATTGTTCTCGGAGCGCACCAGGAGCACCATCATCATCAAGTACATCTGAAATCATTCCGACAAACTCCTATACGCGCCAGTGAGTCTATAATGGAGATGAAGATTTCACATCGACCGTACCATGAATACTCTGTCGGCCTCATTCACTCTGTCAGCAAAGATTTCCATCACCTCCCAGCCTGCTAGGTTCTTAGCGAGCACAGTGCGCAGCATGATAGAGAGCGTATCGACGGCGTGGGCGCGGGTCTCTTTGCCCTTGCGATCGGCTGCAAATACGATGCAAACAGTAAAGAGGGCATGGAGCACGAGCTACTGGCGAGGATTAATCTGTCAGTACCGAATCGTTGGATGTTGAACAATGTGGACAGACCTTGTGTGAACTGAGGCACTCGTCCTTGGGAAGAGTAGATAGAAGACGCGTTAGAAAGGCGCGGTCGGGCTCCAGGGACAGCAGCTCTTGCCAGAAGCGCTGTTCATTGTGCCCAGGAGAGATTTGTGCTGGACTGAGGCCCTGTACACGGTTATGTCAGGATTTTCAGGTTGTACCATACAAGTACGTGTCAGTGTTCGCTTGCCTGGAATAGTTTATTGATGATTGTCACATATCTCGAGCTGATAGTCCAAGAACTTCGCGGTGCATTCATGAATACGTGTACAATGGTGAAAAGATAGTTTGCGGTCTCTCGTGCCGATAATTATATACAGTGGTGGTACTCCAGATGTCAGTGGGGTTGATGCGCAGCTAATGATGGACACTCATATTTTTACATCGAAACAAGTTTCCGGTCATACACTAGACTAGCCGCTACGACCTAAGCAGCCCATCATATGCCGCATAAACCATTTCAACCATCCAACTCATCAACGTCTCATCTTTCATCCTCACGTCTTCCATCATCCTCCTAACGCCCACAAACGCCCGTCGGCCCCTCCGCTCGCCTTCCAGCTCGCCCCCAATATCCTCCACTACATCGTCGCCCTCATCGTCTTCCACAACACCAGGAAACCCAAAGTGCTCGCCATCCACACGGGGGGCAGTGTCCGTGGTGGCGACGAATGACGAGCGGAAGAGGATACGGATAATGAGCAACGCAGGTAAGTGCAGCTGAAGGAGGATCGGCGACGGGTCGGGTATAGGATATGTTAGTTTGCCTTGGAGGAGGGGGCCGTCGCTTTGTGGGGTCTGTGAAGGGGTACGATTCTCCGTCAGCAGTGATGGTGATTGTATCATCCTGGGAAGGATGTTTTGCAGGCGGTTGGGAACTTGAGAGATGAGTGAGGAGATGGGGTCGCAGTCGTTGTTTTGATGTCGACGGCAATGGACATGTGGCCCAGAGACATGGCGGTTCTGGGTTCTCGGATGACTCCAAATGTTGAAGGAGGTGGTCGTACAACTCGCCGGGGGCCTCAAATGACGGAGCTGAACACTGAAGGCGCTCCCACAGGCACTTGAAACGAGGAGCAGCTTCTGCATTTTTACGCCTGTCCACTCCACGGACGACAAAGCGCTGTGGCGGCCCAGGAAGGACCATCGCCTGAGCCTGAGGAAACACGACGTTGACGTTTTTTATCACGTCTGATGCGACCAGGACGGGATGCCGATCCGCAAAAGGTGTGAAGGCGTCTTTGTAGAGAGTCCAAAAATCGACTTGAGTAAGCTCTCCGTCTGGTGTTGAAACGAACATGATTTTCATCCTACGAATAATGACTTTATCACGTCGTAATACAGCCTGCGTAACGTGTACTCACCACTCATAACAGCGCTGGGGTTCAGGCATGGGAACTAGGGTCTCAAGCTCCTCTTTGGTAAGATCATGGACGGGGATCACGACCGTTGTTGCTGGGATGGCGCGAGTGACTGCACTGATATCCAGATTCACAGTCTCTTCTACCTGTTCAGATAGAAGAAAGCTAACAAGCACGCGAAGGGTGCTTGGCATGAGAGGATGGTGCAGAAAAGTCTTTACCATTGGCGGGTGCGAAAGATGGGCATATAGGTAGTTCAATGAAGCGTCTACCAATGCTCGATCGACAAATAAAGGCAAGTAACGTAGGGAGGCAGCGAGCGCTGGCGAGTTTGAGTCCAGGCGACGTGTGCTTTGTATGTTAGAAAACAGTTGAGCCAAAAGGGTCAAAGCTGAGACGATAAGGGAGCGATTCGATGAGTAACCTGCAATTTGCAGCAGAGTGGGGAGGGGGTCTTTCTTGTTCGAAGCGGGATCTGGCAGGATAACGCCCAGGGATATAGCCTGCAGAAGTTCTATGGCGTTGAGAACAAATTCAGCATTCATATCCGTGTTTGGAGCGAGGTTGGTGAGGGCGTTGAATAGTAGTGGGAGTGTTCGAGAATGGTTAGCTAGCTCAAATGCATTGGGTTCATTCGTGGCCGAATTGCGGAGGATAAATATGGATTCTAGGGCATGTCGTCGCTTTCTGTGTTCAGCATCGGGCATAGCAAATAGTCGATACTGCTCTGCCACTAGGTATCCCTCTGTCGCATACCATTCTGGCCATTCGAACAGTGCGTCTGTTAGACCAGGAATGGTTTTCAAGATGAATTGATCATTTGCACATAATCGATACAGCCTATCCAGCGCCCATGCAATCTCCGAGTTTATGCCGGAGCGTATCGATAAGACCATACGATTGCTCGGTGTCGCCTCAGTATACCACCCTGAAGTCACATTAATCAGTGAAATTTACATGCAAACAGGTACTCACTTTCATAGTCATCTGTAACATTTGGTCCGACGCGCTGCACTGGATGCTGCTGGCCATATTGCCTGTAGACGCCAGGCGTCGTCGTCCTGGGTGGAATGGCCATGAAAGAGAGCTTTAAACCTTAAGTTTGGCGCATTAGTTACGCGCAGTCACGCGTCGGTCACGTGTGACGCAGCGTCGGCCGTCACACAATACGTGACAGCTTTGCCTCTCCTCATCTATCACAAGCACTATTACTCATGCCTTTGATCGAGGTTTGTCCTGCAGTTCTGGAAGAGAATCACAAACACTTACTTAACCGCAGGTGATTGCAAATGATCGGCTGGGCCGGAAAGGTGGGTCCACACAATTACATGATCCGAATCCTAGCTGAAGCAATCTACTAGTCCGAGTCAAGTGCAGCCCGGATGACACTGTGGGCGACCTGAAGAAACTCATTGCCGCTCAAACCGGTACAGACTTTAAGAAGATTCAGCTAAAGAAATGGTGAGCATCCGCTAATTGCTACGATGCTCTCCCTTGACACAGGGCTGTACCAACAAATCATCGCATACGTCTCCTTCTTGAACATATACTGATGACACTGTTCTTCTTGTTAGGTATACTATCTACAAGGACCACATCACGCTCTCAGATTATGAGATCCACGATGGTATGAGTTTGGAGATGTATTAGGGTTCAATCCACTCCCGAGAGTAAAGAGGATGGTCGTGTAGAGGCAAACACAAGGCCATTGACTGTTTTTTTGTTGAGTTGACTTCCTAGTGCTATCATTTACAATCATATCATGTATCGCTCAACATTTCTTGTCAGCATTACCGACATGTATTAACAGCTTTGTGCCAATTAATGGATTAATCACTTGTTGGAGAGTTACATCATTATTTGACGAGTCCAGTTTGGGAGATGCTACACTATGTCCCTTCTGTACGAAACCCTCGAACTACTCACGGATCATAGCAGATCGCCTTCCATCACACATGTCGATTGCGTGGGAGCAACGATGATGGCGTTGAACGTATTGCAGGCTCATCTGACATCGCAGGTGGCCTGGGAAGGATCATCGACGAGCTCCCAAACTTCGAGATGCGTGACTTCTGCGTCTTGATCACATCTGCTCGACGTTCGGTAAATGGCTTGACGATCACCCAGCTTGTGCCTGGACTCTGCATTCGCTCCTCAACGCGACGAGAAAGGAACGTCGTGTTGGGCGTGCTTTCGGCCTTGGGGGGTTGGAGCTGAATCGGCGTTGAACGGGGTCCTCGGGGGCGCGCAAGGATATGAGGTTCTATCGTACTGCTTGAAGCTGTTATATGCCTGGCGAAGCTCGCAGTGCCATTGAGTGTTTCCGGGTCTTGATCGATATCTTCCTCGGATACGGGGTGGAGAAGGTTTTCACGGTGTCCGATGGTGTCCGCAGACTGAGAAGGTGGGTAAATAGACGCCGAATCTCCACTCGTGTTCGGGTCTTGATGCTGTTCCTCACCCAAGACAGGCACCTCATCACCATTCTCTGGCTCTGTGGTAATTGACATGTCCCTGGAATACTTCATACCAGGGACTGTCTCGTCGGTCTCTACAAGATCTCCGCTTATAGCACGCGACTTTCGGTACCACGGTTCGCGCTTTCCAAAGTCTGGCAGGGGTCGTTGCCTGCTTCGAGTGTGGAGTGGCGCCGTAGGTGGAGGGTCGAGCGAAAGAAAGTTGACGATTCGAATTGGCAGGATGACATGTACGTCCGAGAAACATCTTCCGATGCCTACACTTATGCGAAGCGTGTACTCAACCTCCAGCAGTCGCGTTCGGGCAATAGAGTGAACGTCAGGCTACAAAAGTAATCATGGTCAATTACCACAATACAGCCAGAAATAAATCTTACTGGTAATATCAAAGAGTGGTCGAACTCGCTCGTCTGACCGGGAGCAACACCTGTCCACCACCCTTTTGCGCTCGCATGTCCCTTGGAACAACGCTGTCCCAACTCAAGGACACTTTCCGTCACCCACTTTGCCTTTGTCAAGGTTTGACAAGCATCCGGATCAGCATCCCCAACATCCAAGTGCGGTTTCGGTTTGAACACGGTTAGTGTCCGTATCAGCGCAATGGCGGCCCCTTTTACCAATTTCTTGCAGTCATTAACCACTCGAAAATGAACGGTGCAACTTTGGCCAGCGACCCAGTAGAATCGGTGGATATGGGCTGACAGCCTGATTTTTCCTGGGCCACCCATGAACACTCTAGTTGCAACCTCTGCGACTAGTGGGCGAGAGTTTGTAGCGAGTGTAGAGACGACGTCTAGACATGGCCATACCTCACAGTCGCGGTAGAAGTGAGCGATGGATTCTTTGGATGTTGCTGAGTCCTTGACTTTGATCTCTCTGACCGGTTATCAGCCGATGGGTGATAGAACACAGAAGCTCCAGCACTTACGCCATAGCAATATATTTAATCGCCACTCCGGAGTTTATGTTCAAAACCCCTTTCGCCATGCCGCAGCCACCATCTGGGGGAAGGAGCATCGCGAACGGAAAGACGTGGATGCCCTCTTGTGCTTCGGCCCAGCCATCGTCATCAGGTGGTGATTTGAAGAGACCTTTCCACGATGGAGCAATTTCCGATAGAAGAGCTGAGTATTTGTAAAACGTGCACCTGCTATCCTTTTGTGGTATGCACTCAAATCCGACGATCCTAACTTTCCCCTGAGAAAGCAGCAATGGTACATCCTTCTTGGAGCCTTTTTTGATGTGGATCTTGACTGACCCCTTGAGGTAGCTGCCTTGCACGCAAGTGTGGTTCTCGAGTACGATGTCCACTTCTATACGTGACCTCCACTTTGCCTTTTCTAACGTAATGGGCTTGAAATCGGTGCCAAGATCTCCACTGCTATCTGCGTTGTGTAATGCCGGGCGCGGGTGGACGGTTGCACTGGGTTTTAGTCCGGAATTCGAGTTTCCGAGGAGGGCCTCGATTTCTGGGCCGCTCTGGACGGGGGTGACGTCGACGTTGAAAAGAGTCGCGCTGGTGGCTAGGCTGGCCATGCTTCCGACAACAGGGCCTGGGGCGGAAAGGACTTTTCGGGGTGGTGGAACAAATTTCGAGCTTCCTGGAGGCATGAGAGACTCCGTTGCTATGCGTTGGCCAACTCGGTACCCGGATTCCCCAGGCTTGCCGTACACGTCGAACTCTACCATCGAATCCCCGACTTCTGCTAGGAGGAGACCTCTCATAGCACTCATTGAGCGCAGGGCTGGAACGGCCATCTGGCTATCTGCTTCAGCGCTGGAGGACGGCACGCGATCCTGTTTCAAAGTTGAGCGACTGGTGACTGCCTTAAGCTTGAGGGACGAAGTATGTGACCGAAGGGCGATATCGACGCCTTGAGGTTCGTGTTTGCTTCCCATTGGCATTTGCGAATGACTGTTTTCTGCAGAGACACAGTCACAAATCCATATGGACCACGATGCTCAGCTTTGGAACCACTTCAGTTCTGACCGCCAGTCTCATTTGAAATTGGCGCTAGGCGCAGCTCCTTCATTATCACAGTAAATGGCACCATAAATGGAGAGGTTAGTATCATGCTCCGAAAAGGGTGCTTCGGGTGATGTAACAAAGATAAATCCGCCGAAGTGCGCGGTTTCCACCTAGACCTAAAATCACAGTGATTGACCTGTTCACACATAAGTGTCTGCATGATGGAATATGTGAAATACGTAGGTATCACCCGTCAGCCGCAATGATGTGGAGCTCTGGTTCTCATGCACAAACTCCAAGGCCTGTGACAAGTCCGTCCCTACGGTACCGCAGATCTATAATGAACCTCTTCTCTCTTATCTGCAGAGGGGGAGGCCAGTACTCCACTGGCAGATCGGCACATGAAAGTTGCGGTGTTCTGCTGTCAACGGGATTCTTGAAAAAAAGGTTAGGTTCGCACCACCGCAAAATCAACACCCGACCCCTCGCAGGAATATCGTCAATATATCAGCACCTTTGCCTCGCGGCTTATCGTTAAAAATGATGGGATGCAGCCGTTGCTCCGAGGCCATGTCATATGATTCTGGTTTGGGCTGGTTGATGCTGTGGTGAAAATGATGCCGTGCTTCCAAGTGACGCAAGTAACGACGAATTGGCACTTGGTTTGATTGCAACGTGTTGGCAGCCAGGGAGCTCCATGTTTTGCTGTAGATGTTACTAAGTCCGAAAGGATGATGGATGGAACTAGAGAGAGTAGTGGTAGACGCTCATACTACCAAACAAGGACACAATTTGACGTCAAGCTGTGATGTTCCGAGAGTATAGCTAATAATTGAACTTTGGCTTTAGACGTCACTGTACACAGCTCAGCGCTCAATTTTGCGCATTGTCCTCGCTGCAGGCGTGAGGCCTCTCACAAACCCAATAACAGCTTGGTTGCCTGTCTATCATCGGTATAAAAACCCTTAGGCTTATAATTTAAATCTGAATCGTTCGCATTTCGGCACTCGTGACTCCAACTTACCCTTGTATACATTCATCCACCGCAGCACTCACGAGACTCCCCCTTGATCAGTAGTCATCATGTCTCTTGGACTACCACCAGTATCGACAGGTCTCAAGTCTATAGCGCCGTACCTCCAACGCGCCGAGGAACTGGTCAATCAACAACCAGTCGTGGCATACTGGTGTACGGGTAATATTTACATCTGAGCACATCACATAGCTCACGGAAGTGTATAGGCGCGTACTATGCAGCCCAGCTTGGTATCAATTTGAAAGCGAAGGATGCTGCATCACGCACACTGCTTCTAAATCTCCTGAACGCACTCGAGCGCTTGAAAGCTCAGATTGGTCCAAATGACACCATAGATAGCGAGCCTGCGAGCGCAGCGTTCGTTGAGAACTTTGCCCTAAAGATCTTCCGCATTGCCGACGATGAAGACCGTGAAGGTCATGCAACAAGGTATTTGACTATTACTATCTTAATTTCCGGTGGTTTGACTCACATTCAACTAGATCAACTGCGAAGAAGTTTCTTGCCGCAGCAAATTTCTTCGAGGTTTTGAAAGTATTCCCAACGGCAGATATCTCCGATACGGTAAGCTGTGGTGTCATCCAGTCTGACGACATTTGTCTAACGTACACTCACAGATAGATGGCAAGATTAAATATGCCAAATGGAAGGCAGCTGATATTGCAAAGGCATATAGGGAGGGCAGGAAGCCCACACCGGGTCCTGCTGGGTCTCAGTTTGACCTAGAACCCCTCCCTGATACTTCTGGTGCTTCAGAGCTACCTCCGCGAGCTGAAGATCGCAAGACCTTTCCTTCAGCGACGAGTCAATCCCCTCCGCCTCAAACGTCGCATTATCGGCAGACGCCATCTCCGAAGATGAGTCCAGATGATATCACTCGTGCCAATCTCTTGCATCCCCCTCGCCATGATGATGAGTCACTGAGCCCTGGGCGTTGGAGTACGACAGCGACTCCAGGATTTGATCTTGCTCAAGATAGCAGTAGCGTCAGTTTGGACCAGGCAAATAACTGGCATGAAACCCCTCTCAATGGCAGAGGGAGTCAACTCCGCCAGGCATGGGTTAGCACTGACATGGAGGGCGCGACTAGCGATGAAGAGCTAGTCCGGGATCCGTTACTTAACGGATCATCCCCTAGTCAGGTTCCATTCTCGTCATTTGCTAGCGAGTCTCGGCCAGCTGTATTCGAGTCCTCATCCCCACCCAAAGAGCGGCCTATTATATACACACCGACAACCAGAGAGTATGTGCCCCCCATTCCTCCGCATCCTACCATCCTTCCCTCAATCTCCCCGCCGAGAGGCTCACCACCGCAAACCCGTGCTCGCGGTCCTTCAATATCCTCTCAAGAACTTCCGCTTGGGTTTGTACCCTCATCTCCAGTACCCCCGCCTATGATCCCCCCTCCACCCAGGATCCCTCCTCCACCCATGCCCGTAATTTTTGCACCTTCTTCACCTCCTCGCATGGCGCTCCCGCCTCCTGCTCCCGCCCCTGCTCCTGCCCCTTTACCGTTGAATGATTTTCAACTTACACCCACCATCATTGCCAAAGCACAGAAGCACTGTCGCTTTGCTATCTCCTCACTTGATTACGAGGATGCTGAGCAAGCGAGAAAGGAACTTAGGGCTGCGCTGGCTCTCCTCGGAGGCTGAACTGATGATGAGAGCTTTGGTGTCGAATGTTCATACTATCCAGCACTGGTCTCTTTCCTGAGGAAGCAGGCTTTCTCCCTGGAAGGCTCATATTTTTTCTTCATCTACTTGTGATTTAATGTAATAAGCTAGTTATAGCCAGCGTGCCAAGTATCTCAACGCTATTTGTATTGTAAAACTTGTTCCCAAAATATGATGCACTCAGAAAAGAATGAAAGCTACTTCTTCCCGACACTGCGATCGAGGATGGATTGTGTGTGATGCATGCCCACTGGGCTATCCACGTGCCGCGAGTCATCTATAATCGTCGTTACTAGCGGTTGCACTGACAAACGAGGGGGAGCTGATGTCGTCGAGGTACCTGCGGGGGCCACACCAGTAGTGCGATCGGTTACCAGTGGAGCATTGGAAGACATGGTACTGGTGCGAGAAGCATGTAAGATCAAGTACTGGAGTGGGTAGCGCATGGAAGGCCTTGAGTGCGCTCGAAAGGTTGTCCAACTGGACAAGTAGGAAGATCAGACATGGACAGTGAAAAGTAAGACGTATATACCTTATTCATGACGGCGTCAATAGAAACTTTTCTCTCCGCAAACCGCTCCGCCAGTCTTGTGAATTGTTCTTCTCGTTTCCTCTTCCCAAATACCTCGTCGTTGTCATCCGAATCTTCTCCTTCGGTCGCTTCATCACTTTCATCATCACCTTCCTCTTCTCCGAGTGTATCACTTCTCCTCCTATCCTTTCCCGCCTCGCTCCTGGTGGTGCCTGCCTTTCCTCCGCGCTCAGGGACAACTGGTCCATTATGACCTCGTGCAGTCCGCAAGCCGACATTCTCCATATCAACATGCATCTTTGAAATTTCACTCTGGAGCTCCAAGATATGTGATAGATGGGACCACAGTTCATCGTCAGTACCCGACCGCACCGGCGTCGGTACATAGTCGTATAACCTCTGACCGGTGGACGGTTCATACATAATCTCCTTGGCTGGCTCATGATTGGGCAATGATTCGGAGGTGAACAACGAGTTGTCAACAATGCTTGGGCCAAGATTGAGGGAAGATCCTAGGGGAGCATCCGGTCGTAGAGATTGCTGCTCTGCAGCCTGAGGACCACCCAAGGGTAAGTATCCCTGGAGTTCGGCGAGAATGTCATCATGTGGTGTCAGAAACCTTGCTGGCTCAGTCGAATGTCCCAGCGACCTCAAGTCGCTTGATGTACTAGTACTAGTAGCTGACGTATTTAGTTTGAGAGCGTCCTGTTCAGTTGGAGCAGAGTATGTGCTGGGATCCCAGATGTGTTCGTGAATATCGTTGTGATCGTCGTCTGTGATGGGAATTGCAGACTGTGATGAATTTCCAGTCAGTTCCACTGTCGAATGGGAAGTTTTAGATATGTGATCTGGTTGGTTGGAAGCCTGCAGATTGTTGGACTTTTTGCTCAGCCATGAGGGGAGCATGCTCAATTGGCGGCCACTGGCGCTGACAAAAACACGCAGTTACATTTTAGTTCAATACAGACAAGCTTGTGTAACACTGCTACCGTGTTCGAACGCCGAGGACAGATCGAGGACGAATATTTTGTTGCCAACTCCAGCACTGTGCGGTAATCGATCTGATCTGAGCAAGTATAAGCACTAAGTTGCGGACTTTCAAGTTGCAGGCTGTTTGATCCTTGACATAGCCTGATGTGCTGCATCGCGGTGGTGTCTAATATTGTATGATACGAGAACTCCGCATGATCGCCGTGATGGTATCGAACAGTCCATCCGATTCCACTCATCAATATTAAGCTTAGTAGATCACCTCAGATAGTTTGAATCGGAGCCTGGGTGATGGCCTAACCGCACACGGTCAGCTAGTACTTATTGATCATCCATCGCAACGATGTTACAACACTAGCAAGATAGTCGAATGCAGTCTGATGACCGACCTTCAATCAATCATCTATCGCTAGTACACCGAAGCGACCAACAGTAACAGACTTGAAGTCCGCATCCTGGTGTTCTTCTTCTTCACCGGTCGAATTTCCATCTTTATCTTCATCATTGCTTTCATCAGGACTTTCGATCTCGTCAGCTTCATCGCCTGATCCTTCCTCATCATCTTCATCTGGTTCTTCGGCGTGCTGATATGCATCGCGTAAGAGCCAGATTCCGTTGCCCCCACTGGATCCAACAGTCGTCAAGTCGGTTTCCGGAGGCCAGAAAGCCCATGCTATCTTGCCCTCTGCGACGAGTCTCAACACTACCAATGATTATTGTTAAAAATATGAAATAAATCAATTCATCCAAAGGATACTCACTGGCGTTGCCTGCACGGTGGATATCTGGCCTGCCTGCCTTTGCGGTAACCCAGCCTTTCTTGTTTGCATATGCGGTCATGATCTCCGTTGCTGTCCAGTGCATCTTGTTGTCTTTCAATGAAGGCTGCTTATCATCGCGCCAGGTGCGCTTATCCTCGACAGGTGTGCTGTTTGCTGAAGGGTGTGTGAGACCGAGGATAGTCTCGAGCGGGAGAAGTTGCCCAATTTGGTGAATGCAAAATGGGATGGCGGAGACACGGGATATGGGTAATATTCCGCAGAGAACTTGAGTGTCCATTGGTGTGAAGGCGGGCATCACGAGCCCTGGACAATCGACGAGACGGACATCAGGGGTCCAAAAAAGAGTTTGAAAATGCTTTGTCTAGTTAAGTATGTAAGACGAAGTTCTGTATCTTACGGATTGGGACTGTTTCTTTACCTTTCCGGGGGTCCGCGATGCTCGAACTTTATGTATTCCGAACAGCGCGTTGAGAAGGGATGACTTGCCAACGTTCGGTTGACCTGGGATGAGCTGTTAATTTTCAAATGTGTAAAAGCACAAGAAAGATGTACCAATCAAACCGACAGTCAGAAATTCTGGCTCCTGCCATTCTAATTGTCCTTCATTATCACTGCCTTCCTGTTCTGGTTCTTGGGCATCGTCTGCGGTATCCTCTTTGCCCTTTCCCTTCGGCATAGCTGCACCTCCAACGATACTCCCTACTTTTTTGCCATGAGCATGCAGCAAGCCATTCCAATCTATCTCGCGCTTGACTGGAGGATTCCAGCGCTTTAGCTTGGCCTCATCCGAGCGCACTCGTTCAGGGGGTATTAACATTTCTTCATGCACTTGTCGCATGGCATTAACCAAACGTTCTCTGAAGGGAAGGGGGAGGTGTGATTCATAGACTGGACGTCCTTGCTCGCCCACTTTTTGCTGATACGCCTCGACTTGCACGATGGGTAGTCCTGGGTGCCGTTTCTGAAGATATGCAGTCCATGCCTCAGCTCTTTCTGGACCTGCAATATCGACTTTTGTGAGAACGAGAATGACTTTCGCTTTTCGAGAGGCTAAATAGGACTCGAGCGAAGATGGGAAGTGGAGCGGTGGACATCTGGAGTCCAAAAGACAAAGAAGTATTTGAGATATCTCTGTTACTCGCCAGCTGCACACTAACTTGTGAGCCCAAAAATCAGCTGCATAAAAAATCAGTATTTACAGTTGTCTCCAAACCTCGAGATTGCGCTCGAAATGGGTAGAAGCACATGGCATTTTGTCTTGAACAGCGGCATCAGGGATACTTGGGCCAGCCGACCCTAGATCAGTGCCCGACGCAGCTGGCTGATTAATTTGATTATGCCAACGCTCCACGATGGCGTCTGTCTGAGTTATCCATCTGCGAAAATAGTCTTGCTCATTGGCATCTACGTCATCTTTTGACATGGTGTATTTCCACTTGGGTCTCCTCGGGATACTGAGCTGATCAATCACGAGATCGCTGCCTGACTGTGCATGATCAGCAACGAGGACGCACGCATCAGCAGATATAGGCCTTGTCAAGGGCAAGGTAGCAGCCAGGTGCTTCGTGGTCTCTAGGAAGTCAGGATCAAGTTTCACGAACTGTGATTGAAGCTTCCTTGCGGCCCTGGATGCGTCATCTGCTAAAAGCCTTGCGCCAAGTGAATGACCAAGCTTCGGAGGTCTCCTGAAATTCTTCCTGCGCGGTTGTGCCTCAGGTGGGGCTACATCACCGCGTTTGACTGCGCGCTTGAGCTGCAGCTCAGCCTTGCGTTGCTTACCCGACCTGCGCATCTGAAAAAAGTTAAGAGTAGTTTGTAGTTTGGCCGTTTTGAGTGATCCTTTCTGGGCAAAGCCGAAAACCTCCCTCGGAATCTCACGAGTGAACGGCGTACCTAATTTTCAAGGCACTCTGTAGCCCCGCAGATTATCAATTAATGTTAATATTCGCACTGCGGACTTGTCTGCAAAGGGTTACAATCACCGGATTTCTGGAGAATTGCACGACATGGATAAGCCTGCATTGTGGCTATGTAAGCTTTTCGCGTAATATGCTGACGCAACCGTGCACACCCATTGCCTTATTTGGCAGAAATTGCTTCTTGCGACGGGTTCGGGCACTTCTGAATCTCAAACAACATCACCGAAGCAATTATTATAAAAGAACGCGTTTGAATCATGCCGATACCACATATCAGAACCCGCAGTTCCTTAGCGATAGACGTCCTTCTTCCACCACCACCATCACCACCCCTCATCCTTAGAAATGTCCGGAAAGGCAGAACAGAACGTTGTCATTGTTGGCGGTGGATTCGCTGGGTTCCAAGTCGCTAAACAGCTCAGCAAAAAATTAGACGCGAAAAGATACAACCTCATTCTTATCAACTCCCGCTCTTACGCCGTTTCCCTTCCTGCAACCGTCCGTCTTGTCGTTGACGCAGAGTCCAAGTTGGAAGAAACCTCATTCGTTAAGCTGGACAGGATTTACGCGAATGGCAATGGAGAGACAAAAGTCGGTGTTGTGACCAGTATTGAGGCACAGCCGGGCGTTCCTGGGGGTGCTGTGGTCCTTGCCACCGGGGAACGTATCTCTTATGCAGTCCTTATCTTGGCTACTGGTTCAAAATGGACTGGTCCATCTGGCCTCCCAGAGAACGAGGATGATGTCCTGCCATTTGTCACCGCATGGCGCCACAAGTTCGCTAAAGCAAACCACGTTGTGATCGTTGGCGGAGGTGCCGTTGGTATCGGTGAGTACGCGTCAGGTATCATCGTGTCGTCACTAATGCACAATACTTATCAGAATTGGCTGGTGAGGTGAAGGATCTTTACCCGGTGAATTTGTTTTTTTAAATTATGTTAGGCCATTGCAGTTCTGACGAATTACGCAACACAGACAAAGAAGGTTACCATTGTTCACGGTGGTAATGAGCTCATCAACGCTACCTACGGCAGCTCGCTCCGAAAGGGATTGGAGAAACGCCTTCGTGTCCGCGGTGTGCAGTTCATGTTCAACGAATACATCGATGACATTCCAGAAGCGGGTGTTGTTGGCATCACTACTCGCAGTGGAAAGCACATTTCGGACGCCGACTTGGTGGTACGCGCATTATTGTATGTGCATATTACCCAGCTCACCAACATATGTAGGTATCTGCTCGTGGTGGTCGCCCCAACACCGATTACGTAACTTCCCTTGGTGAAGACGCTCTGAACGGACATGGCTTCGTTAAGATTAAGCCAACTATGCAACTGCTCAATCATCCATCCATTTTCGCTTTAGGCGATATTATCGAATGGACCGAGCAGAAGCAGGTCGCCAAACTCATGTGGCATGTTCCCGTTGTCGTGACGAACGTAGTGGGCTTCTTAAACGGAGTCACCCCGACGAAGAAATACGCTGGTGCTCCTGAGATGATTGTGATCACGAATGGAAGGGTGAGTGAGAAGCCATGGGAGTTATTGTGGCTTGACCCTGACATGGTTGTTATAGAAAGGCGGCATGGGCTACTTCGGGTTCTTCGGAGGGTTTACCCTGGGTGATTGGTTTGCCTGGCTGGTCAAGTCAAGAGATTTCATGGTTTCACACTTCAGGAAGGATCTCGGTTACTGATTGTGTTAGGAAGGCTTCGTTGGACCTTGGATAGCTGCATACCTTCTACCTAGCTTTCACTGGCGTATCGTACCTCGCTTATGTTTTTTATAATTGCATTCTAGTCATTATGAGTGATTCAAATTGGCCTTTTAAGTAGGTGTGTGAGGGTCCGCGGATGTAATTCGGCATCGAAGAGATAGCCGATCAAGTTATCCAGGGATTGTGACGAGCGTGTATCAGATGATATCAACTATCAGAATGATTTGCCAGCTCGAACACCGCTTGTTAAAGGTTTGACGACTATAAGGAGGAAGGTCAGTCTGACGTTCCCTGGCCACTAACGTTAGATTCAATATTACAGTCTGTCCCACGCCGAGTCGCTCTCGGTCCCTCGCAATAATATTATAGCCCTTCTTAAACACACGTTCCGTCTTCTAGAACACTCAACTCACGATCCCTGCCAGGGCCTAGAATTTATTTCAGGAATATGAGCAGCTCTCTCTTTGTTGCTCCTTCCATGCCCCCACCACGTCCAAGCACAGCCACAACAATGGCATCTGATTCTACCAGTGGCAGGCGTGTCCCTCGAAACAGGGACTTTCTCAATAAACATGATCACCGTCATCATTCTTATGACCCAGAAAAAGCCCCATATCCTCTAAGTTATGATAGACAAGTCCTAGAGCTGTGAGTTGGTCTTGCTACTGTGTGCCTGACCGGCGGTTGAGCCCGTTATAGGGAAAACCTGGACCACAGCTTCGTCATGCACGTCAAGAAATCAGTTTCAGTCGTCCAATTTCCAGATCACATCTTTCCAAAACGCTCTCTCGATCTTGGCTGCGGGGTGAGTCACATCTTACATCACACCTTCTTTCAGTTACGTGACAGTGTTTGTGTGTTTCATAGGGGGGGACGTGGATACTCGATGCTGCGAAGGAATGGCCAGAATGCGAATTCGTAAGTACCTCCATTCCTGATTCCCGAATGGAGTTTACAAACGCCACAAAGGTTGGGTTTGATCTTGTGGATGTACAAGTTCCGTTATCATTACTGGAGCCTGATATTGCGAGCCGCGTCTCGTGGGTTCACGGGAACTTGTGAGTAATACGTTTGAATCAACGTGTAAATGGGTCTAAGGAATCCCTTGATGAGTCTGACAACGAAACTCCCGTTTGACGATGACGAATTCGATCATGTTCACATGCACGGCTTAGGTCGGGGTATTCCTGAGAACAAGGTATGTTAATTTTACTCATCATGTATCAATGAACACATGCTGAATATGCTGGTTCCAGTGGGGTGTTCTCTTTGAGGTGAGATTGTTCCCCTCTTTTGCAACTATATCTTGATTGTGTCCCAAGGAAGTGAACCGTGTCCTACGACCAGGCGGGGTTGTCGAAGTCCTCGAACATGGTACATCATTATGTTGCATTCATAGTTTCCCTACTGACCATTCCCAGATATCCTATTCCCCACGCTGCCTACCTGGTTCACGGCACCTTTGCGAACACGCAATAAGCGTTCAGATTCTGTTCACTATCCCAACGGCTCGCATCATCGCAGTGACAAACCACCCTCGTCACAACCAGACATCCCACCCCTACCTCATGACCATGTACTACTCGAAAGCTTGTATTACGCTGTATTTGAGAACCGATTTATCAACTTACGACCAACAGGTATGTTTCACTGTATGTGTGATATCATTTGCATCTGACGCGCATCAGCTATTCTCCCAATATATTTCACCTCGAATTTCCGTCGAGTAATATCTGCGCCTATTGTCCATTTCCGCATGCCTGCATTACCCCCTTTACAACCATTACCACAACCATTGCCACCAAATGCGCTTCTTATGGAAGCTTCGTTATCCTCAGACAGATCTGAAACCACCTCACAACCTCACGCGCCCCCCACGCCTCGTCCTGTCGCCGTTTCATTCTCGTCTACTCACTCCTCTGCTACGAGTAAATCAGCCTCGTCAGGGGAATCATCGTTATTCAGTAATATGGAGGGTTCTACGCTCTCATGCCCAACAACGAATCCTGCAAATTGCTCGCCACATTCACCAGCGCTCTCGTGCGATACGGCCAACACCTTGAGCTCTGAAACAGAAACAGCTCATGTCATAAAAAAACCACTTTATATAGTTGATAGTTCAGCGGCTGAGAGTACATCTATGGGCATTGCAGCTTCACAGTCCCTGATTCCTCTCGACGAGATCGACAAGCTTAGCGAACGTTCGCTCGCTATGCAATTATACTGGTCGTATCAGAGTGTACTAGCATGCCAAGAGGCTATGTACGAGGAGCTCCTGGATCGCACGAGAAATCGGACAGGGCAATTAATGGAGTGGGGGTGGGACACCGATGAGGAGCTGTCCGAACTGGAGAGTCGGACGAAATTCGAGATACTGATAGACCGCTATAAGCGGTGAGTACCACTTTCTCCGCTGCATGTTCATAATTGCTGAACCAGTCGCGTAGCGATATGCAGGCGCGAATATCTTTGTGGTGCTCACTTGCTGAGCTGGGGTGGTCCGTTCCTCCGCGGGAGGCAATGTCGAAGGCAGAGCTTGTGGAGGAGGAGAGACTCTATCGGGCTATGCTTGAAGCGCGACAGTTTGCCTCTGAAGAGGACCTGTGCACACCTTGCCGGTCTGTGCGAATACTCGCGGGTTACAAGGATGTACAGTGATTTCACTGCTTCCTGCTGGGCTGATGTTTCCATTCTCATTCGTGTTAATTGCTTATTGCTTTGGTATTTATGTGTTTTCCTCTTGGAGCGTTGACTCTCTCAAGGTTTATCCGCTGCACATATGAGCTTAAAATGATGTTCTTGTAGCAATATGTTTACGATGTTTGTAGGACACCGTGTTCTGCTATAATGATAATGGTTCGGGATGAAGATTATTTTGATTGAAAGTAAAGTCCCGATTAATTTCCTTTTCTGGACATATACCGGCAAACGCCGCCGAAGTGGCGGTGACATTTTTTGCAAAGTCCTGTGAATGTTTCGCGATCGCTTGAAATCTCAGAACGCTCATGGCCGCGGCCAAGGTCATAAATCACACTCCTTTCGTTCCCCGTCTACCAAAGGATGTCCCACTTCCACCAAGTCCCGCAGAATCAACAAGTCCACCTACCCCCGGTGAAGAAGAAAACCAGGAAGAGCAAAACGAAAGAGAAGGCTAAAGTTAAGGAAGGCGTGCAGGGGATGAAGAAGCAGGGAGAGCAAGAGAGGGGGAATGCGAATGAAGAACCCGAAAGCGAGATGCCACAATCAGAGCCACTGAAACCTCTGACATGGACATCCCTGACTGATTCGAAGCTACCAATTCACATCCACCAATATTCACGAAGGACAGGAGGTGCGTGGATTTCATGGATATGTAACGTTTGCGATCTAATCAATCTGTTTATCATGATCAGCCACTTTTTTTCTATCGTCGGGGAAAGAATCAAAATACATTCTACATCATCTGGCAAGGTTGTTTCTACATTACCGGGGCCACAGGATGATGGTCACCAGGATATCATCACATCTGCCATACTCAGTGCACATAATGCATTTCAGCTCATCACCGCATCTCTGGATGGCACTATCAAAGTCTGGGATTTTCTCGAGGGAATATTGTTGCACACGATCAATCTCGAACAGCCTATCCATCACGTGTGCGGGCATGAAAAGATCAAGGATTACGTTTTTGTTGCCACTGCAAAAACGAAGAAGGGAAACGGTGATGGTGACGGTGAGTGCTATGGTCTGTAATGTATGGCTAGTTTTTCATTCATGGTGCAGAGCAACCAAAACCAAACCGGTCTGCAAAGGCTCCTTCCGAAGAGAGCTGCGTCATCTTACGTGTGTCGCTCAAGCCTCAAAATCCTGCTTCAGGTGCGAAATGGCACAAGTCATCTCAGATTACACCAGTTGGCAAGACCAGATATACGGCTGGACTTGCTGTATCTGCAAGTGGTGAATGGCTGATTGCGGTCGCTGGTCACAAGGCCTACGTTGCACAAGTTTCTGCACTGAAGTCTGGATTTACAAAATACGTTTCACCAGATGCATTGACATGTTTGGCAGTCCATCCATTAGAGGACTATTTTGCGACGGGTGACGCGAAGGGTGTCGTGCGATTATGGTACTGCTTGAACCTGGGCAGGCCAGCAGTTGCTAACGTAGAAAAGCGATCGCAAACATCTGAGCTTCATTGGCACGCCCATGCAGTTTCATCTGTTGCGTTCACGACGAATGGAGCATATTTGCTATCTGGTGGTGAAGAAGCTGTTCTGGTCATATGGCAGTTGTACTCTGGAAAGAAAGAGTTCGTGCCCCGAGTTGGCTCCCCCATCAAAAGTGTTGTGGTCTCACGCGGTTCTGCTGCTGAGGAAGAGTACCTTCTTGGGCTGGCGGACGCAAGCTTTGCATTCGTCAGTTCTGCCACGCTCAAGCTATCGCGAGTTTTTTCTCGCATAAAACTAGGTACGTCCCTTTTATATCTCATATGAACCTACTTAATTACCTTGTAAACTCAGACTCCGTCACATCAAGTGCCTGGGCGTCCTCAGTCCTCTGCTACACCACTTGCAGTTCACTCGTTATCATCGACACTCGTTCTTCCCTCTTCCCATCCTTCTTCACTACAAACCTACTCTCCTTCGTCAGCCATGCTCATCGCAGAGCTGGAGGTGTCGCCTTCGAATCGAGTGTCAAGACAAGAAGAAAAGATGTTAGAACCCTCACGAGTAGAACGCGTGATAATCTCGCCATCGGGAGAGTGGATGGCGACTATCGACCGGCGGGAAGGAGATGAGTCATTCCGTGGCGAGATATACCTCAAGATATGGTGGTGGGACAAGAAGTCTGCTTTTGGATATTGAATACCAGAGTAGACCGGCCACATGGCTTGAACAAGGTCACATCCATATCTTTTAGTCCTTCGGATGACATCCAGTTGGTGACCACTGGTGAGGATAGAAACGTCAAAACTTGGAGAATACGGAGTACGAAGGATAAGAAGGGTAATGTAGAAGGTATGTGCAGATGTTCATGCGAACTTGCAGTTTGTGACCGCTTCTTAGTTTCCTGGACCTCAAGATCGTCTTTTGGTTTCCGTCTGGAGATGCCCAGAGGCTCAGCTTGGTCTCCGGATGGCTCTCTTCTGGCTGTTGCGCTCGACGCCTCTGTGGCATTGTACGATTCAAGCTCGAATGCACTTCACTTGACAATAGTGTGTTCGGAATGCCCAAAAATCTCGTCCATACACTTCATTGGGCATCATGGCCAGTATATTGCAGTTCTTGGCAGCCCCAATCTTGTTGTCTGTGATATTATTAATCGCTCTGGTGCGTCTCATCGTTTGATTGATGATTTACATCGAATTGAACATACCACAGTGCGTTGGCATCGTCGGCACATCCACCCTTATGTCACTCTTGTACCTCATCCTTACCAAGATACCTTCGCAACGATTCATCGCTCACCATCAGACACGACTAATGGGCTCATGGTTTACTCCATTTCGTCGTCGACTCCCCTGCTTTCACAAACGTTACCGTTCGGGATACGAAATTTAGTTTGGTACCCTGCTCCAAGTCGCTTCGCTTCGCAGTCGGATGTTTTCCCTTGTGGGAATTACGCATGCTTTCGGCGTCGTGCTTCTAGGGCACGTACACCAGCAGTAGCCGATGAGACAAGTTCGTCAACGAAGGCACTCCAGAAAGGGCTGGCGGTACCCAAGCGGTCTCTCTTCGAAGAGATGTTTGGTGTACCGGCTCTTACCGACATCTCTCACAATGCTGTCTCGTCGACAATCGATACCTCCCTTCCTGGAAAAGCAGTGAGACGGCAAGTGTCTTTGATGCCCCTGCTTACCTCATGCCGCCGATGGAAAATCTGTTCGAGCCGTTAATTAACGGCTTCCTCAAGCTGCGGCTGAAGGAAAACGTGGACGAAGAGCATCAGAGTGGCATCCAGGGCAGTTGCTGATGAAATGGCCGCTGAAACTATGGAGACCGAAGAACCCGCTTTTATAGAGATGGGCAAAGCATCGAATGATGACATTCTTGACACATTTATACCATTTTTCAAGGACATCACAGGTAAATGGTTCTCATCTCTTGTAAACGGTTACTCAACAGATTTATACAAAGGTCTACCTGATTACCCGTTCCATTCCGACACCCGTCCAGTCGCATTGACACTCCCAACTACTCCATCCTCCCATCATGCAAAACCTGCACCCCGAACAGTTGCCTCCCAAAAACCGAACCCTAATGCATCCTCTAAAAAGCAAGCTTCCACGCCGTCCGTCCCCGCCAAAACTGGCAAAAAAAGAAGTAGACATTCTCTAGCTTGAATATAAAATATCTATTATTGAGCACAAGGTGTAATTCATCTAGTCGTGTGGATTTCTCATTGAGATTGTTGTTTCAGCCCATCACATTTTATTTTTTAAGCCGTTGTTGCATTTTAACGCTCCTTCGCATCGCCAGTACCCTCACGCTTTGCATGTTGCCAATGTAGCCAAGTTTCCATACTGTTGTCGATATAAGAGATGTTATGTTGTGTGTCATTTCATGCTCGTGTCATAAAAATTAAAGCCTTCTCAGCTAGTATTACACCTGCTTCTTCCCAGTGTCGCGTCCTCTCAAGGAATGCTTGAGGCTCAACAGGAGGGAAGCTCCGTGCATTACGTCCTGTGAAGGGGCGGGACTGACGGGCAAAGACACGCTGACCTTTTCCGCGACCAATGAGAGTAACGAAAGTGCTGAACTGGTGCGTGAATTTGATAACCCAAACGGCGGCCAGAGCCTGCTCAAGCTGTCGGCGCCGCTACCATTGTCTCTTCCTGCCCGTCTGCGTTTCGTCTGTCTGTCGCAAGCCCACTCGAGTGTCAGGCCTCTCTTGTTACATCGTGCATCCTTTCATCGCGGGTAGGGCTACGAACTTCACTTCCTCTGTCGGACACTGAACTTGGAGCTGTTGGTGATGAAGGGAGGTGTTGCCATAATTCCTGGACGCTGGTCTTACTTCCCACTGTCAGTTGTGCTTGATCTTTCTTGTGCAAAGCCTGGGTGATTTCGAAGACATCAATGAATCCAAGGAGTCCAAGAGAGGTTCGACCTGCAGTGGTTTATTCGGTAGATCGTTGACGTCGCTTGCTTGTTCTTGCGAGGATGGTGTTATGCATAACTTCTCAGAACAATCATATGGCAGAATCACAGGCTGTAGAGTATCGTTTACCGACGGCGAAGAGACACACCGGAGTCACTGATAGAGATTGCACAGGAAGCTGGTGATCCGGAGTTTGGAAAACGGCGTTCCGTATCTGAAACGGTAAGCAAGGCATGCTCGGTTTGCTACGTTTTGCGATTTGGCGCTTGTTCTGAAACCAGATCGTGATGGTTTTGTAGTCCCTGTTTACCATGATGAGTAGCCTGCGTGGCGAGACAGTTTTCTGACAGCCTCCTACATGCCAAGCTCGCCTGCAAGTTGGTTCTTCCTGTGTCTTGACGGATGGGTGTCTTTTTGATAGAGCGATTCCAGACACATCAGCTGTGTGGATGACATGCGATGCCTCTTCTTCGAAGAATCGATCCGTACTTCTGGGGATGGCTGACTGACATCGGGCTGCGGAGTGGGTATCATGTTTTCTTTGTGTTGCTTAGGAGTCGGGGTCATGGATCGTCGCGTTGAACGAGTGGCCCGGGTAGTAGATGTCATAGATATGTGTATTATTGCAAGTAAGATAGGCTGTGAAGGAAGATGCGAGAGTAGAATGATGGTCCAAAGAAATGTGTAAAAGCGACAGGACCTGGCGGCTAACAAGTCCAACGCGTCGTGATCACGTGGACAAAAATCAAACGACCCATTTAGAATTTTGGACTGGAAAGCGTTTCATTCTATGGCCAACGACTGGAAAAAAAATGGGCGCAACAATGAATAAGGATCATTCTATACATGCCATGAATGCTAAGGTATGATGTGGTAAAGCAAAAATTCCGTAGGTATCAAATAAAAACCGAATAAAGACTGGAATACAACAACAGGTTCTTGGTAGGCAGGTATTGCACACGAGGAGAAAGGTATAGAATTACTGATGGTGAAATGTTAACGACGCGCCATAAAACCAAGGAGCGTCAAGGCGGCTTCGACATCCTCTGATTGGCGAGGTTTGCTCAAGTCAGAACACAGGCCCTTGTTATTTTCCTCTCCACCGAAGAGCGAGGAAGAATTGCTCTGGGGGGAGAGGTTGATGCTTTGGACGCTAGAATCAGGGGTGAGGGCTTCATGCAGCCAATTATCTGAGCCACCACCGTGACTCAAAGAGGGGAGACAAGGGAGGCCGTCTTCCTCTTCTTCATCGTCAACCCGCCTGTCTCGCCTCGCTTTGAGACAGGCCCATTCTAACGAACGCCAGGTCTTCGACCGCGAGGGAAGGCCAGCCAGTCTAGCTTCCTCGACACCTGGGGAGGACTGCGAAACAGCGGGGGATGATGGAATGTATTTCCATAACTCCGAGGGACTTGGAGATGATTGGACACGGACGTTAGTAGTCCGTGGAGTGAAAGGAGTGAGAGGTGCCCGATTGGCGGATAGTAGTAATGACGGTGACGAGGGTCTCTCAGACAACTGAGCGATTTTGTCAAGCGAAACAGAGAAGGAAGATATTGATTTGTTGGGATGGCGCTGTTTCAGACGACGGGATTGACTCGGAGGTGCGTGAATTTTTGGAGGATTATTCTCATTCCAGATGAGGGATTTTCTCTTCTCTGTCTGGCGTCTGTTTTGGAACCAGTTTGTCACAGACTTGAGCTCCCTGATGTACAGGTCAGTTCAAAGTGTATTACTACTCGTATCGTATCAACCTACATGCCGAGCTCTGCAGCCAAAGCGAGACGCTGCTCCCGAGTTGGATGGGGAGTCAGTTCGAGCAGTTGCTGGAGAGCCTTGAGTTGCTGGGGGGTGTTGCGTCGCCTGATATAGGGTACAGGTGTACTAGCAGGAGGGTTTGATTCCGACATATCAGCAATAGACGTGTCTGAATGAGTTACAGTCGAGATCGTTGAGGAGGATGAAAAGCGCTGGAGCGGGGGCATGGTGATACAAAGAATGACTATGTACTTAGCACATACGTTTGCTGTGTGCTGGTGGTGGTGACGGTGTGAAGTAGGTCATAAGGTTTAGCCTGTTGTTAATTCAACACGCGTTTACGCGACACGGTACGCCACCACGTGACCTGAAAAACTCAAGTCACGTGTGGCTCAAACGATGACTTTGGCGAACTACACGAATGATTGATGAGATGTGATAAATTGCGGTAGTAAGTAATGCAGTAATTGGTAAACTATGGTATACAGATGTTTCCTATGTATGTCGTTATAGAATATGTCATTCCAATAAGTATGGATTCTCCTCTCTAGATCGTCTCTCCATAACGGTCGCAAGTCGCCAACGCCCTCTCCTCGGGGGTAGTGGACCCCAGAGGCGCGATGAACAGGCCCACGACCTGTTGGATCATTTCCGCTTCATCCGTAGTTACCTTACTGACGTATGGAGAATTCACATAGGCCCTCCTCAGCGGGGCGCCTAGCTCCTTCCTCTTAGCCGCCCACTCTGCTATCTTCGTTCCAGACAATTGCTGGAATTCTATCGTCTGAAGTTTCGGACACAGAACTAGACGGTTCTGCGGGAACGACTGAGTGACTGTGTCCCTCCCAAGTCCATATTCTCGAGGGTCTTCGTTGAATGCATCTATGACATGCCACTTCATGGAGGCGATTCGTAGATAGCTCAGGTAAGGCATCGCGTATAGGAACTTCACCATCGCCTTCGTACCCCCCTCTGTGGGACTTATGTTGACCGTGTAGAGCGTCAGGAGTCGTAGCTCCCTATACCGACCAGTTATGGCAGCGATCATTGTTGTATAATCTTCGCCTGTCAGATTCATTAACGTCAGGTCGCGAATGTTGGGTGCCTTGAACTGAGATAAAATGTAGCACGAGTACAACATGCTGAAGCCGCCTATAACGAGAACCTTCAGGTGGGGAAGGTCAATTGGAATGTGATCGGACTTTCTAGCGCTGGGTTGCGGGCCTGCGCCATCCAAAGACAACTTCTGCAAGCGAGGGCAAGCAAGGAGAACCTCGCGAAAGCGATTCAATGTTGGCGCAACATTCATTGCGATTTTCCTGAGGTCGATAGTAGACAGGTTGCAAAGGGGAGTCGCGTTCCAGTCAATGTGAACGCCGGAGAGGCAGAGATATTTCAAGGTTCGAGTCTGGCCACCGAAAAGCACAGCAGGTGTACGCCCTGGCCCGAGCCATACAAAAGGTTGTCCCATCCTATGAATTTCTAAACGTTCCATGTTGATAGCCTTCCCAGCATAAGCTGCTTCCTGCAGCTTGTCCAAAACTACGAGTGCAGGGGGCCAGTTGTCGACAACAAGCACAAGCATGCGAATCTGAGAGACTTTGACAAAGAGTTTGTCCATGAGCTCTTCCATCTGTTCGGTAGTAAACCGATGGTCGTCCTCTTTGTACCTCCAATCATCATCTTTGGACTTCCAGTCGGCATCGTGTTCGTTGATGCGGATGTCCAACGGTGCACCACCTGCCCTCTTAAACCACTCCAGCGACCGTTCATACGGAGGAGGATCTCGGAACCAGATGGCACTCCAAAGGGTGCAGTCTTCGATCATCAACCTGCGCCATTTGGGGCACACCGAAGTGAGCAATAGGCGAATGTGCGTGCCTTCAGCTGGGGTACTGGTTGACCAAGCAGCGATACGGAAGATGTGCGTAATGATTTCGGGTGGCAAGTCATTCATACGAAAATTGCGCCAATAAAAGATGTCACGTTTGAAACGCATGTCGTCATAAAGGTAAGTGTAACGGGGATCATCATTCGCGGCCGAGCCCTGACGCTGTATGATGTGCTGTATTTGCGTCATCTTGTGCGTGAACATTGTAGACAGCAACAAATCCTTGGCAGACGTGTCTAATGTTCCAGGCGGAGGAAGCTTCTTCAAATGGTCTCTCATGAGAAATTCCTGCCGTCTCTTGTAATCTGCTGTCCCCGTGATGGCATATTTAGGCCACCGGTTCAGAGGCACCGTCATATGCATTTCGACGGCATCAAGCACAGGATGCTGCTTGCACACCTCGTAAGTAAATCACAGAAAGACGATGAAGTTACGCACCATTGGAGCGGGTCGAGCCGGATTGAAGTCTGACATAACGGCGTCAGCTGTCTTTTCGGTTGGTTTGGCGTTAAATGACATGATGAAGTGCGGATTAAGACAGTTGGGATGGATAAAGGATTGAGAGAAACCGAGCAGAGTAACGATTTTAGTTTCTGATAATGTAGCGGTTGAAGAACGAGGAGACGCAGACGGTGTGGTTTTATACGGTCCACAGTGGCACGTCGATTCTCTGGTATCATTGGCAATCGATATGTGACTTGGTTGGTGGCCTGTTTCACAGGCAAAGCGTGTTGTTTGTCCTTGTGGGCGCTCGAAAATCACTTTATTTGTTGCTGGGAAAGCAGCGGATTACACCTTTCAGTCTACAAGCCCACTACCAAGAGAAAGAGCTTGGAAAGGGCTGCACTTGCCCGGCAAAGACGGTCATGCAGCGCGTTTCAAAGAGCGCAACGCGTGTTGAATGCCAGGAAAACGCAACCTATATTCGTTGAAAGTACCACGATAATAAAGGGATGAGATTCGTACGTTCGCAAGTTTCCACTGGGGACGTCCATAACATAGCAGGTTGACACAATGTTATGGGCAAAGCCGCTCTTCCATAGGTGCCCGTGATCACAGAAAGGGGAAATGGCGCGTGCTCGTCACGGAACGTTCCACCACGGCGCGTTCGTTATTGACACATTCATTCTAGTTAGCAAGGGAGAAAAAAACCTAGCACAAAGCAATGTAGGTGCGTGTATGGGTCACCTGATATTGCGGACGTGAATTGTTTCACGGAAGCAAATTTTGCCATTGACGGAAGCAATGACTGAGATTGTTGATGTTGTTGACAACCTTGCTTTGTGCTTCAGGAAATGGAAAAAAAAATCTAGCACTTTCCATCTCCTGAAAAGTGACGAGACACAAAGCAACAACTTCGGAAATCAGTTCCGTCGACGGCAAAATTTGCTTCCGTGACGTCCGCAATATCAGGTAACTTATGCTTGTTTCCTCGAAAACCATGCTCTTATTCACAGATTCTTATACAAGTTTTCTTTGAAAATACCAGTTTACTTCAGTTTCGTATCTCGGGATTGACATGATTGGCTACAGTATTGAGTTTTATGACTGTATTTGCCTTTGTGACATCCGTGATCAGCTCGCCAATGTTCTTCGAAAGCCCCCGCAAGTCGATGGTTTGTTTCATCGCGGTCTTTGAACATGGTGCACGAGGTGCAGCCTAGTGTTCCTCTGTTCACGGATACCCCCTATATGCGTTATCACGAACACTCAGCGGCTCGCTATTATCCGAAACGTTTGCAACGTCATAGATTCGCCGGGCGCCTGCATGGACATATGGTGAATTTTGGGGATAATGGGTGATTTACTTATGATCATCAATTTCTCCGGACTATAACGTGCCTGTAAGATCCGACCGGAAGACAATGATTGTTTTTGATCAAGTCACAAAACCCAAGAATATTCATGGCCTCCGAGGACATCAAGAGATAATAGTCACAAACGTATTGAATTTACAGTACTGTACCAATCACATAACTTTGACATAAATAATCAGAATACAAGAACTTATAATACAACAGTCAGAAAGTCAGACTAAAAGCCCAGAATACAGTCAAAAATCTGCATCATACATCGTGCAACAACACATCTAGGCCCAAGCGCCAGGGATGGGTTCCCTGGAGCTGCTGGCCCGAGGTGTAAAAGTGGAAGGAATAAGCTCCTCAATCAAGTTGGTAACAATATCATCTTCGATGTCTTTGGTAGTGGGAGGATTGGCGACCATCTGCTCCAACACCTTGGTATTCAGTTTCGGATACGTGCCCTCAGTAAAACCCATCTACCAAAACCCTTCGTGAGATATTAAAGAGAAAGAAAATAATAAGGAGCGTACCTCTGACAATTTCCTCATGATGCGCTGCCTGGAACGGTCCTCGAGGCCACGGCGTGCAGTGTGTCCAATGGTGTGGCTACGCCTAGGGACGCTGAACATCTCGAGTTGGGGGTACACGCCCCTAGCATTGCTTACGATATGAACCTGGGGCATAGTAGGTGTGACAGGCTGAGAGGGCACAGCCGCGGCTGCAGGGGTAGGGGATGGGGGTACTGTCACCTGCTCGTGGACTGGGGTTGCCGCAGGAGGCCCTTGAGACACAGATGTATCTGCGCCACTGACGTTGGGCTCCGTCATATCGAAAGCGGCAGGTAGCCCGGAAACATCATTGCTACATGGAAGTTAATATCCTCCTGATCACTACGAAGGGAACCGAAATACCTTCCACTGGATTCCTGTACTTGTTCGCGTTGCTCTGCCAATTTTCTGCCGGCCTTAACCTGACGATACCTCTCCTTGCGCATCTTATAGTCGGCTTTGGCGCGTTCAACATCAGCCCTGAGCTCCTCTTGGGTGGGTAAAGTGCTCCTGAATATGCTGGAGTCAGATGATCCACCCTGTAGTACGGGAGGTACAACAGGTGCAGGTGGCGCAGGGGGTGCGTTAGAAGTGGGAGGCGGGTTGGCTGGTGTGGCTAGCCCTAAACCCAAACGCCGGTTGCGTGCCTCCGCCAACGTAGTGCGGATGTCGCTCATCCTTGCACGGATTGCATTGTGATGATCTACATGTGGACCAACCTCCTCCTGGCGCCCGCCTGAAAGACCCCAAAAGGGCGGAGGGGGGCGGGGCCACCCATGACGGCGACCAGGCGGCGGCGGCGGAGGAGGGCCCCAGCGATGATGAGGATGAGGCGGGAAATGACCTGGAGGAGGAGGTCCTGGATATGGAATAAATTCGCGAGGACGGGAGCACTGGGGCTCAGGTGTAGATTCTGGAGCTGTGGGTACATCTTGAGCGGCGGGTGACTGGAATGGCTCAGTTGTTGTCCTAGCAGTTTGGATGGCTTCGCCGAAGACACGGAAAATTCCGCCAAGGGCGTCTGCAACCCTGGCGCTAGCCTCCTCTTCCGCATTTTGAATCTCTTCCACGGTCCTGCCAGTTTCTTGTTGAATATGCTCGGCAGCGCGAGAGAGTGCATCGCGATGCGCAGTCCAGTATGTCCCATTTGTGGCATTGGAAACGATGTTATGAAGACCCTCTGATAATTCTGGGTGAGAGGAAATAATACCGGAAACAGTCTTCAAGAAGGCGGCTACGTCATGAGTGAGAGATGATGCCCTTGTGCTACCCAAAGTGGGGAGGGTAGGGTCGTCAACAATATTAGAATCTTCGGTGGATTTCAGCACAGTCTCAGGCAGAACCTGCTCAGAAATGACAGGAGTGCTCTGAGCCTGAGCGGGAGTTACTGTCCCATTGACCGAGACAGGAGACTTGACATTACCGCCGAATGTGGAAGCTTCATCGGAGTCATAAACACGGGCCTGCGGCTGCGGTGGCGCATCGTCGCCGAAAACCGAATCGGTGGACGAAGCATCGTCTTCAACTGTAGGTTGCATCGCTACGCGCGACTTGCCCTTGTCTGTACGAAAAGTAGGCATAGTAAACGTCCCGTCTGAGCGGGTAGTGTCTCCAATGGCAGAATCTTCGTCTGCTTTGTCAGACTTCTTGGAGACACTGACGTCACTCTCGAGAACCTCCACGAACGCGTGTGGACTCTCCGGAGAGTCACTGGACAAGAAAAGACTACCCAGGCTACCAGGGAGACGCTGCCATTCGTCATCGACCTCCCAAACGAAAGGCAGCGAATCCTGTTCTCCGAATGTGTTCCGGAAGTGCTGTGGAGGTGCGGTATGGTTGCGGGAGGGCGCTACATTGGTGGACCTAAGGGAGCTAAGGTCCTGCACCGAAAGTCTGATAAGTTTGAATTTGGCGTCACCGAGGGTACTATAGTAGTCCTGCAACTCCTCTTCAGAGCTGAAAGTTACTTCGTCCCCATCTTGGTCAAGGTAGGACACCCCAATATTATCAGTCGCAATACCGAATGTTTCATTGATCTTGGAGGACAAAACAGCCCAACTGGGGTGAGCAGGGAATGTCAGGCGACGATTGAGCCCGCCTTGTTTCGAAAGCTTGAACTGTGCAATTGTAGCCATGGGGGATGAAAGGAAGGCGCTAATGCAATATGTTACTAACTATCAGGAGATAAAGCCGCTTTGAAACTCCGACGGTGCTGCGGCCCCTGCGGCCGCACAGCTACAAGGTCACTGCGCATGCAATAAGATCCATCTTCTCAGTTCTCGAGTATTCTGGACAGTAGTATTCATTCATTGTACACTCGTTCTACACTTCTATCCGTCACGCCTTTATGCGAAGATGGCCAAGCGACCATCGATGTCAGCGGGGTCATTCAACTGTGGAGCGAATTTAGATCGATTGTCATACAAATATCATGAGTGCACGCGCACCCTGAGGTTAATATTCAGTGCACTCAAGGCTGCAAGCTCGGATTCCGAGAGGTCGAAAGAGTTGCAGTCCAAGTTTGCTGACAATCTGCCAAGATCGTTGGACTTTGGAATGACGGCAATCCCTCGTTGCGTAGCCCAACGCAGTAAAACCTGAGCCTCGGCTGTTAATGATCTTGCGTCAGGTTTCGTCATAGATGAATGGTATTGTACACCCACTCTTTCCGTGCGTCTTGGCCGTAGTGGAAGTGACGTTGTGCTTGAGGAGCGAAGGAGCACCCTTGTCAACACCAAGTTCGACATAAGATTGGGGCCCAAACGACGAGTAGGCAGTCACGGCAATGCTGAACACCTTGCAGAGTTTGACGAGAGCTTCTTGGGTAAGGTATGGGTGCAGCTCAACCTGCAATACCTGGGGTTCGTACTTGGCATACCGAAGAACGTCAAGGATTAAAGATCCCTGGCAGTTACTGGAGGGTGTTCACAAAAACGCATTACAACCTAATTCGCAATAATCACCTCAGACCAATATTTTTCGTCAGTTTTTCATCAACGAGCTCCTCCATTGCACTCCAAGTCTCGTGCATAGGGGTGTTTTCTGAGATATGATGTCGATCTGAGATAGGCCCATCGTAACCGATGACTTACGGGTATAGACCTTGCCATCATCGCCGAACCACTCAGGGGGATAGCGGTGGCTGGGATCGACATATTTCAGTGCGATGGGGAAGTGGACGAGGAACAAGTCGAAGTAGTCAATTCCCCAGAGGCCAAGTTGCATCTTAGTGATTTGTTTGACCTGATTCGTCGGTCAGAAATTAGCTGTATTATAAATAACTCAAAATGACTGACATGATCATGGGCATGGAAAGTGTTCCATAGCTATAAAACAGCAATCCACTAAGCTATAATCCAACGTATGTGAGAAGGTATCTTGCCTTGGACGTAATGACTGATTCATGAAAAGCAAATCAACTCGTGAGCTGGTTCAAGGACGAGAAATACTCACACAGGTCCTCCCGCTTGACGAGGCCGTCCGCAATGGCTCGACGCACACCCTCACCTGCCTCCTTCTCGTTTCCGTAGTCACCGGCACCATCAAGAAGACGATATCCCGCTTTAATCGCATTGTATACGGTCTAGAAAACAGGAAAAGAACGCCTAGTCATTTTTAAAGATCTGAAACTCACATCAGCACACGTGGACTTGGTTACCTGAGCAGCACTTCAGCTTAGGTGTTCAGATTAATTTCAGTGGACTTGCCTTCCAGAGCCCGAAGCTGCAGGCAAATTGAAGTTAATGCCTGCATGCAACCGAAAATCAGTACGTACCCAACCACGGGCATCTTTACGAATTCATGGAGTATATACGATCAGCATTTGGTCTACACAAATCGCATGTCACCGACCTTCTGTTGAGTTCTCTTCAAAACAATCGAGGCCATGACCAGTGAAATGCACAAAATGGAGTGGGAGTATCAGAGTAACAATGCGATCGCTGAGAGACCTTTAAATTTCTATTGAACGGTCCGAAACTTCGCCTCGTGATAGAAGATTGTACTTTTTCAGGAAATGCAGCGTTCTCGTGACCAGAAAAGAGGCTCAGATATAATAATTTAGGGTGCCATGCTCTTCAAGCTCACAATCGTGGTTGTGAGTGCAAGTCGTGGCCGCCATCGCGACATTAACGTTAACCCTGGCACGTGGACTTGCGGGAATTATACTCAATAGAACTTTGCAAGTTTCCCCGACATTTATCCTGTCGTTAACGTGGCAAGCGACGACGACAACGAACTCGAAGACGTTCTTCTAGACGTTCGTCGTTGGACCAACGTTGCATGCGCACACTCATTAATATTCGTAGCAGTCATTCACACCACGAACTTCTCCTTCCCCCGTCGAGTGCGTCCGACCTTCCTTATTTTATCACGAATGTCACATGAACCTTTTACCGTCAGCGTGAATGTCTAGTCTGGCACCTGAGGAATTGAATAGTATCAGTGACATGCGTTTCTACGTGCTCGGACTCGGGCCCATTGGGTGCCTCCTCGCACATAACTTACGATCAGTTCTTCCACGCACACACCCAGTCACTCTCATCCAAAAGACTGCCAAGCAGGCGTGGACGCCACAGAATGCAGCTGCGAAAATAACAGTTGAAAATCAAGGAGTCCGACAATCCACAGACGGTTTCGATATCGAGGTGTTCGACAAGCATAGCGGATCAGGTGGTGGGGTGCGCTTCAACCCCAAGCTTTCAAGGGAGGAGAGTGCCGGATTCACCCCCAGTGATGGAGATTTACGGACAGAACCTATTGAAGCACTATTCATAACGACCAAAGCGCACAGCACAGCGCCTGCACTGTCACATCTAGCTCCACGCCTCACCAGTCGTAGCACCGTCGTGCTCTTGCAAAATGGCATGGGATTATATGAAGATCTCGTCCAGCGAATATTCCGCAACCCGGAAAGCAGACCGCACTTTATCTTGGCATCAAATACCCACGGGGCATGGCTCAAGTCAGCCTTCCATGTAGTTCACGCGGGAATTGGAGACATCACATTTGGAATTGTCCCAGATAGTCGCAAGCGCGATTTCGAAACATCCATGGCGGATGAAAGCAAGCCGCTGTACGAGAGATCGCTTGTTTTAGACGACATCACACGTCCAGATGACCCTTCATTCGACCAGTACCGCAGCCTACGACATACAGTAGCCGTGTTACAATCTCTCGATGCTCTTGGATGCAAGTGGAGTCCTGTTGCAGACGTCCAGCTTGCGATGCGCAAGAAACTCGTAGTGAACGCCATCGTGAATCCGCTTACCGCCCTTCTAGGCTGCCGGAATGGCGGTCTATTCAAGGACGAGTCGTCACAGAATATGATGCGCAGTGTCTGCGAAGAAGCTGCCTGCTGCTTTTTGTGCACAGATCGAAGCGGACACGCAATTATGGCTCGATTCTCTAGCTCCTGGCGTGGATAAGAGCCAGATGTCGGTGGGGCGTGTTCCAAAAGAACTGGGAGCAGATGCTCTTGAACGCGAAGTCCTGCGCGTAACACACGTAACACGAGGCAACATGTCATCTATGCTCTCCGACGTAAGGAAGAACAATCCAACGGAAATCGACTTCCTAAACGGCTACTTGGTCAGGCTAGGGGAACAATATAATATTCCTATGCCAGTCAATAGGGCCCTTATTCAATTAGTCAAGATGCGGTGCTCCATACCCATCGATCAGACGTTTTAGACTCTTGAGTGTGTCTTACTGTCTCCTTGTCCACCTATTTGCTTATTTCCGCACGAATAGGTTGAGTCATCTGTGTATATACTCTGTCGGCGGCCTGACTGGACGAGGGTCCTTGATAAGCTATCAAGTGGGTACAAGAGGTTAGGTACACTGCATCGTCAGGCAGTTTAACGACAAAAAGTTCCAACCTGCCGTGGTATCCGAGGATAGAAGTCTCTACATTTAAGATATTCTCATTGACTAAGGTATGTCAATCACATCTGGGCTCCATACAATATGTGCATTATAAATGGTTGGTACATGAGGTGTGTCCATGTGAATGATAAGTCTATAAATGCAACGATAAAGATCCATTCTAGCCAATAATATTTACGGCGCAAGATCATCTTCCATTCCACTGATCTGATTGTATCAGTGGTCGTCAGCGTTCGGCGAGCCCCATTTGACGACTCGAGTCGGTCCACCATGCCACGACTCCACTCTTCGACGGGCTAGGGTGGTCATTGTGGAGCCATGAGTACCTACGAAGCCAGCTCCATTTGACTGAATGACAGCGTCAATGAACACCGGATACCTGACAATCAGAGCTTCTAGCATCAGAAGGACAAATACGGCATCTATTCGGCTCACCACTTTCCATAGATCTCCTCTGTCCGCTCCGTTGCGTAATCCACCCACGTCCAGCCCATTGCCCTGACCCCTGACCACCATTCTGGGTCACGCTCGTCGCTCGTCATAATAACTTGTGTAACCTCGATACTTTTTTGTGTGCGCAGCTCCTCTTGCACCTCGGCTACCCTGCGCGCAATGACAGGCAACGAAGCGAAGCACTGGTCCAAAGGCAGATCATTACAGTAATTGCGGAAGTCACCATGCCGTATGTGGATGGATATATACTATCAATAGTTAGATCCATGGAACAATCCTGGACCCGAAGTTGTCACTCACGGGTGGTGTTGGTTCATTTACTGGCACGTTCATAGCACGCCGAGCATGTTCATCGGCAAGCCTTTCGAGGCTCGCGTTCCAGTGCATGTGTTGGCCTACAAATCTCCATGCAGGAGAATAGTCCGATTCCCATTCCCATGCATTCTGTGCGCCTACATAGTACAGGTAATCGAAGCATAGTAGCTGATCATCCGGGGAAAGGGAAACCTGATGCTGAGGAGAAGGATGATTCGTTAATTCCAGGCTGTTCGAGCGAGTCTCCGGAAACGCAAGTGTTGCAAGGGACCAAAAGGAAGCATGGTTGTCTTTTATGCCAGGAGCAGTCAGCTTGACCCAATCTGGGGCTCGCGTCCACGAGACATCTGTGATCGCCGCTCAGGTAATTGCCAGCTAGAGATACCCGAATTTGTCTCACCGAGCCTGAGCCAATTGAGGGAAGGACTTCCTCGGGGACGGGGATCTAGCTTTTGAACGCTTTCCCAAACAGTCCAACAGCCAAGGTCATCGAGAACCTTACTCTCCGAGTCCTTCACTTCGTGCCATTCAATTACGGGACTCCCTATGGCTTGGCTGAGTCGATGGACGTCAATCACTTCTCCAAAAGCAAATGGAGGTGCACTATTGTCGACATGAGAAGGGGTGAACTTCGCGATTATGGGTATGCGCTCTGTTATGAGTGCGAGGTAAATCAAATTTCCCTAGTTTCTGTAAGTAAGCGGGAACGAAAGCGGATCGTTGACTTACATAGGTCATCACGTCATTCGCTAACAAGTAACTGTGGTTAGTAGCGCACATGGCGGTGAGCTGGAGGAGACGTACTCCATCCCGCAGAAATCCACGATGTAATGTACTTTGTGTCGTTACGAAGGTTATCTGGGACCAGTGTTGTGAGATTCGAGAAGAATGTCTTGAACAAATCAACTGACCTCGAAAGCGTTGAGTGGGCGGACCTTGGACATACGACTGCGAATCGAGGGTAGCCGAATACATGGGCGCCTCCTCAATGTCCAGATAGCTAAAGGGTTTGAGCAGGACAACTCCGAAGCTGAGCAAGGAAACGGCTGCCAGAACTGTGCAGATCGTCCTTAGAGTTCGCCTTCTGCCCTTAGCGGATGCCATTGATTTAGCGCGGAACGTAGGAATGGAAGGGCTCTCTGGGTCGCCGTATGCATCTTGCCTTGATAGCAGGAACTCATCTGATCCTCTGTACATGACACGTATAGACAAAGGTGGGAGCATCGAGGCTCATATTGATTATCCATTTGTATGATGCGCTAGTCCTAGGGGGGACCAATCACGTTCCGGTCGAACTAGCTGTGACGGGTTGCCGTGCGAAAGTGGTGACGGTGATACTTCCCCGTTCCGCCCCCTGATCTGCACTTGCCATTTCGAGAATTCCGGTAACTTGGCTCGCTCGAACGATGAACCAGCTCGTTCCGACACTTTCAGATTGCATACTTTCCACGCTAAAACCACAAGTTAATCTCTATGTGTTCTTCCAGTATCCCCCATTCTGCAAAGGATGAATTTCGACGCGAACACACCAAAGGTAGCGGCGGTCGTGGGCTTTTACATGTCTGCTGCACTGGTGGTGAGTAGTTTGTGCGTATAATGTGACACCAGCCCCTGACAAGCACACTGGCAGATGGTTTTTGTGTAAGATGGTCTAGCTAGGGTGTGGACGTTGACTCAACCTCTGAGCCCAGGAATAAAGCTGTTCTTAATGGTTCACCAGATTTACCGCTGCTCTTCCTCCTCCTCCAGCTGCTCATCGCAGTCTTGCTCCTCCACGTGGCGGCTATGTTCATTACACGTGTCGAGATACCCAAGCTCGAGCTCGAGACCGCGAAGAAGCTCACACCTGTAGTCCTTGTCAACATCATTGGACTCATTTTTAATACTCTTTGCCTTCGCGATGTTGAGGCTTCTTTTTTCCAGGTGTGTGGTCTCCTAGAAATACAAAGATCGCCGTTTAACTCCACAGATTGCGCGTGGCCTTGTCCTACCTCTGACCATCATTGTATTCTCCGCGCACACTCATACTGTGCCTTCTGTCCGAGTTGGAATTGCTGCTGGTACAGTTGCCATAGGTTTCTTGCTCGGCGTGGCACCGTCTGCAACAGTGCCCGCCCATGTTGCGCCTTCTAGTCTTTCTCTATTCTATGGCGTCCTTTCGTCACTTTTCATCGCTTTCCACGCTGTTCTGATCAAGTCCTCCCTCCCTTATTGCGACAACTCAACTATTCAACTTGCATACTGGACCAACCTGGGCTCGGCAATTTTCCTTTTCCCTTTAGTTTTGCTTTATGGAGAAATTTCCACCCTTGAGGACCTTATCCACGATTCGAATTGGGACGGACAAGTATTTCTATGGGGGAGTATCGTGACTGGCGTCTTTGGTTTCTTACTTTGTATCGCCGGCCTGCTCAGCATCAAGGTTACAAGTCCTATCACACATATGTTCTCTAGTGTAAGTCATCTTCACGTATACAGAGCATTGATGGGACCATTTCATTGCTGCAGGCCTCAAGATCTGTTATTCAAACCCTGTTAGGTGTCTGGCTATTCAAAGACGTAATGACGGTGTATGTACTCAATTCTGATCCGTAAAGTCTCCGGGATAAACTGTACCTTCGCACAGCAACCGCGCAGGGTCTATTCTGGTTATCACGATAGGCACTGTGTACGTGCCTGCATTGTTGAAGCCTCAATTCTGTGGGAGTACTGATGGTTCATTCGTTCCTGGTAACTACTAGTTATTACACCTGGGTCAAATCATTGGAAGCCGCCCCTCCGCCGCGCAAGGATGTTGACCTCGAGGTTATAGGAAATAGGAAGTGTGAGGAAGATCCTGATGATGGCGATGGCGAGGTTACGGTGGTTTTCGGAGGGCCGGAGGAGGATGAAAAAGTGTAACAAACTGTCCCTGAACACTCGTGTAGGCACGGAAATTCGTGAGTGATCATCATAACGGGTATATTACTACCCGAGACAATTCTTATTAGTAGTACGCAATACTCTTGCTTCCCATATGACATCAACGCACACTTACGCACATTACGCACTTACAAGTCATTAGCTATATCTATCGTGTTTGCGTGCCGATAATTACGTCGGTGACATGTCACGAACAACTCCACTAGTATACTTGAAGCTATGTAAATTGATGAAGAGAACATCAGTTCCTCAAAACGTGAAGGGTCGATGATGGCTGCGCAATATATTAGGTTGTCACGTCCGTCGGATCTTCAACTGACGTTCGGAGTCGTCAGGAACGACAGTCTTGAGACAGCCTCATGTTGCGCCTCGAGTTTGCGTTCTCCGTGGTCAATTGTATCCAGATAATCACGCAATTGCTGTCGCATGATCTGATTGTGGACTCGTGAGCCTTGAAAGCTTGACGCGTGACGTCCGAGGCGAGCTGTTATCGTACGTCAGGCCCGGATCGGCCACTGGCCTGGCCAAACAATCACGTCATAGAAGTCCCTGGTCCAAAGTAGTTCCTAGTAGATAAAAGTTAGGACAAGGGGGAGCAGTTTGACGGCCGAGGCCTGGCAAGGCCTGAGAACAGAAGTGATTGATGTGGAGTCAGTCACAGTGCCTCCCAAAATTCAAATGCCAAGGCTTATTTGCGGGCGCCGCGGGCGATTTCTGTCATGGTCAGACGTCAAGCTAAGCGTCACGCGTCACTGAGCACCCAAGCTGCCTCGGCCATCCTCGACCGTGACGATCCGTTGGTTGATGGACAGTAAGTATTTTAAATACGCGAACTGTGCGCTCTTTCGCCCCAACATTGATGTCCAAATAGTAGTAAACTACTCATTGTAGACCGAACTTCAACGAACCGGGTCGAGATCAAGTTTGATCGGCACGTCCGATTTAAGAATTTTGTAAAACCACTAAACCGATTACAGGTCAAGCAAAATGAAATGGTATAAGATGCCCTTCCCCTAAACGACCAAGAGGACATGGATTCCTCGCTTCCAGTGCCGTTGGATGCCTCGTGTACTGTCTCCGACGAGCACTCAGAGGTGAAACCTCAAGGAAGCTATCGCTCATCTCTGAAAGATACATGGAAGGTGGAACGCCCATTGGGCAACAGTGAACTCTCTTACTTTCTTCCGTCTCGCGCGAGTGGCGTTAATGACATGTGAGCTTTGCGAGCCATTTCTTCAATATACAGGGATCTCATGATGGGTTGTATGACCCCGTAGGTACCTTCACCTTGGCTTCGTTGCTCCAGAGCACGTCGTTCGCCGGGAACGCGTTCTTATGGTCTGGGCAATCCTTCGCATTCGCCATCCACTCTTGGCTTCAAATGTCGTTATGCAAGGTTATGACGACGTCAAATTTGTGTAAGTCGCACTGGCTGGCAGCTCCAGCTTGACGTTTGCAAGTCACCACACGGCTTCAATATTTCCAGGTTCACCCCCCCGCAATCTCCGGGAGATGCTTTGGTCAACGCGGACTGCAATTTGGAATACAGAACTTCAACCAAAGATGGTACGCCCATGTTGATGTCACGAGTTTTTTTTTGATATTTATATGAGTTGTAGAACTGATTGATTCATATCTAAATGGAGCACGAACATTGTCGAACGATCGCTTGTCCTATCTTATCGTGTCTCAAGGAGGCACATCTCTACCTAGCCCCCCTATAACGCCTCGCTCTATATCACCGTTCAATGAATGCGAATCTCCTTCATATAATCATGACAGTCATGATTTGTGCCGCTCACTTTTTAGGAGATGGTATGGCACTGCACCAACTTGCAAATGACTTGTTTGGACTGCTCGGCGGCGACAAAACCATTGCTGAACTTGAAGCTCAGCTGAAGGAAGAACTCAGCTCTCGATGGGACGCAGACTCTACCAGGGTATGCATCTCTTGTATGGTCTCAAATTTAGCTGAGTAACAATTTCAGACTGCTGTATTACCAAATGCCCTGGAAGACAACTTCACCGTCAGTCCTAGTAAATTGCGCAATGCAGCTGAAAAGGTCGACTTCCAGTTGAGTCAGCGGAGACTTGTGGTGAATATTGTGCCTTTTCTTGACGGGTAGTCTATTGACAACTTGGTAGGGCGGTCATTCGTTCCGTCGACAGACAAAGCAGCCTAGGCATACCATTGTCCCGACTGTTTCCTTTGACCCTGAGCGGACGAAAAGCATTCTGAAAAGATGCAAAACGCATGGTGTTTCCGTCTCCGCAGCTATATTCGCCGCTTGTAACATTGCTTGGGCAAAAATGTGCTCTGAAAAACAAGACTTGTCAATGTAAGTCCAGACATTTTTTTATGCCTTCCATATCCAACCTTTGGACAGGATGATGTACTCAGCTTTAAACCTGCGCCCATATTTCACGGTGAAGCCAGCAAATGATTCGTACTGGTTTCTTGCGATCGGCTATTTCAACGTGATCCTTCCAACATTTATACCTCGGTCGATCGACTTGTCCTCGGTATTCTGGCATCGGGCTCGAGTTGCAAAGGAGCAGAGCACCCAAGCTGCCAAAAACCGGATGATCGTGTCACGTAGTCTCTTGATGGCTGAAGAGAGGGGACAACGGGCTCGTCTTTGGGCTAAAGAAGATGATGAAAAGGAACGTGGAACATTTGTCCCCCCTCCTCCTTCTTCTGTTCCGGCCGCGGACACCGCACTACGCACACCTTCTGCCGCATTGATTGGCTTATCCCTTCTAGGGAACCTCGATGGCATATACAAACATGGAACCTTCCCTGCTATCAAGCTCCACACACTGACAACTGGTTCGCGGCAACGATCCGGGGGCATGTTGCTATTTGGGTACACGTTCGCTGGCAAATTGTGGGTCAGCCTCGGATATGATGTAAATGGATTTGATAAGGTAATGGTGGAGCAGTTCTGGGAGCACATGCTCCAGACAATGGACGATTTGCTTTTGAAATGATACTATGTGGTAATCGTACCATAGCGGAAGCAAAGGGGAACCGGGCTGTGCGAATTACCCCAAGTACTAGTACCTACGTATAACTCAGACATTTGTGTGTTATTGATACTTGTGGACATTACCTTCGCTACGATATTCTTCCTCCTAGCTTTTCGTGTACTGACAATCCCCCGAGCTATTGGACGAGGGTCTTTGTCGAATGAACATCTGATTTCCTCTGCAACAGTCTGCAACTTGCCCGGCAAATTGCGTTTTATCGATCGAACGCGATCATAATCTGTCTCTTGCAAAACACAGCACTTGTCCCGATCTAGTCCAATATCCGACACGGCCACATTGAATTTTATTAATAGCGATCAGATTACTGTTTTATAATGATTGCCAATTAAATTGATCCAATGCGGCAGAACTCGAAATTCTGCTCGACAAGACGTTGAAAACTGCTTGCGGCGAGTTCACCGAGATCTTCATTCAAGGAGATGGGAATCAGTGCCATTTGTTCGAGTCCGAGTCCAGAAAGTGCTCTCGCCCTCCCGAGCTCCTGTATGAACTCCAGTCCTATACTTGTCTTGCATTTGACGACTGTAGGGGCTTGGCTGTGAACCATCATCTGGCTTCAGGGTGGACAGTGAGAGTTGCACGGGCACACAGCAAAGAAATGCAGGTCACTAGTTGACTAGTTGGCAATAAACACGACATAGTCCTAGATCCACTACAGTTACAGTTATTGATATTGAGTGTGTGACGTGACGCCGTTACGATTTTGTATCTCTTCCGCTTTATCTCATATTGCAGTTTGTCACACAATTTCGCATGATCAATCAGATCAATTGAGCTAGGATGCGGCACACGCTCATAGAAGTCTACTAGTACGATGATGATACGGGAACTTCCCTTTGACATCTACGTACCGATTCTCGAGCAGTTAACACCATTGACAGATTCTGATGAGAGCATTAATGTGCTTATATCTTGCTTGAAGGCAAGCACTTCCCTTCGGACAGCTGCATCTGTTTCAAGACTATGGGAGCCACATTACCGTGTCCGATACACAATATGTGACACCGCGAAAGAGCAATCGCGAAAGCAATCTACAGGTGGCGACTGGCGACTGATGTATTTCGAGAGACGGCGTATAGACCTCGAGACATTGGACATATTGTTCAAGATCGTCACAGAACGGGGTGACAGAAGACTGGAAAGAGCGCGAGAGGTCAACACTATGTTCTCGTTTGACGCATGGAATGCTCTCGAGATTGCCGCAAATTATCCGCTTCCGGAGACATTCCGCGAGCCAGGAGCTCCAGAGCAGAGGCCTGCTCCACCTCACGCAGTTCCTATTCGCTTTTGGGCTCAAATGCTTCTTGGCGCTATTGCTAGAAGTGATGCCGTTCGCACCTGGGGGGATCTCATATCCAATGACACACCCCAAGCGTTGGAGCTTTCATTCGCTTGCGTGTCCAGCTTTTTCGTATACCCCCCATGAAGGTTCGTAGCTTCAGTTGACGTACTATTAACGGCTGCTGAGCCCCTCCGAGGTCTTGGCCCAACTTGATAAACTTACCGTTCTCTGCAAAGCCTACTTTATCGAGCGTCAAATTCCCCTTGATCCGGCTAAATTCACCAGCGATGCTGGAAAGCTCAGACTCGTCTGTTCCTCGATCTGCGACTTTTTGTGGAGCTGTGGCTTTGAAGCTGCGGATGGTGAGCTTCCCTCAGATGTGACATTCTATTTTTCAACGAGCAACAATTCAGGGCAGCAGTTTAACGTGTTGCAAAATCGGTTTCCTCACCTTTTCTTGACTACGCACAAGGCAACCATACCCATATCACTTGTATACGTTTTCGTGTGCATTGCACGAAAGATGGGCATTACAGCAGCACCTGTCGACTTCCCTACCAGGGTTCTGGCCGTTGTGTCTTCCCCCGACCCAGATGTCTCAGAATTTTTTGTTGACGTCTTTGGCTCACGAACACGAGCCATTCTGACACTCCATGACGATATTCCGCACTTCCTTATTCAAGCAGGAATCACCGATACTTCAATGCTCCGTTGGATTAGCCCCGCTTCCTCCACCTCTATGCTGGTACGGGCATCCCGGAATGTTTTAGCATCCGTCTACGACTTCCCCGCAGGAGCAGTTCCTGAAGTTGTGCTGCACACAGCATTCTATGCTAGCCTCGTGATCAATGTCATCTTTATGAATAACCACAGGTATCTCTTGAATATAAGGAAACATATCAATTGGTTTCTCCTCGATCTGCTGCCGGTGCTTGTCGATTCATTGACACCTCTTTTAAACCCGTACCTCCAAGAGCAGCTCACGACGCATTGTAAGGCTATCATGGAGGACGAGAAGGAAGCGGCTACTACCTCTCATCCTCGTTCCTGCACTCGCACAGGAGGTGAAATTCTTCGTTGGCATGGTTTTCAAGCATGCAGCCCATGGGTATGTGGGATATATATACGGCTGGGATGTGGGTGTTGAGTTGGTATGCTGTTTGGCCATCACTCATTTTATTTGCTTTATTTAGCCCTCCTGTGCAGCGGCCGAGGACTGGATCCGTGAGATGGGTGTTGATTCGCTCTCTCGAGGGCGTCATCAACCCTTTTATCACGCTCTAACTCAGAGTGGCTCCTCGCGCTGTAGGTGTACTCCCTACATCTTAATGCCAGGGCTGATATTTCTGCGATGACACAGATGTTGCGGAGGATAACATTAGAGCGACATGTCTGGAGCCCGCTGATGTACACAGAATTTTTATAGACGCACCAGAGGCAGGGAGGTACTTCGAGGACTTGACCCAAGTTGATGGGAGAGCAAGGTTTCTGTTGAGCCCAGAACTGAATGCAGCATATCCTGACGATGAAGCCTTTGGTGATAAGTGGCTCAAACAAGAAGAGGATTGATTATACATCTATTGAGTAGCCCGATCGTCTAAAGGATCAAGAAGAAATACATATGTACACGTACTATCCAATACAATACATAATCGAAGTGATAGAGAATGGTGGTAACCGCTATGCTACATACAAGATGCAAGATGTTAGAGGGACGTGTGAACAACCATGCGGAGCAAAGACGTCAAAGCGACACGAAAATAAGCCAAAAATCTACCAATGACCGAGTTTGACTCCGCCGGATCGAAACCAATCTCTAGCCATCGCTCCGACGAGGAAGACCCCTCACTAAGACCCTGGAAACCCACCCGGCGATACACATCCCCGGCGGGGTTGCCAACGCCGACATATAAGACGATTTGCTTGTACTTCTCCAGCAACCTGTTCAGAAAGAAGTCAGTGTCGTGGTACAATATCACAGCTGCTAGTACGTACTCAATGCAGACATGGCGAACCAGTCTCTCAGCACAGCCATTACCCCTCCAATGTTCCGGTGTATAAACCTTTGTGATGGTAGCGACACCTTCTGACTTCCGCGTCACAGCAACAATAGTCGCGATCTCGGGCTTTCCAGTTGGGCTTTTTCATCATCTCGAGTACCCACACTTGTTTGTTTGCAATCAAAAGCTTGGCTTCTTCGCTGGCTTTCTCTTTAGTAAGAGTGAACGGCTCCTAGAGGGATTCATCCATAAACGTTTGACCTTTAGAAAGGATGCAATAGACATACTGAAGTTTTAGCAAATTCGTAACACAGTGTACTCATCTGGCCGGCGTCTTGTTCTGTAGCCAGACGCGGCTCGAGAGCCACATTCTCTGATGGACGAGGGGCTCGCTGTTGTCGGACCAATGTGTTTTCGGTACACACTGAGAAAATTGCGCTGTAGTATGGATCCTTGATGCAATCAATCTCTGCGGCTCTCTCCCATACCGGGACGAAGGCCTCTGTGACTTTCTCAACGGAGAACACAGAAAAGACCCTCGCTCTGAAGCCAGTTTCGCTCAGAAGCGCACTGCATAGCGCCTCTGTGGAGTTTTTGAGGAGCTCGGGCGTTAAATCTGTGGCAGGGACTGTGGGGATGATGTACAGGGGGTATTTGCCTAGTGGTCCTTCCGTGCAGGCCAGTATGAACTGGATTTCGGAAGTTCCAGGCTTCGAGTACACAAACCAAAGCTGCTCAGTGGCATCAATTTTAGGTGTGAACTTTTGGCGACCGAAAACCTTCTCGGCATGGGGAAGGACGAGGTTGGCACGAGCAGCGTTGGCGTATAGAGCGGTCCATACGGCCTTTGGGATGCCTGTGGACATGTCAAAGCGCTGAATGGAGGAAAGTAAACCAGGCATGATTGGAACGATGGAAGGATAAAAAGTTGGATGATAGTTGGATCCTTGAGCCAGCCTTCACTTTTATATCTGGCCCATTTCTGCAAATACAGCACCTGCAGAACTACGTTTGGTCTCAAGAATTTGACCCAAACGTTCCAATACTCATACAGAGCACAGGTTGGATAAGAGAGTCAACGTCGCCGAACGTAAAAACGTGGAGAACGACTATGCAGAAACAAGCGAAATACAATGAGATCGAACGTTGTAGCACAGATCATGGAAGACCCACCACTTGCCATCCTGTGGCCAGAGAGGATCAAGGTACTTGCCTGCCAGATGATTCGCCCGTAGAGTATTCGGTGGACAATACTTACCGTTGTCTGCGGCTCCGGCGATTACATCAATGAACAGCATGAATATGTTTTTTTCGTGAGACAGTATATGCTGACGGATGGCTCAAGCACAGGCATCAGCCTGCCAGTGGTAGTCTGCCATTGCCATCCTGTGGTGATATTGCGGAGGCCAGCGCGGAGTTGACACACGGAAGATACGTTGTAAATTATGCATTCTAGCTCGCATGCAACGTACTGCCGACGTTCTCCACGTACTCCAACGTATGTAGACAGAGGAGGAATAGGTGGTAATTCCACGTTCAAGAACTGTTCAAGATAAGTGGGAGCGTTAAAAGTTTCAAGGTCCCTAAGCGACTCGGTCAAAAAATTGTCACCTATGCCGTAAAGCAATCAATGTTCCATCGTAGTCGTGTGATGACTATGCGACCATGAATTTCATGAGGAACGTTGATACGATATTTGTCCATAGCTGAGCGTATGATATTGAGCGTATTCTATGGAATCGGACATATTACGTAACACTAGACATCTACGAATGAACGTTAAAACGTTTCAACGCCTCTACATGTCCCTTACAAGGCATCCTCTTTGAACACTTTTTCCACAACATTGAGTATAGCCAACAACTTCTCCTCGTTGTGCCTCCGACCCACGAGCTGTAGACATATGGGAATATTATCATATGTGGCTGGGTTCCATTGATCATGAATAAATTTTTCAACATCATTCCTCGAATGTGGAAGAGGTGGGTAAGTGGCAGATGTCGTGGCTGTGAACCGGCCAACGGGAAAGACAACGCCTGGCAAGTCCAACAGATTCCAATGAGAAGTATAACCCCACCACCTGGTTGTGTTATGGGGCGGAGCTAATGTGGGCGCAACCGGACAAAGGATAGCATCCACAGGACGTCCACTAACAGTACGTTGTTGAGTAGCATTCCAGTGTGCTAATGCTTTTGAGCGGAACGCTTCCCGTTCCGAGTTGACCTTGAATATATTTGCGGGCGTATACGGACCTCGTCCCTGTGCGTGTTTGAGGATCCATTCCGTCAGAGGTACCTCGGACTCTCCGCCTGCTCTAATGGTTTCGTGGTACTCTGCCCCGCCATCCAGTAAATACAGCTTCGTCTACGTGAAGAATAAAACCATTAGATTTGATACTGGAAAAAAAAAGTATCTTACAAGGAGATCCCATCCATTCTGATGATCCACAGCTTGCCATTCGATTACATCGTGTCCAGCACGTGTTAAGGCTTGTTTGTATTTGTTCAAAGCCTGCGTGATCGGAGGATGCGGTGCAACAACGCCATCGTCAAAAAGGATAGCAATCGCAAGTTTTTCTGGTAAACCTTCCCCTTTCGCCACACCTCTTTTCCATGGCATCTCTAGTAGTGGAGGTTCACTGAGCCACGGCTCTGCATCGAGCATAACCCGACAGAATAATTCGAGGTCCCTTGCAGACCTTGCCAACGGTCCGACACAACCCACGATTGCATCCATCCCGTCATGTGAACCCAGAAGACCAGAATGTGGCAGACGTGCCACTGATCCTTTCAGCCCATACAAACCACAATGGGCTGCGGGGATCCGAACGCTCCCACCGATATCAGTTCCAACGCCCATAGGGCTACCATGACATGCTATAAGCGCCCCCTCGCCACCACTGCTTCCTCCTGGGGTTAAATTGCGATTAAACGGATTAACAGTCTTGCCGAACACGTTGTTGTCCGTCTCGAGCGACTGAAAGTCAGGTAAGTGAATGCACAAAGACATACACAACAGTACTGACAAGTAAAGTTTGCGGAGTCTGTGTTTTGACGTATAGAATCGCACCGGCGTTGCGTAGAATTTCTACCACCAGTGCGTCACTGTCCGCAACATTTTTGTACGCCCAGCCTTAAAAAAAAGGCGATAAACGACTGGTTTGAGCAGAAGACACGTTTCTCACCAAGATACCCTGACGAAGTATCCAGACCTTTGATTTTGATGTGATCTTTGATGGAAACTGGTAAACCGTGTAGTGGTCCTATGACGTTTCCAGTTTTCTCCAGATATCGGTCAAGCTTGCTTGCTTGCAGGAATGCTTCATCGAGCAAAACTTCTGAAAGACAGTTGGTGATATCTTGGGCAGCCACCGCTACTTTGACGAACGCCCGCAGAACGTCCTGCGCAGTATAGACTCGCTTGCGAATCAAATCTACGATCGCCGTTGCATCACAATGGACAATGATACGCTCCGTCTCTGTGAGCTTGCTAAGCGGGTACTGTGAGAGGTCGATGGCATCACTTGGAACATGAATACGCCCTTTGCGATACGTGGATAGCTTTGCCTCGCGCTCCATTCGTTTTCGGGTGGCTACATCGTGGATATGGACCATTGTAAATAGATGGAACGGCAGAAGAGGCGCCGTTGACAAATTTTCTGCAGCCAACAATAGCGCACCTCTTTATACGTACTACCAGGTTGCAATATGAAATCACTGATTAGAAATGAATCTCAAAATTCCTGAGGCTATGCACGACGATGCACCTGATTGACTGGCGGCAGATTAATGCGTAATATCGGTATGCAGAGCCCACGAGAGTCTGCACACTGCAGATAAGGTAATTGGGACACCGATCGACCGGCATGCATGGCAGTGGGGAGCGAAAAATGTAGCCATGTCTTCCTAGACGCTCGTACAGCACGTTACAATTATTTTTTCATTGCGACATGCGTGGTTCCTGGGAGGAAAAAAAAGATCATGTATCCACTGTAGAACACATCATCATCACAATCTGGTTTGTGTTCAAAGCCTGTCGAAGTGAATTGTAAAGCTTCAAGCAAGCGTTATTAAACTTGTGTACAAATATGCGATGCACACAACACCAAACGTGGGCCAAATAATACCATAACTAGTAGTCTCCTGGTGCCATGGAAGTTCTACTTTCCGTTCTAGGCATTTTTTAACGGCGCCCTAACACAACAATTTGATCTGCCCCCAACTTACGCACCCGACGTCTTAAGCCAGGCCCTCAAATGCGCGTTTGGGTCTTCTTGACACAAGTATGGCCAGTTGGAAAGCGCGGAAGATTATACTAAGGCAGGCGCCAGGAATGCTATACTCCAAGGCTTATCTAGACTTGATGGAGTGCCCCAAAAACTTCTACATATTCCGAGATTCTGCTTCTTTGCTATCACCGGTCGTTGTTAATGATCCTGTACCGCCTTCTGATCAACCACATGACCATTGGGCTATGAAATGACACGGAAACTTGAATTCCAGTATTATCGGAGCCCCGAGTTGGCATCTTACCAAACTTGAAGGGCTCAGTTGAACCTGCACTTGCTGAGAGTCTTGGCTCGAGACGAGATGGTATTTCTGAGTCACGATACGAATCTCGTTAAGACGATGTGCCTAGGCCCATCAGTGCACGTTCTCATGCGCTACTAGCCCGGCCGAGTTGTCCGAGACCCTTGATCTCCATTCGCACCGACATTAAATGTCCGAAGTCTGCGGAAGAACGAAGGGAAAAGGACAAGAGCTCTAAGTCGATTGACTAACACGTTTCCTCGGTGATCACGCGACCCTACGATATGATGTCATTTATTTGTACTTTAATTAAACAAATCACGTGACTTCCTGATGGATCCCATTGAATCACATTCGTCTGATAGCACCTTGATCTTTTCATGTGAGTCGCGCCCTGATGTTTATTGCTATCATCGGCTTGCGTTTTTCGGGCAAGTCTACCGTCGAAAATTATCTGATCGCCAAAGGCTTCACGTCTGTCCACTTGCGCGACAAGGATGTAGAGGCAGGTCCTGCCAAACACCCTGTTCCTTGAATTCAGAACACCAACAATGGTCCCCTCAGATCACAGCAGGCGTTGAAAATCCGGTCATTCCGCAGGCCTCACCCCTGCTTCCGGTGCGAACCAATAATATCATTGGTGATGAGCACGGACGCTTCTTGGCGTTGGACTCGCCCACGCCACCATCTTCGTCCCAAAACTCAAATGTGAAAGTTCTTTCCTTTGGCTCACCAGCCCTGTTGCTGGATCATGTCACACAGCATTGGCGCTCGAATTTCGTTACGACCGACCTCAACTCAGATAGACTAGTAAACTACTTCATCAGGCGCCCTTTCTTCATGCTAATTAGCATAGACGCACCCATCCTGCAATGTTACCACCGCTGTCACGGGTATCTATCTCGTTAGCTGGTGTGAACGTTGAACTGAAAAACAACCTAGTTTGATAAACATAGCGACTCTCAAAGACTTCGTGCGGGAACATGACCGTGAAGTGTTTGGAGACAGAGCAGGGCCAGACTCTCCAGGAGAGCTTTCACTGCTCCGCCGTGCAAGTCCACAGGTCAAACTCAAAATTGTCAATTCCTTCGCTTCCATCGCAGAACTCCATTATCACCTGGATTCTTTAGATATCACGAATACAAATCGACTGAGACCTCAATGGGATACCTATTTCATGGTATGTACGTTGTTCTACGCTATTGATGGGTTCAGGATTAAATGGGCTTCAGACGCTCGCAGATCTTGCTTCGCAACGTTCCAATTGTATGAAACGCCGCGTAGGCGCCATACTTGTCCGTGAGAGCCGTATTGTTTCCACAGGGTACGTCCAAGTTGCACTTCGGGCATTGAAACTGTCATCTCGATCTGCAGTTATAACGGCACTCCTCGTGGTGTCAAAAATTGCAATGAGGGTATTTGTCTTTCCTTCTCCCCCGTTACCCGCTAATAATAGTGTAGGGGGGTGCGGACATTGCAATCGCACATCGGCGACTAATGGTACCGAATGCCTTTGCCTACATGCCGAAGAAAATGCGCTTCTAGAAGCAGGAAGAGATCGGGTTGGCGCGAATGCCACTATGTATTGCAATACGTGGGTACAACATTACTATTCTACTATCGAGTTTCATTCTGGGCCTAGATGTCCGTGTTTGAAGTGCACCATCAAGATCATCCAAAGCGGTGTCAAAAGAGTAGTCTACAATTTGAGCTATAAGGTGTAAGTGTGTCAACCTATTATGCAACATTTCTCTCAAATTGTTACAGAGATGACGCATCTGCACGATTGTTTCAGGAGGCTGGTGTAGACATCTTCCGACACGTTCCACCCCCTGAACCATAAAATTGGCGACGGAAGCTTGATAGCAAGATAAGATACCACAAAAGACATGCTTTTACTCGTTGAGGATTGCGCGTACATTGTCTTGTATATCCCACCTGTATTCTCTCAAGTAAGCGACTTCACCAGTCAAATGTCCACATGTCGCCATAAGCGCCAACCATACGGCATCTTCATTACCCCTGCCGAGCGCAACATACAACTCTCTTGCACAGGCCTGTAGTTCCTCGTGTGCCTGTTTGTGCAAGAAGCGCCTGAATGCGAGAATGACCTGCCAGCCGGACGCATCTTGCATATGGACACCGGCTACGGCAGCTGTCATCGTCCGCAAAATGGAGCGATATAAGCGATGAGAGTGAGTGTATGCTGATTCCGTTCCTACCGCTCCATAACCACGGCGTGCAAGGGCATTCTGATCGTCGGATGCATCTAGCTTTTTCAAAATGCTGCCAAAACGGGGCCAAATATCGTCCCACACTCGCCTGCTCATGAAACTGCCAACGTGGGTCACGAGTGATTCTACAAGACCAGCGGCTGCGCTGACTACAAATGGTTCGGCATCATTGAGACGATTCAGGATGAATGGCCAAGCGAGATGGATAGATGGCAACAGGGCCGACTCAGGGAGAACCGGGGTGGCAGAACTTAGCAAGGTCAGGATCCGAGCGCGAATGACGGGTGAAGCGTGTGTGAGAAAATAGATAGATCGTGAAACCATCTGCTTGGTCAAGGCTTGTCCTGGTGTGGGCGCAGGCTCGGCATTTTCGGCGATTTTCGGTTGTGTGGTAGGCCCATCTGACTGTTTTTCAACTGATTCTTCATCTGCCTTGGTGGTGCCCCATGCCCTATGAGGGGCGGGAACGTGGTGAGTGACATCTTCGTGAGGTGGAAGATCCTTCCGATGAGAAAGCCATTCGAAGAGTGGCTCCAATGAATTGGTTATCATCGACGACTGCATGTCGTCCTGACCTTCCTTTTGGGTGGGAGGCTCTTCAGCCTCGATGACCTTGATCACTTCTCCTAATACTCCCACCAAGCCTTGAACAATGACTTCGTATCCGTGATACTCATCCAAACGGTCAAAGCATTCTTCAACAACATCACCGGCCTTCTGCACCACATCAGCCCCTACGAGGCGAACAAGGACAGCCATCACTTTCGTTGCATCAACATCAAGCCATCTGCGGCTAAGGCGGCGGGAGACGGAGTCCAATGCGTAGTCAAAGTTCGACAGCAAGAGATTGGCTGGAGAGGCGTACGACATGACAGCTGACATGAAATGCAGTGTCGCAAGCCCAGTCAGGGAAAGATGGGGTGTAGGCGATACGACCGAATGTAAAACCGGATATATGACATAGATGAGAACGGAGGCATAGCGAGCCTGCAAGATTCCCGCGCTGATCGAAAGTAACTGCAAGCGAAATATCTTGTGCAGTATGAGTTGATCTTCGGATAGAGTAGGCAGTGTAGCTCTTGGCTCTGCAACCTGCAAGGTGGCACGGATAGTTTTGAACCCCTTTGTAAATTCCGTCTTCAATAACGAGTCATCTGTCTGACGATCCGTGCGGGGAGTATTAGTCTGGTTATTGAAATCTGGTGATTCGTCCCATAACTCAGCGAGGTCACGAGCTAAGCCTCTTGCAAACCGCTCCAGCTTCCTGCTGCGGGGCCCGCTCGAAATAGCCATGCCACCTTCATCCAGACTAAAGCCGCTGATCCCCTCAAGGAGGCGAGCAGCACACCATAATGCCGCAATGGCATTGTTGGTTCGTGAATAACGTCCTGTACTTACAAACCACTCAACAGCGTAGATGCTATTTTCGCCACTGCTTCTCCCCAAAGCGCGTAGCATGCGAGCGAGAGCATCGCGTGTGGACCTTGCGAGAACATTTTTTAACATTGCCTCAGGGAAATTAATTGTGTCCAGGTTGTCTGCATTGTCCTCTAGCAAGAGCTGAGCGACCGAACCCTGGCTGACACTCGTTTGTGGACTTGTGAACTCCAAGACAGAAAGCAGAGTAAAACCCCACTTCTCGATTCCGCCGGTTGGCCCTAATAACGTGTCGATACCCAAAGAGATCGATGTCAGACCGAGGCCTGTAGAAGACGTGCTACTAGACGTGGCCAACTGACAAATTGCCTCTATCTGGCCTGCGATGTGTTCCACCTTCGTATCATCCTGGGAAACGATGGATCGAGGCAAAGAACTGAGGTTCTCTTTCGATATTTCTAGAAGTGCTTGGAGTAACGGCAGTCTTGCATGCGAAGCGGCTGTCAGCAGCTCCGATAGGGCGTGATGAGCAGCTTGCGAAACCTCTGGGAAAGCACAGTTTGATAGTGACAAGAGCCAAGTCAATAAAAGAGGCCGGGATTGGGGAAGAGTTAGATATGTAGAGGTAAGGATGGCCCTTGAGAAAGACGACAGGGCAACCAAAGCGAGCGGGGTGGGATGATTCACGAGAATTGTCAAAGAATTTATTGCAATGTGCAGTTGGGATGCCGACGCACGCAACCAACTCGAAGTCCGTGGAGTCAGGTAGGGAGGCAATTCAGGTGGTTTCGGGTCCACCGCAGGAGCGTCTGCGAGGTTGATGAAGTCTTCAAGGTCCACGACACTCCGAACGACACCCTCTCGGAGGGATACATCGTCTCCTAACGACTTCACGATTACACGCTCCAGGGTACCAAGGCTCAAAGCAACGATGTCTCCATTGACCCATCCCTTCTTGCTCGACATCCCAAGAGCGATTCTGGTCATGCTGCTCACGACACCGGGTAAGATGGAAGGCAAAAATTGCTCTGAAGCATATACGCTGATGAGTGCGTGCAGGATCTTCAGCGAAATGCGCTGCAATGGGAGATGGGATGACTTTGCGGTGAGGAGGAGCGTATTGATAGTCTGTCCGAGAATAGGCATGAATTGCAGGCTCTCGGAATGCGCTTGAAGCTGGGAAACACGCGTGCGCAACAGTTCCTCTGGAGATTCTTGTGGCACTTCCTCTGCGCGACGTTCCCGAAGAATAGCCCACAGACATCGTCCGGCTGCTTCTTTGGTTTCATCATCTCTGACTTTGCCTTTACCCTTGCCTTCGGCACCACCGATGATGGAGCTGGATAACTTGAATATCTGATCCCATATCTGTGTGTCGCAGTACCACCACCATGTTTCACATAGAATGGCAAGAACACCAAATATCTTCTCCAGAATTTGGTCCGGAATGGCAGACGACTCATTCCGGCGGAGGATCGTGGACAATGGGAAAAATATGTACGACACCAAGGACTGAGATAGGGTGAAGCCAGTTCCACTCGCATCGAGTAGTGTGCTTTCAAGATTGGACAGCAGAGGCAAGACAGTTGCTACGGTCCCCGCAGATAGCTGTGATTTCTCCAGTAGCGGAACGCATATGTACTTGAACTAAATCGATGATCAAATCAGTCAGGCAAGGATCTAGACTGTGTTTCACGCACCTTTGTGAACCATTGCTGTGATAGACTATCGTTGAGTTGTATGTTCATTGGCCTTTGGGGCCCATCAGCCATGTGAGAGTGTCTACTCTTCTTGGAGTGATGAGTCCGTATTGACTCCGAAAGTTTCACTTATTCACGCTGCCATCGGTATCTAGTACTAGCCAGTACTTATTTACTCATGTGCACCTGTTCGATTTTCTCTTCTTATCATTCATTATCTTAAGTAGTCTGGCTTGACCTCTTGCCATTTTCTTATTTTCCTTTCTATTCATCTGTTTTCAATGAGTCCTGATCCCCCAAGGATTCTGCTGGTCGACTCATATGACTCTTTCACATACAAGTTAGTCCTCGTATTCTTTCCGAGGAACACGACTCAACCATTTTCAATAGCTTAGCAGCGTTGTGTCGGCAGGCTATCCAAAACTGCTACGTGCATATCATCAAGAATGATGATATAGAACTTGACGATCTATTATTATATCTGCCCTACTTCTCTGGGGTCGTCGTCGGTCCCGGCCCAGGATCTCCAGATATTCCAGAGGACATTGGTCTCGTCAAAAACCTATGGAAGATCGACGACGCACACCTTCTGCCGGTTTTCGGCGTTTGCCTGGGCCTCCAGAGTTTAGCTCTTGAATACGGGGCTAATCTACGCAGGCTCTCTGTTGTCAAGCACGGCCACGTATCTGCTGTCAAGCACATTGGCACAGATATATTCAAAGGCGTCGGTCCTGTGGATGCCGTTCGTTACCACTCCCTCCACGTTGAGTTGAGTGGTGCGAAGAACATCGAAGAACTCGCGTCGACACATGACGAGGAGAATGGAAGGGTAGTAATGGCCCTTAGACATCGCACTCGACCCTTCTGGGCTGTTCAGTATCATCCTGAATCAGTTCTCACGCGGGGTGGGGGTATTGAAGTTATGTTAAACTTCTGGCGTTTAGCGCGAACTTGGAGTTCTTCTCGTGGGCGAGTCACACGCCCATGGGATCAGAAAGCAGATGCAATCTTTGGCGTTCCGTGGCCATACGTTCGCTCATTGCCAAGCATCTCTCCTATCAACGCGCCACTACCCGCTTTCTACGATAAAATTGGGTATCCCAGGCTTGTCTGCTCCTGAGATATGCGAGGTCTTGGGCGTCGACGACGACTCGTCTCCCTTCGTTATGCTGGAATCTGCTGCACATCCAGGCCAGTTTACTATCATCGGCTGTTTGACTTCAACGTCTCTCCGAATCACATACACCATTGGAGATAGTTTCGTTCATTTGGCAAATGGGGAGTCGTGCGATCAAATATATCTGGGATCTCACGACGTGTGGTCCTGGCTTACTTCTTTTATGAGCAAGCGGAAGGTCACTGGCGGTTCATCAGAAATACCATTCTGGGGTGGCCTCATTGGCTACCTGAGCTACGAACTCGGCACTGATTCTCTCAGAGTATCAGCCGACGGGACATGTAGCCAGACACGACATCCTGATGTCAACCTTGTGTTCGTAGAGCGCAGCATAATTCTCGACTCAACTTCTGGGCACATTTATATCCAATCTATCATGGAAGACTGACGACGAATGGCTGACAGAAATGGCCGAACAGCTTCATTCTGTCGCCCGTAATTATTCAACATATTCTTCATATAATACCACGCCTTATTCAACCAAGGCGCGACCAAATACGTCTACTGTCAATTTACCAGACCGGGACCTCTATAGATCCCGGATTAATCTTGCGAAGGAGTATCTCTTTGTCGGAGAATCCTACGAGCTGTGTCTTACAGCTAATACTCGCATCACTTTGAACGACCCGCTGGCACCCAAGGCTTCATCAACATACTCCCCATCCTGGCAGCGTTATAAACATCTTCACGAGCTCAACCCCGCCCCTCACGCTGCGTATCTTCGGTTGCATCCATCGACCTTACTGGCCTCATCACCAGAGCGGTTTCTCTCTTATACTCGTCCACCTGGAACCACGTATAAGCTATGTCCCGTCAAAGGCACCATACGGAAGGGCCCTCGTATCACCCGTGCTGTTGCTGAGCAAGCGCTCAGAGGCAGCCAGAAAGAGGTTGCCGAAAACCTCATGATTGTCGATCTTATTCGGCATGATATGCATGGAGCTGTTGGAGAGAATGTGGAAGTTAAACAGTTCTGCACTGTGGAGGAGTGCAAGACAGTGTGGCAGCTTGTTAGCGTCATCGAAGGCCAGTCGGCAGACGGTGCCGACGAAACTGCCAGCCACTATGCTAATGGCGCACTGGGGTGGGAGGTTCTCAGACGCAGCTTACCCCCGGGTATGTCTCGTGGAATTGTGATTCAATTATTACTGATATACTTCATAGGTAGCATGACTGGAGCCCCGAAGAAGCGCAGTGTTCAGATCCTCCAAACACTGGAAGATGAGGAGCGCAATGTTTATTCCGGTGTCTTCGGTTACTGGTGCGCTGGAGGTGGTGGTGACTGGTCTGTTACCATTCGAAGTTGCTTCAAATACGATGACCGATATGAATGCGATGCTCATTCGTGGACGAAATTCAACAATCCCGATTTCTACCCTGGTGTTCACGAGCCAGAGCAATGGGTGATTGGTGCTGGAGGGGCCATCACTGCTCTGTCCGACCCTGATGCGGAGTGGGATGAGATGTTGGCAAAACTTCAGTCGGTCCTCCGCGTTTTTGGCGCGGCTGTTCCTCGCGGGAATTAGTGGAAATTTATTTTATCTTGACGGATACCTGCTACATCGCCGGTCTGCATTGTCTTACACACTAATTACTGAATTCAACTTCACCGCATTTTTTCAGCCGCTGAAGAATCTCAGTCACGATTGGCTTCGTGGGTGAGTTTCCGTCGCACGCAATCTTCTATCTTCCTTGAGCATTAAGCCGTTGTGGTCGTAAGTCTAAAACGCTGGCCGTCATCGAAGGAGCGTGTTACCCCACGCGTATGGATTGGTGCTCCGCCTTAGTGCAGGGTTACAGGAGACTTATTCTGGGCAATCTAATCATCTCACGCGTTATCCACACGCATGGCATTACCAGCCTAAGCACCCTAACAGCATTGCACCCCAAGGTTAGCCTATTGCATACTCTCGTGCTAACCGCGGCTATGATACCGCAGTACGGAGTCATGCACCAGTGTCTGGATATGCATCCAGTCCGAGAACACAAGGGACGCTCCGATTTCTACAAGGTCTGAAGTTTACCATGGTGCGTGTTATATTTTTGGCTTGAAATATTCTATTCGTCACACAAACGCGATGGGCTTGTAGATTGATAGTATTTCTCATCTAGGCTCATACTCTCGTTTTGTTCTTCTCTGGACCACCACCACAGATCTGTAACTAAGTCAAGACTGTCGCCCGCCTAGCTGTTACGCCAAAAGGCAGGGATACTGAAAGCTTGTGTTTCAGCATCGTGGACAGTATTTATGTAGATTATGAGAACTCTAATGAGCCAGCGTGCTTACAGGGACTACTTGGAGTGCAAGCACCGATGAACAAAGGCATATAACGACAAGATCACACAAAGCTACGACGTCACTCGCTTGATTGTCAATAAAGCATGCCATAATGTTCTCGTTGTCTCAGCTATAGTACGTTGGGCACTCTTCACGCTGAGTCATTTCTAACTGCGGTCTCAGTCTACAGTCCCGATTGCTATATCCATCATCTAAATACGGATGTTAGTTCTAGTCTCCCAATCAACACGGACATAGCCTTGCTGTAGGCTCGAATATAGGTGGGAGTACTTTTTGGATGGCTATACCTTGTGATCATTGATCATTTATTGGACACACAGCTTGATCCGTATATAGAATTCAGTGCCTATATCTGTCTGGGCACTGGGATAGACGGGATAAATAGCTTGCGCTTATACAGGTTGTGCCGCCTTTGCTTTCAACTTCGCTATAAGACACCATGTCGGACGCTGTCTCCATTAGATCCACGCGCAGTGCACCTCCAAGGTGTGTACTTTCATTCAATTGATTCTAGCTACAATCCTGACCCTCAGCTTCTAGTTATAGTGTTGCGCTTCGACATTCAATACAGGAGGAAGAAGAACCCCCAAGAGTTGTACCGGAAGCACCATTGGTAGTGTTAGCGCCCCCAACCAATCTGTCGACTGATACTCTTGTTGAAGCCACCGCGAGGTTTTGTTGAGCATCCTTCATCCCTAAAGTCTTAGTCTTACATTCTCAACAGAAACTATTCAGCTAATGTAGAAGGTCATAGAGAGGTCCATTCACATTTTCACCCTTTGGTCCAAACTCTATGCTACTTTTGCCCCACGCTCTCTCTTCAAATTCACGTCCTCTATATCACATCTCTGTCTCGAACGACTGTTTCAGACCTCAGATATACACCACAACTATCCGCAGAGGAACAGAACAAGGTCAGGTTATCGCAGAAATTCAGTTTGGTCTTCCGAATTTCCTTCGACGATCTTCTGCTGACCCACCACCTCCATATGACATAGACGGTCCATATTACACAATGATGGATATCGCGGGACTGTTGAATACAGAGGGTCAATGCGGCCTAAGATGGCTTATCTTGACGATGTACATTTTCAAAGGGGAGACCGCGAAATGGTAAGTCGTTGCCCCATTTGATCAATGACTTTCGTATGTTATCCCTGGACCCGACAGATGCGATTTGACTGGCGTTTTAACAAGGACATGCCTCTCGTGTGGAAAGTAAATTGTTCGGGAAAAAAAGTGCGACTTCTTGCCATTGTGCGAATGAGCGATTTGCTCACACTGGATGTTCTTGACGATAGGTAATATCCGTCCAGTGCAATCAGAGCAGGGATATTTTCGCCTACATTCACTCCAAGCAAAAAGAAGGGGGAGCTTCAGACATTGGATATTACTTCGAAGGGACGACCCTATATGGACGATATCCTAGTTTCATGCCTTGCAACAGAGGGAAGAAGGACCACCAAGTATGATAGATGAAGTCAGGGATACCCTCTTGCCATATATACACTACTGGACATACTCTACACATATCTAATAATCAAGTGTCTATGCCATGAGAGCAATATGTTTGAGCTCACTGCCAGATATTAGTAAGATCTGGCTTCGGGTGGTAACTTTTCGCACTCACTTCTGAACCTGTTGTCCAACCTTCATCCGTTCGTAAGCCGTATGCTGATCAGCTGTCTGACTCGAATTGAATGCATTTGCACGCTCAGATAGCTTAAGAATCGGAGCGAGCTCATAGTCGGACGAGAGGTGCCAGAAAAATGTTGATGATATGCGAATATTTGGCCGGTCGGGATGACTCTCTTTCCGCCGCTCGACAGTCTGGTCAATGGAGTTAGCTCTTCACTCGTACAATAGGTTTTGACAGTGTATAACCTCTAGCGTAGCCTCGTTCACAACTACCTCATGGAACCCAGCTTTAATAAGGCCTCCGGTGAGATGTTCAATCTGTTTTCCTACTTGCACGAGTAGGTAACGGCCAGTGGGTGGGAATCTAACTGGGATACGCTTTCCGGTATTACGCGCCCAGATATTGAGTCCAGGATACCGTGAACGACCGTGAATCGTTAAGCAGTTGAGGTCCGTATGAAAGCCAGCAAGTATGGTATCCTTTTGCCCATATTTCACCAAATCAGAAGCCGTTGGGCCAAGTAGATGAGGGCTATCCACCGCATCGATGTAATATTCCATAGAATGATGTGTGAAATACTGACCCATATTTCCCTGCATCCTTGATAAACTCTCGAGGAAGTCCGAGACCGATTGCTGTCATTTCGGCAATATTCTCGACACTGTTGTTCGAGTTAGCGACAGCCTACGAATAACACGTCTGCAGGACTCACGCGTTCTTCATGGAATGTCCCCATTTCTCCATTGTGGATTCCCACTTCTTACTAATGCCAGGTGCCTGCGGCACGACATTTGGAGCATTAAGCGCCGGATACTCAGTCTCATACGGAGGGGGAGTTCCCATTTTCCAGAAGAATCTGCACTTGGGGTCAGGATGGTGCCCGGAGATATCTAATGGCCGTTCGGCTGGGTCCAAGTTGGCGATAATATCCAAGCACGGCACATCCACGGCACATTTGGGTTTCTCAGTATTCTCCAGGGTGACGCCAACCTGATAATGAATCTCTGGCCGCTCATCCTTCTGTAAATCCTCCATAGGCTGCGCGAAATAGTCTTCAATAAGATCGAGGAAAGTGTCATTGTCTTCCTCTGATACGCGAGAATCATGAACAAGGAGTGCCCCGTATGTGATCAATGCATCAGCAGCCTGTAACTTGAGTGATTAGAACCAGCCAGATCGTAGGTGGTAAGAGGCAAACCTTGTTGCATTCCTCTTGCACTCTGATTGATTGTGTAGGTTGAGATAAGAAGATATCGAGGTCAATGACTGGGAGAGTTTCTGATAGCGTTGACATGGTGGAAATCAGAGAACTTGAATGTGATAGTGATCAAATCTGTATAAAGACAAGTCACAGGTTCTAATCGTAGACTGCTGGGCTCTTGCTCTAAGGTACTCCAGGAGCAACTTTCAAGTAGGACCCATCAAAGGATACCTTCGTCCATCCAAGGCCATCCCCAATTCAAGCCGTGCGCTGCTCCTGGAACCTGGGCGCTAACGGCTAGATTATATCTGTAGCCGATTTTCTATGTAAAAGTAGTGTGTGGGCTGAACTGTTCCGAGCAAGGCGATGTGAATTTGGTAGCGAAACTCCCCTTGATGTGAGAGGTAATCTCTTCCGATGACATTTCTACCACTCAGACATGAAAGCTGTCAAAAATGCGCATGGGACCTCAGAAGCCTTGAGGCTTGAGGAGACTTGCAAGCAAGCCGCACTGCACTGATCGAAGGCAGCCGCTATTTCGGCACATTCCGCGCTAGTTCGCCCTGTTCCCCATCTACCTCCCACTGTAAGTAGGCATCTTTCGCCACAACTATCACTGGTACACTCCCTTTAGACTGCCATCATGATCAAGGTCTGTACATCGCACCGGAGTCTCATACAATAAGCGCACGATCCTAACGAGCTTAGATATGGAGTATGAAGAAGAACGAGGACGCTGCAACCAAGAAGCGGCCGAAAACAAGTGCTGCACAGATACGAGTGCAGAAAGGTTCGTACTGGCTTTCCTGTTTTATGTTTCCTGAATTCATGAATTTAATGTATGCGATGTCAGATCTGACTGAACTTGACCTCCCTTCCACCATGAAGACTGACTTCCCGGACCCCACCGATCTCCTGAACTTCACTCTCACCATCACCCCTGATGAAGGTGTTTCTGCTGGATACTGGAAATACCTGCCTTACTGACAAAACTCGCCAGGCATGTACAAGGGTGGGGCTTTCACTTTCACTTTCACCATCAACACCAACTATCCACACGAGCCTCCCAAGGTCAAGTGCATGCAAACGGTGTGTTTTCTTTGCCTCAAAAAGCTAAGCTATTTTAAGTTTGTTTGATATAGATATACCATCCAAACGTCGACCTCGAGGGAAATGTGTGTTTGAATATTCTCCGAGAAGACTGGAAACCTGTCTTAAATTTGAATTCGGTCATGGTCGGCTTACAATACCTTTTCTTGGAGCCTAATGCAGATGATCCATTGAACAAAGGTTCGCTAGATTTTACTTCCAGGTGTATGAGCTTGTCTGATTACGTTTCACAGAGGCGGCAGAAGAACTACGAAAGAATCGCGAACAATTCCTGTACAATGTTAAGACATCCATGCGTGGTGGTAATATCAAGGGCGTGACATATAACAAGGTCCTTGTATGATGTTTGTTAGACGCGTGTAGACGTTCTCATCTGTTCACCATGATTTTTGTTTTCCACTGGCATTATTTTGTATTCGAAGATCGTCGAGATATTTGGTCATTGTGGGGGATCATTATGATAACAAGGTAACGATATAATACAATGTCTGTCTGGATCATGGATTTCCTCAATCGTTTCATTCCACATACACTCAACTTCCCCTGTAAGTGGTAAAGGAATACGGGCTAATCAAAAGCGGGATGTGGTAATGTTCTTCTGGGTTTTCGATCTCGAAAGTGATCTGCGCACATGAGTAAGATGACATGGAACGAGTATTGCCTGGCTAACAAAACAATCTTACCTCCACCCAGGGATAGAAACACTTTCTGCCTGTCTTTTCAAAATACTCCTTCGGCTTGAAGACGATCTTGTAAGTCCCAGCGCCCACTTGTTTATTCTGCAATCTGGCCTCATCGGATCCGCGTGGAGGCAACATGTTCAAGCATCGCCCATCGGCATCTGTAACGCTGCAAAGGTACGATGGTCTACCGGTAAGTGGGCAATCAAGGTAATCAACGTACCCATATGCAAATGGACTGAAGATGTCGACATTTCTCTGACCTTTATGGTACGTCTGAATGTTAACCTCCACTCCCTCTGCTGGTCTTCCAAGAGAGACATCAAGAACTTTATGGCGTGAATAAACACTAGCAGTATCTCCTTGACATAAGTGCTCACCATGGCATGTGATGGGTCCCTTCGACATGATGACGAGTACTGGGAGTCCTCCAGTCTGTAAGGCCCTTTACTATATGTAGTTTTCGAGCTTTGAAAGCCACGTGAAAGAGCTCCAAAATGCCGAGAAATGCCCCTGCCCGTCGTCGTCGTCGTTGAAAGTATAATTGATGATCACCTACTCCTCGTTCCCCTGTCACGGTTGGCTCTGAATAGGTACTCCTCTTTGGCGCAAGTCACGTGCTCTGTCAGGTAATGATCTGACTGTCAAGATTTTGTGACATTGAATATTCATGTCTGCTGTGTCCACTTCTACCGTTCCGCCTCTGGGCAAATACCTTGCATCTTCAGGTATGCTGAAAGAGAGACATATTCACTCTTCTTCGCTGACTTGATGCAGAAAAGAAAACACGGGACAAAGCCGTAAAAAACCTTGCTGTTTTCCTGTCCAGTGACTCCGAAAATGTATTGCCTGATCTTGAAATGGCTAAGCTATGGAAGGGCATCTTCTACTGTATGTCTCTACGCCCATCCTCGATCGTCTGTGTCATATCTGATGTCATATTCCAGGTTTCTGGATGTCAGACAAACCACTCGTACAGCAGGCACTAGCAGGGGAGCTAGCGGAGCTCATACTTACAATCACTGACGTACCTTCGTCACTCAATTTTCTGCGGGGTTTCTGGACAATGACGGTTAGAGAATGGAATGGGATCGATCGTCTTCGGTGCGTGCGATGATTTTATACCGTGATGTATCAGATACTAATATTAGTTTCAAGTATGGATAAGTACTACATGCTCGTAAGGAAGTTCGTGAATGCGAGCTTCAGATTGCTTGTGCGGACAAAATGGGACAGTGTCACCGTTGAGGAGTACAACTCAATATTATCTGGCCCCAACGGACCACTATGGTGGGAGGTTCTTGTACAAATATCGGAAAACAGACTATAGCTATTCTTGCAGTCCCAACAATATACGCGTGCCAACCAGTCTTGCATTCCACTTATCGGAGATATACCTCGACGAGCTTGAAAAAGCACTAACAAGTTCGGAATCACCACCTCCAGCCCCACTGTCTACGCTGCTGTCGCCTTTCATCGTCCTCGCCGCACGAACGCCTACAAACACAACCTACAAACACATTCAATCATCGTTGTTTGAGCCATTGCGTAATTCGCTGAAATCATCGTCGGGTCCTCCAAGCCGCAAGAAAGCGCGCACATCATCTCCTGATTACTCAAAATTACTTGTCAACGTCTGCGCCTCTAGCTCAAACAGCGATCAAGCAATGTATGTAGATGCTGTGCGTCAGTCGATATTACAAAAAATATTCGATGTGGCAAGCGAAACAGAAACCCGGGATGCAAATCGACGGAGGATGTACGCGTTCTACAAGGATGCGGTGGAAGATGATGAGGATGAGGACAGTGCTGGATAAATCCATACGGTACCTGTAATGCTTCGATGTTGCGTTACGAATACACTATCCTCGAAAAAGCTGCAAAGCTGGCAGTTCCCGTTACTTAGCTGATAGATTGATTACAGAGAATCAATTAAACTCGTGCTTGGTTGAAAACAGTTCGCTTATTCCATTTGATATCTGCATTACCTGTATCCGTGACTTGAGCTGCCTGCTCTGCACATCCTTGTAGTATAATGACAATCCCTTTTCTCCCCATGATGACTCGAACACGATGTTCTCGCGAGTGCACTGCATCTTCAATCTACAAATCTGGCAGTTCTCGCTGTGTCAGACGTCTCCACGTAGATTCCTTCCACCAGTCTTCCATACTATCAATGCGTTCCCAAAGCGTCTCTTCGTCCACGCCGTAGATGTCATATTTTGCACTATCCAGTAGACGCCCCTCCCGTTTGGCTACTTCTAGCGCAGCCTTATTTTCACCTCTGTGATATCAACGCTGATTTTGAGCAGTGCAATAACAGAATTAAGGAGTTACCCACCGGAGGAGGTCTAGAAGTTCTTGTCGGTCGGGGAAGAATAGTCGTGGTTCAAGGACCGCAAGAACAGCGAGAGCAGCGCGAAAAAGAAAAGAATCCCCTTCTAGTAGGAGAACGTCCCACAGGCGTGCGCATGCTTCGAAGGGCAGGTGGTCCAAGAATAGTGGGATAAGCCAGTCAGGGAGATATGCACCGGGTGATATCTGGTGCTGCTTGAAATTAAAGTATACTAGGGGAAATGAATTAAGCCGAGGGTGAAAGATAATATATGGAGTCTTACTTTTTGGCATGCAGTCAGCTAAGAGGGTGTCGAATATCCTGAAAACAGCATAAATACAGATGCCTTCACTCATGTCCTTAGGCTCACCGATAGTAGGCTTCAACCTAAAACACTAGATTCAGTCAGACTCTGATCCAAGTCAATCTGCGGTACTCACGTCATCCTTAGCAGCAACGCTGCCATATAATGACCTCATGCAATGTCTCTCCAGGAGATTTCTCATTACTATGAAGCCTTGCTGTGGCTTCATGTTGAGTAATATCATCCCGGCGATTTTGGCGGTCCCGTGCACATATCCCAAACCCTCATCTGCACGAGAGACAACCCATGCGCATAACATATCCCTGAGGTCTTGGTAGAGTGGCCCAGTTTCGGGGTGGAAGATGTGCAAGGCGGGAAGGGTGGACAAGATGTCTTGCTCGACAGCCTGTAGTGTTTCGGCAGGAAATGAGCCGGACGAGAGTGCGCGAGTGGCTCGACTGAGACAGCTCCTGTAGTTATCTTGAAATACAATGAAGGCTACCGCACTGAGAAAGATGTGCATATGCCTACCATTACTCAGAGCGAGTGCGTTACCAACAGCTTGCTGCCACATAGAAGCGCGTAGTTTCGTAGGTATACCGTTCCACCAAAGTCTGCGGAGATTGGGATTCTTATGAACGACTCGCCAATCAGGGAGTATCTCCTTCTCCCATTTGTACATGAACTGCTCGACCTTGAGCTCGCGAGCTAAACGTCGTTCTTGTAGTGCTTTCCGCCGTTTTTCCTCTGATATCAAGTTAGCATATAGCCACGATTTATATGACTATAAAATAACCTGCAGCGCGACTTTGTTTCATCATGGCCTGCCAGTCCGCCATATGTTTCTGGTCTTCTTGACGGTTCTTCGGAGGCAGGAAATGAGGGCGTGTCTGGCTCATTACTCTCTGGAAGGCACTCGGTCCCGCTGAGTATGTTTGTCTTCTCTGACTTATGATGGTTGGGGTTGTTAGGGTTTGGGGTAACGGGGAAGATGGGGAGGAAGGTAGTGGTGGAATATCATGACCAGGTGCAGGGAGGTAGGAAGAAGATGCATTCGAGACCGGATTCGCCGCCTCGTCTTCCTGGTGATCCTTGCCATTTCTCTCTGCGCCCGCACTCATCATTACGCGACTTGGCGGTGATCTACTGGCGTCGATGTGAACGGCGGGATATGAAGTATCCCACGGAGGGGAGGTATCCCGTAGAGGGGAGGCATCCCCCTCTTGGGTATCTCCATGGCTAGTCGAGTGTCCGTTTGTGCTCGGTTCTTCTGAGAGTGTGATATCAGAGAAGTCCTGAGGAACCTCTTGCTCGTCAGGTTGCTCTTCCGCAGTCGGCGGTGGTGGCGACGAGGAAGAAGATCTAGACTCTGAGTATGAATTTGAGCTCCCATCGAGACAAAACGTTGACATCGACGTGTCATGGTCGCGCGCGGAGCTATTCTCTGTCTCTCCGTCATCTTCCCGGTCATTATGTCCGGCCCAACTGGGGTTCTCGGCGAGATGTTTCTTGATAGCTGCGGAGCTGAACTCGAGGTTATAATCAGCATCCTCACCGTCCGAGAATGCATCGTCGAGATCGAAGCGGGCCTCGAATCCTTTGCCTACTTGACGCTCTACGACTTCGTGCTCATCATCTGCCATAGTGGTATGGATACGTTCCAAGACTGAGTTACAGATGCCGGCCCGCCTAGTATTGATGATCACATGATCTGATTTACTCGTCCAGCCGAGTCTAATATATTATCACTGGCGGTCACCCCGACAGTCAACCAAGTCTTAGATTTCAGGTCCTCGTTTAAGTGAGTTTTGCTTGCTTTATGTGCTCATCTCTCAGCCAAACTGACGTCTAGGACCATCTTGACATGATTGCAGAAGTATTGCTAGTTCTCGCAGGCCACTCTTCGTCATTGTTCCCAACAGATCACAATTTACATCCTGCTTTCAGACCATTACTACATCCAGGCGAGGAGCAATGTCTTGAAGCCCTTGGACACATAGCTTCTAGATACCGCAATATAAAGAAAGCGTGTGCGACCCTCTCCCGGTCCAAGTCGCGTTATGTTTGCGCGCTCTGCGCGACATTAAACCAGATCCTAAAGGACGAATACGAAAAACTTGTGGTAGATACAGAAGCCAAGGTCTTGAAACGCGATCCTGATCTTGTTGCCAACGGGTCTTTCGTGCCGCTTTCAGCTGTACGAGCGACTTTTGCAGAATGGGACTCTCCGCTCACGGCGCTAGAGACCCTGGTGAATCAGCTACAAGCTCAGAAGCACTGGCAGCCCGGTCCCCTGATTGACATGTTGCTCGCCCGTTCAAAGACTGGTGTCTATCGGATTGCCGATATCATATCACGCCTTTCTGTCGCCGTCCAACGTGTCTGGCGGAGCCAGCTGTCTGCTTTCGTGGTTCATGGGTCCCTTGCTTCCTCTGATCCTTTAGCATCGGAAGATTTCACGCTTTTAGATGGCACTATGCCCTCTTGCGTCTCTCTCCAAACGAAAGAATCCGTCGTTTATGTGGGTCGGGCCATTGCGACCATAAAAGCCAAGAAGTGGCAGAATCAACTGCCGCGTGAACAGGCGCTTGAACACGCCAATCTACTGGAGACCGTCTTGCCCGAGGATCAATACAAATTCGACCTTGTGATCTCGCAGATCAGGACAAATGTCAGCGAATGGCTATGGCTCAACGTTCTGACGCGGAAGGACGTCGAAGATGCCGTTATATCGTTGTACGTGATCTTTCCGAGCCCTCTTTTTTTGCTTTTTTTTTTTTTAATCTGACGGACTGACAATTGACCGATAGGGCAAGTTACTTCCTTCTGCGCAATGGCGAATTCAGCCTAGCGCTCATCCGTGAGATCGAGCGCTTGAAGATATCACGGCTCACGACACGATCAGGAGTGGCGTCAATGATTCGAGAACAAGATTTAAATCTAGCGCTCCTCCGAGCGTCTCTTGGCACAACCGCTCAACATGATCCGTCCCTTTTACATCTCCATTTCGAGCTCCCTTCCGGGCCCCTCAGACCCCTTCTGCCCTCATTGGCAAATTCTAAAGCACTATCTTCATCTGTCGCTAGTAACTCACCCGAAGTCACATCCTTTGATGATCTCCTTTTAGGCGCAAATCTCATACTATCGTACAATGTCACCTGGCCTCTGGATCTGTTTCTGCACCCTTCAGATCTTCAGATATACGCAGCTCTTTTCAACTACCTTTCTTCTTTACGCAAAACTCACACCCAAATTCACACATGCTGGACCTCGCTCTCCAACGCACAACGTGCGCGACGGCGATGGACAGGTCTTGGCGAAGGTGGTACTGCCGAAGACCTCGAAGCGCGTAGAGAACTGTTACGCTGCGGGTGGGGCGTCGTGAGGGATATGGGATGGTTCCTTGACACACTTCTCGGTTATGTCATGGTCGACGTCGTAGACGTCGAGTTCAGAAGACTGAAGGATCTTTTGGGAAACCCAAGTCGCGGACGTGCAGAGAGCGTGGGTAAGCACCCCAGTTCACAGAACATTGCCGGCCAAGCCAATGCAGACCCCTCAACTTACCTTGATTTCACCACGCTGCGAAATATCCATACGACATATCTCGAACGGCTGCTGACGGGGTGCTTGGTGTCTAATCCCGCTCTTACTGCGATTCTTCGGCCGATTTTCGAGGTGTGCGAACGATTTGTTGCGCAGGTCGAGAGATGGGGCGGAGACGTTTTGCCTGCGTTGTTGTTTGAGGGGAGTTTAGCACCTGGCGGGGATGATAAGGTGGGTGCTATGGTACAGGAACGGTTTCAAGTGGTGTCAGAAATCAATGAGGTACTACATTCTGTTCTCAGCTTAGCTATTAATTCTGACTGTTTCATGCAACAGAGCCTTCATAAACTGCTTAATATGTTCTATGAGCAGCTGTCGCTCTCAACTTCTCAGCAGCCCTTCACGGCCACTGGTGATGCCTCAAAGTCTATCTTGATGAACGCTAGCGTGGCAAATGCAACAACATTACATCGCACGTCCATCCGAGGAAAGGGGTCCAAAGGTTTTGAGGGAGAGGGAGAAGTCCGCCGGCATGTTGAGAGGCTATTGCTTCGGCTGGACTTTAACGGGGCATTTTCGAAGCCCAGAGCTAGTGCCAGCGAACAAATCCAATGGGGAGGTGGTATAGATATCCTTTAATATTTGAATAGTTAAAATTATGCACGAATTCGCGAGCGCCAAAATCATGATATCTAGTCTCCGATTTCATCCTCCCCCTTCTGCTGGCAGATTGCTGGCAGTCTCGACAACATCGTTGGTCCTGTCAAGTGATCTGTTATAAATTATCTTAGTGCGCAGCGGGTTGGGTCCAAGTGGACACCAGTCCCACGACGCGTCAGCTTAATATAATTTCGTAATTAATAGCACAAGTGAAAGTACTTTTACTTCAGGTAAGTTTAAGTCGACGGATATGACCGGAGGATCGATAGCAATTCGTCGTCTCTCCCAACAAGTTAGATTGCTTTCTTCATCACGTTCATCAATGGTCTCCAGTGCGGTTTTCGTCGTTCAAATCTGTAATTTTCACTAATATGTTTATAGCATTTGGTACTCGTCTCATCGGCGCGCCCAATACCCTCGGTGAGCGCGATCGTACCACAATTATCGTGCCAGCTGATCAGCTCGCACATCATCAGAACATCGAGTGTTCATCGAGCATAATGGCTCCGTCGTGTCCTCTTTTCACGACGTTCCTCTTTTTGCCGATCAGAGCAATGGCATCCTCAACATGATCGTCGAGGTCCCTCGTTGGACTAACGCGAAGATGGAGATCTCCAAGGAAGAACCCTTCAACCCCATCAAACAGGACATCAAAAAGGGTCGCTTGCGCTTCGTCCGTAACTGCTTCCCCCATCATGGGTACATCTGGAACTACGGTGCTTTCCCTCAGGTGGGCTTTGTTTCGTTTCTCGCTCTTATTCGGTTCGCTGAGCACCATCGATCATCGTAAGACTTGGGAAGACCCGGCTGCTCTCCACCCTGAGACCAAAGCTAAGGGCGACAACGACCCATTGGATGTCTGTGAGATCGGTGAACAGGTCGGTTACGTTGGTCAGGTTAAGCAGGTTAAGGTTCTCGGTATCATGGCTCTGCTCGATGAGGGCGAAACTGACTGGAAAGTCATCGTCGTTGATGTGCACGACCCTCTTGCATCAAAGCTTAACGACATTGAGGATGTGGAGCGCCACCTTCCTGGGTTGATTAGGGCCACCAATGAGTGGTTCAGGTATGTGCTGTATTTTATTGGTCTAAGAAGGCGCTATAGTCTCTGCTAGGATCTACAAGATTCCCGACGGCAAGGGCGAGAACGCCTTTGCTTTCTCTGGTGAGGCCAAGAACAAGAAATATGCTACAGAGATCATCCACGAATGTAACGAGGCATGGCGCCGTCTCATCACCGGTGATAGCCCCGCTAAGACCCCTACCTACGAGATCTCTGTGTCCGTCGACTTTCCTTGTTTTGTCCTAGTTGCTGAAAACTAAAAATTCTGCAGTCGCAACCTCTCCAACTCGAGCTCGCCAGGTTTCATTACCCGTAGCGACCTCACATACACTAACCTTCCTGCTGACTCCAGGCAACCTCCTGCACCTATCGATCCTTCCAGTAAGCACTTGTTCCTTCCATTCGTCCTGCATAGTATAACTTTGTCCCAGTCTCAAAGTGGTTCTACATTTCATCCGTCCAGGTCTAGAGGAAGGACAGAGAAGTAAATGTATAATTGATGTACTTGGACTCGTGACGACTATATATCCTTGAATTCTTTACCAAGATTAGGTGGCTAGTGACGAGACTAGCCACGTACGCGATTGAAACGTGTGATGCTGTGTTATTAGTCTAAAGCTACAATGGCTACTGGCATGAGATATACTAAAATCAGACGGCCCTCGTATCTCAAAGCCTAATGTCGGGTCTTTTCTACCACGCCATCTGACTGTGTGGGGTATCGGCAGAAACGATCAGAAATGGATGTTACTGTCCACGTCCCTGCAACAACACACAAGTCAGCTGTGTTTGGGTCGTGTAATTAAGTAGAAACAGACCTTCAAGTGCGGAGAATATAGAGTATTCGTGCGTAGTTACGCCCGATACGGTATGCGTCTCCAGGACTTTTCCTGCCTTGCCTCCTTTCTTGGGAATTGGCTCAGCTCGTTGGTAAGTGAACGTGAATGGTGGTTCTCCGATCAGCGTGAAGACTATCTCTGCTTGGTCACCTACACATATGTCAGCACAGCACAATCATCATGTATCAAAATCGCAATTACCTTCGTGAATGTCCTGGAATATCCGTTTCCCGTGGCCGACCTGGGCAGCCGGGAGAGGATGAATGTTAAACTGCAAGTCAGTGACTGTAGCCTTGCATAGCTTCTGCTGCTGCGACACGGATGTAACCGTGAATTCCCCCGCTTGTTGATGCATGAGGGAAAATGGGGACTTCTTGGCTTCTTGGGTGTAAGACTTGCCATTGATGCGGTACCTATAGCGTCGTTCCTGTCAGTAAATTAAAATGTGACAAGTCACCGAACGCACCCGATGGACCAAGGCGGCGTGCCTTCGAGCTGGAACTGAGCCACATCACCGACACAGAAATCTACTCTC